CTTTGCAAACTCACCCCCGCCTCCAGCCCTGAGATCGAGGCCCCGTACACCAGCGAGGAGGAGCAGGAGCGGCTCCTGGGCCTCTACCAGTACCTGCACAGCCGCGCCCACAACGCCTCCCGCCCGCTCAAGACCATCTACTACACGGGCCCCAACGAGAACCTCCTGGCCTGGGTAAGGCGGCCTCGGGATGAGCTGGGCTCCGTCGGGGTTCCAGGCAGGGGGCGGGGGTCACAAGGGGTGTCTAACCTGGGTGATCACCCTGTGCCACCCTCCCCCCCCCACCCCCAGGTCACAGGTGCCTTTGAGCTCTACATGTGCTACAGCCCCCTGGGGACCAAGGCGTCAGCCGTCAGTGCCATCCACAAGCTGATGCGCTGGATCCGCAAGGAAGAAGACCGCCTCTTCATCCTGACGCCGCTCACGTATTGATGGGGACGTGCGTGGGCTCAGCCCTCCCGAGCCCGCGGGGCTGTGGGAGCCGTGGGCGCCCCCGGGCGGAGCTGGCCTCCCTTGCGCAGGCAGCAGGCAGGGACTGCGGTGCGTGCATTAAAGTGCTTTGAGGAAAACGCTCGTCAAGCCGTGTCGTCACTGGCTCCTTGGCCCGCCCACTCTCCCTCACGCGCAGACACGGCCCCTCCTCCCCAGGCCCCTGACACGCTCCCCCGTGCACAGGGGCACGTGCACACGTAAGCCCGCCTCCTCCCTCCCCAGAACCACATCAGACCGCATCAGCTCAGGGTTGGACCCTGGGGTTGAGCTGCTTTCATTCAGCTGAAGTCCTGCCACACGCAGAGGTGTCTCCAGCGCCCCACTGCCTTTGTCCCCCACGGCCCCCCCCCATTCCCATACTCGGTCTGAGGCCCGGGGCCCTCCCTTCTCACTCCTAGGTGGGGCCCGCCTCCATGTGCCCCAAAGGACCAGCCAACCACCCTGGAAGCCCTGGCTGTGGCTCTGCTCAATGGGTTGCTGGGCAGGGACAGAGCTGAGGAAGATGGAGACTGTCAGCTGGGGAGGGTCTGAGCCCCGGTACAACCGGGAGCCCCAGGAGGCTGAGTGGTGACGTCCCAGCCTCTATCACTCCGTCCTGAGACCCTCTGCGGGCCGATCTCACGGCACAGTGCAGGAAGCCTCTGCCCTGCAGCTAGGGGGGATCTCCCGATTCTGCTGCAACCTAACCATCTCGTCGGCAGGGGGAGCAGGGACCCCGGGAGTCTTTATCAGAGAACAGCGTCCACTGACCATGGGCTGTGGACAGCAGGACAAATCACGCTCACGCAGTCTCCGAGAGCTGGGCGAAGATGCTCTGCCTCTAAACCCCACCCACGTTAGAGAACACGCCCGTGTGGGTGGCCTGGGACAAGTGTGCCCTGCAACGGTTCCACGTACTTCCCCGGGAAACGGCAGTGTAGCCCCTGCCTTTGGCCCCACCCTGGCCGCACTGGAATGGGTTTGGCAACAGGTCCTCTGCCCAGACTCCCAAAGCCTCCAGGAGCAGCCAGAGGCTTGGTGGGCACTGCTCACCCTGCGTGCATACCCTGGGCTTCTTTCCTGCCTGTTTCCTGCTTCTGTTCTTCCCCTTGATCCTGGCCAAGGCTCCAGACCACTGCCTCTGGGGCCAGGGTGCTGCCAGGTCAACTGTCCCCGACTCCTCCTGGTGTTCTGGCCAGTGGTCAGCGCCGGGGTGCCCCTGTTGGCCGTCCCGATCCCTGTAGGGCTCTCAGCTTCCCTACAATTCGGCCCCTGTTCTGGGCGGGTGTGAGGAGGGGCAGTCACAAGTCGATGGGTGTGTGTCTGGGAGAGTGGGTGCCCAGGAGTGGAGGGCTTATCTGGATCAAGGAAGGAACACCAGACGGACAGGGAGGGTGTTCCCAGCGGAGGAGCCGGCATTGCGAAGGGAAGGATCTGGTAAAGAATCTGGTGTGACTGGTTTAGGGTGAAGCGGGAGGAATCCCCAAGGCCTTGGGTCCTCAGACTCCAGGCAAGTGCGGCGGGGGGAGCCGCGGCATGTGTGCTGGCTGCGGAGTGCTGGGGTATCCTCCTGCGCGTAGAGAGGTGCCCTGCTGCCCTGGGATGACCTCTGTGGGTCGGAGAAAGAGGCTGGCACCGGTTGCCTGGCGTACCTTTCAGAGGGGAGTGGGAGCCCCAGGAAGGCAGGGTGGCTAACCCTCCTTCAAGGGGACGGATGAGACGCAGCGGGGCAGGTCGTCCGCCAAGTGTGGGCCAGGCTTTGTGAGTTCACCTTGGTGGAGACTTGTACTACTGGGCACGGCAAGGCCCCATTAGCTGACCTTCCCCACAGGGCTTGCCTGCCTCTCCTTCCTCAGAGCAAACAGAAGGGTTGGGCATGGAGTAGGGGAGGGGGGACCCTCCTGTGGACACCTCCATCATTGCCCTGGGCTGCCTGCAAGGAAAAGCGGACCTGGGGGCAGCCAACAGCTTGGCCACATGGTGGCAGCAGAGAACTAATTGTTGATTGCTGCACTGCCCGCCGCGCCCCCCCCCCCCCCGACCCCCAGGAGGTGGACAGGGTGATTAAGGAAGGCTCCTGAGTGTCCCGGGCAGGATACAGGTCACGGGAACCCACGTCTCTGCTGCAGGCGGAGAATGTTTCCTTTCGGTCTTGCCCGCATGACTATCTTTAGACATGTTGACTGTGGAGCACAGGAACCCTGCCATGATTTTCCAACTTGTTTATTCATTTCCGGGGCAATTCTGGTCAGAGAAGGGAGTGCCTTTTGCATGACCTCGGGCACGTATCCTCCCGGCGCGTCACCAGGTGCCCAGCCTCGAGGGGAAGGGGAGTCCGGCCCTAGGGAGGGGGGCGGGGGGTGAGTCAGGTACCCAGAACGCACTGTACGGGGGTGGATGTAGCACGGGGTCTGTGAGACACCCCCAAACTGGTCCCGGCACTGCCTGCATTGGGAAGGCTCCCTGGAGAAGGTGCCACCTGAGCTGCACGAAGAAGGGAAAGGGGTGCTCCTGGAAGGAGGCAGAAGGAATATGGGCTGGATGGAGAGGAGAGGAGAGACAGCTTCCAGGGCCGGGCCGGACCCTGTCGGGCTCTCTTTCCCGCTCCCCTTGCTCTCCGAAGTCCGGGGACCCACAGTCCGCAGGCCCTCAGGCCCAGGCCACCCTGTGAAGCTTCCCCTCCCTCCAGGGTCCGGGCCCATTTGGCCGAGGGGCTGTCAGGTTGAGAACGTCCCCCAGAGCCCCTCTTCAGTGCTGGGGGGACCAGTGTCAATGCCTGGAGGGAGCTTTGAGTTTATTTGACCCAAAGGGATGACAATTGCTGGGCAGCAAAATCTCAATGGACTGAAAAAACACTCCAGTAAATGGCAGCTTTTCAGCTTATTTTGTACATTTTGAATCAAATGAGAAGTGGTGGGGAGGGTTACATGATATCTACTGGTGGTAGATGAAGGAGAAAGCGACAGTGGGGAGAACCTCTGGGATTAGTTAAAAAGTAAAACTGAGAGACAAACTTTAAAAAAAAAGATTTTATGTATTTATTTTTAGAGGGAGGGGAAGGGCCAGAGAAAGAGAGGGAGAGAAACATCGATGTGTGGTCGCCTCTTGCACACCCCAACCTGGGACCTGGCCTGCAACCCAGACATGTGCCCTGACTGGGAGTCAAACCAGCGACCCTTTGGTTGTCAGGCCGGCGCTCAATCCACTGAGCCACCCCAGCCAGGGCTGACACAAACTCCTTTCACATGGCTGGGTGCAGGACAACTAACACATACAGCACACGGAGATGGTGTTTGGGGAACAGAGTCACAACGAGGGGCTCTGGGGTCTCGTGCTGTGGGTGCACCCACAGGAGTCTTGGGTGCACAAAGACAACAGGCAGGATCAGCTAAGACGGGCCTTTGTCAGGGACGCTGCAGGCCTAGGCTGCGACTGCCCACCGTGACCCACTGCCAGTCAGGGGTTTTTGTGTTCGGACCAAACTCGGCCTCTGAGCCTGTAGGCCCCACCCTGCTGGCCTTCCTGAGCTTGTCAGGTTTGGGATGAGGTCCCTTTGTCCCCCATGCCAGTGAGCGAGGGGAAGCCGCAGACTCCCAGGTGAGAGATGGTGAGAGCAGGTGTAGGTTGCCTCCCCGCCCCCCAGCTCCGGTGCCCCGCATCCCAGCTCAGAGAGAGAGCTCTGGCCATCCCCTCCTCAGAACGACACCCTCATTTCCGAGAGGCAGAGGCTTGGGGGCCCACAAGGCTTACAGGGCGGGTTAGACGTGCCCACGCTTCCCGCATGTCGGGGGGCGCTGGGGCAGGGCCAGAAAGGAAGGCCAGCCTTGTGCTGTCCCGTCCCCGTCCTGCTGCTTCTGCACCCTGAGGCAGCGGTGGGCGGGCCAACACTGGGGCTGGGCCTCCACGGAAGGCGCCTCTCCCCTGACTCCACGGTCCAGCCGGTGGGGCTGGCCCCATCATATAACCCCTCCCGTCCAAAGGTGGTCAGAGCGCAGCACCCCTTCCTCTGACACCGTCCTGTGGCTGACAGGCCAGGGCAAGCCCGCGGGAGGATGGCCCCTGCCCACAGACGGTGCTGTCACTCCCGGGGTCCCCTCACCTCTCCTCTCCGGTCCCACACACATTTCCTGGTCTCTTCCCCACACAGTGGGTTCCCCGGGTCCTGCCTGGGAACCAGCGTTGAGGGTGTTGCTGTACGAAGGCACCCAGAGAAGAAAGGAGCCAGGCCGTCCTAGTCCTTGAACCCTCCCTGGCACTGGGCTGGCCCCGCCCCCTCCTCACCTCGGCCCGTTGCGTAGGGGGGGCCTGGATGGGATGGTTCAGGCCTACTTACTTCTCTCCAGGCCACTCCAAGCACACCCAGCCCCAGGTCACTGAGAGAAAGACTCAAGGAAGAGGAGCAGGACACCCCAGGGCAGGGAGAGTCTGGAGGGCCGGCCTGGCCAAGCCTTCAACAGGCCCCGCCCACCGCTCCGCCCCAAGCACTGGCCCCGCCTGTCCCGGTCCCTCCCTCCGACTTTGCTCTGAGAAATGGCTGGGAGCGGCAGCGGGACAGCGAGCAGGTGAGTTGGCCTCTCCAGTTCCTGCCGGTTGTGTGTCTCCGTCTGCGCCAAGTGCTCAGACCCGAGGGCTGGGGAGGAGAGGGGAGCATCGCTGGAGCTCCAGGCGGGGGGCCGCTGCCCAGGGCTCTCAAGACCCGCGCTAGACACTGGTCCCAGCCCTCGAGTCTGGTCCCAGCCCTCGAGTCTGCTCCCAGCCAGGTCTTTGGCCTGTGGGAATCCCCGCGGGGCCCCAGCTGGGCCTCGATGGAGCTCCTGCCACCGCGCTCGCAGCCCTCCTTGTTGCTGCTACTCTTGCTGCTGCTGCTGCTGCTGCCGCCGCCGGCAGTGCCCCAGGCTGGCAGGTCCTGGCAGTGCCCGAGCGTCCCTTACGCTGCCTCCCGTGACTTCGACGTGAAGTACACGGTGCCCAGCTTCTCGGCGGGCGGGCCGATACAGGCCCTGGCGACCTATGATGGGGGCGAGGATGGAAGTGCGGTGTTCGTGGCCACACGCAATCGCCTGCACATGCTTGGGCCGGACCTGCAGCTCCTCGAGAGCCTGGCCACAGGCCCTGCTGGGGACCCTGCCTGCCAAACGTGCGCAGCCTGTGGCCCAGGCCCCCACGGGCCCCCGGGGGACACGGACGCAAAGGTGCTGGTGCTGGAGCCGGGGCTGCCGGCCCTGATCAGCTGCGGCTCCAGCCTGCACGGCCGCTGCTTCCAGCACGAGCTGGAGCCCACCGGGACCACCCTGCGCCTGGCCCCGCCAGCCTGCCTCTTCTCCGCCCGCCACAACCGGCCCGAAGACTGCCCCGACTGCGTGGCCAGCCCTTTGGGCACCCTCGTGACCGTGGTGGAGCAGGGCCACGCCGCTTACCTCTACGTGGCATCTTCTCTGGACGAGAAGGTGGCCTCGAGCTTCAGCCCACGCTCCGTGTCCATCCGGCGCCTCAAGGCCGACGCGTCCGGATTCGCACCAGACTTCGAGGCGCTGTCGGTGCTGCCCCGGTACCTCCCTTCCTACCGCATCGAGTATGTGTACAGCTTCCACGCCGGAGCCTTCGTCTATTTTCTGACCGTGCAGCCCGCTAGCCTGGCCGCCACGCCCGGCGCCTTGCACACGCGCCTGGCCCGGCTCAGCGCCGTGGACACCGACGTGGGCAGCTACCGTGAGCTGGTTCTGGATTGCCACTTTGAGCCTAAACGCCGGCGACGCGAGGCTTTGCTGGTCGGGCAGCCGTATCCAGTGCTGCGGGCAGCCCACACGGCTCCCGTGGGCGGCCAGCTGGCCGCCGAGCTGAACGTAGCCGAGGGCCAGCAAGTGCTCTTTGGGGTCTTCGTGGCCAGCCGAGACAGCAGCCCCGGTGGCGGTCCCACATCTGTCGTCTGTGCCTTCCCCATCGATCTGGTGGATAAGCTCATCGAGGAAGGCGAGGAGCGCTGCTGTAACCCCCCCGTCCAGCCGGGCCCCGGGAGGAGCCTCCGGAGGGACCTCGACTTCTTCCAGGCCCCCAGCTTCTGCCCCAACCCGGTAAGCTGAAAAAGGGAACCTCACCCGTGAACAGTGTGCACGTGGCTGAATCCAGGCTGCTTCCCTCCCACCCTGGAGAGCGTCTGGGGGCCGGGGAGCCGGGACGGTAGGAGAGAGGTTCTCCCTTCCACCCAGTTCTCCAGAGCTGCTGCGGCCGGAGGGGCCCGCCAAACGAAGGCCGCCCGGGAGGCTCATCTCCCAGCCAGGCCAGCCCGCTCGCTACCCCATTTTGCTCTCTGACCCTCAGACCTGTCATGACCTCTGATTTTTTAGGCAGTTTTTCCCTGGTTACGTGAGAACTGGATTGCGTCATAACTGTCTCTCCGCCAGGAACACCGCCAGACTCTGGGTGGAATGATGGGCATCCCGTCCTATCTGCCCGCTGCCCACACCCTCGGGGCAGACACGGAAGAACATCCCCCGCCCCCCCACACACACCCGCAGATGCGCACGTATTCCACAGACTCACGGCTGCTCGCTAACACAGTTCTTCTTTTTTCTTCAAATTTAATCTTTATTGTATTTTTTCAGTATCATTTAATCCCCTTATACCTCAAATCCCCTATCCCCCCAAATAGTTTCACTTTCTCTATGGGAGCACTGGTCGTGTTCCGCTGTCCAAAGAGGATGAGGCAGGAGTGGTGGAGAATGCTCCCGCCCCTGTTCTGGGGAGCGTCCTGGGCCCGGGAGGGGTGAGGGCTTGCCAGGGAGCGTGTGTGGCTTGGGTTTTATGGACCCACTCATCCCTGATGAATCGTTCTCCGTGGGGTGGTTGCTGGAGGCCCCGGGACATGGTGGGAAGGTGGCTTGGCTCTAGCAGATTCCAGGAGGCTCACCCTGGTCTTGTGCAAACAACTGTAAACATCTGGGGGTGAGTAAAGCCTGCTGGAACTGATTCACCGCATGGGAGTCCCAGACTTTTTTCCGCACTAGTTGGGGCGCTGCCTGCGTCTCCCTCCTCGCCCTAGGCAGGAGGTCTCCCAGCCCATGCTGAACTGGGGGTCCCTTCCTGCAGACCCTACCCTGATTCTTCCTTGGTGTCAGGAAGCTGGAGCAGAGACCAACAGGACATGCCTTAAAATGCTGAGCACAAAACCAAAACTGATTTCGTGAAGCCACTGAAGCAGTCTTACCTGAGAGTATAAGGAATTAAACCAAGGAGCTGGGACGAGTGGCACTGGACGAGCGGTCTTTCGGGAGGCTGGCCCGCAGGCGCTCCTCTCAGAGCCTTGGGCTGCCCTGTGGCCATGGCCCTGCTGTGACGTCTGCCGTCAGTTCCCTCCCAGCTCTAGTTGATGGCCCAGAGGTGGGAGAAGCTACATGCGTGAGGTTGGGGGAGTCTTCAGCCTCCCTCTGTCCGTGGAGGCCATCTAAGCTGAGGAGGCCCCAGGGTTGGAGCTCCCTTGTCTGGGCCTGGCAGCCCTGCCTGCCCCTTCCTCTTCCCTCTGGGGAGCCAGAACCTCTCCCCAACTTGGCTAGTGGTCAGTGGGTCAACAGACACCAAGCAAGACTTGGTAGTGCCAGGCTCTAGGAGGACTAATCTCCAGCCCCGCCCACAGGTCGGCCCAGCCCCCGGGAGGTGGGTGAGCCAGCTTGTACTGTGCTTGCCCACTGGCCAGGCATGCCCCCTCCAGGGCCACATCTGCTGTGTGCTCCTTGCGGCTGGCCTCAGGAAGCCCGAGCGGCGAGGAGCTGCTCCCCGTAGGGTTTGGGCCTGGCTGGGGCAGTCGCCCTCCTCTGTGGGGCATCGAACACTGAAGTGTCTTCAGGAGTCACGGGCCCTCGACAAGCCTGGGAAGCCAGAGCTGGGACTCTGGAACCCCGGGCAAGCAGGCAAGGGCGTGATCCTGACTGGGGCAGGGCCTCTTCCGCCCCTCAGCCCCACCTGTCCCTGAGTCATGCTGCAAACACCTGGCTGGCTTCCGCCTAGGAATGGGCCCCTTTCCTTCCTCAGGTGAGGACAGAGTCCCAGTCCCCGCCTACCCAGGCCACAGACCCAGAGTGTGTGGGTTTCTGGGCCCAGCTCTGCCCCTGCTCTTGCCCCCGGGGCTCCTGATGGGCGCTGGGGTCTGCTACACAGACTTGGTGCGATGCGGGCCTCGGGGGTCCAGCCCTGAGTGCTGCCCTCGGAGCTGGCGAGGGGGTCCTCAGCAGCTAGGACGACTGAGCCCTGCCAGCACGTGGCACCCAGTTCCATCCAGTACCTTGCATTCACACCCTGGCTTCCTGCTTTCCAGAAGCTTCCATAGCCCTTCTCTGGAGCACTGAGTGCAGCCCCCAAACACCCTCCTGTTAAGAGCAAGGGAGAGATTAGCATCTCCCAACCCCTGGGGTCGGGCCTAGCTTGGCACCCAGGCCTTCAGACCTCGGTTGATCCCTTTTGCACCCTGTAGGAGGTACCGGTAGCCGCTGGAGGCATGGAAAGACCTCTGGAGTCTCAGGGAGAAGGACCCTGTTACCAACCCTGTGCTGATAAATTAACCTTAGACTTCAGGCCCCTTGTGCTGGTGGAGAGACTGAAGCCCTGAGACCAGACAGCATTTGCTGAAGTACAGAGCAGAGCCAGCAGGGGGCAGGAGAGGACTCTAGTCCAGAGCTCAGGCTGCCAACCTGGCTCCCCTCCCTGAGGGGGCCTGATGGCCTTGGACAAGCCACCGAACCTCTCTGAGCCTGTTTCCTTATCTGTAAAATGGGGGTGGTGAGCGGTGGTGGGGACAGAATGGGGTCGGGTCTGTGAGACTCAGTAACGCATCATCAGAGTGGACATGGTGAGGCAGGGCGAGGCACCGGGGGAGCTGGCCTTCCAGTCGGGGCCTGCTGTGGCCTCGCTCCCTCCGAGAGCCCCATTGCCGTTTGGGGGGGGGGGCGGGTGGAATGTAGGAACCGACAGGCCTGGGGCCCTCTCCGGGCAGGCCTGGTGAGGGGTGGGAGTTCAGGCTGCTGCGGTCGCCGACAGAGGCCCCAAGGGGTCACTGTGCAGGATGAGCCCTGACCCCTTCCCTCATCTTCCCCAGCCCGGCCTGGCGTCCCTCAGCCCCAACACCAGCTGCTACCACTTCCCGCTGCGGGTCAGCAGCAGCCTCGTACGCGTGGACCTGTTCAACGGGCTGCTGGGGCCGGTGCAGGTGACCGCGCTGCACGTGACGCGCCTGGACAACGTCACCGTGGCCCACATGGGCACGTCAGACGGGCGCATCCTGCAGGTGGGTCCCTCGTCTCCACAGCCCTTTGTCCCTGGGTCCCCGTGCCCGTCCCCATTTTGCTCACCGCTGACCTGTCCCAGGTGGAGCTGGCCAGGTCTCTCAGCTACCTGCTGTATGTGTCCAACTTCTCCCTGAGCAACAGTAAGCAGCCCGTGCAGCGGAACGTCAGTCGCCTTGGGAACCACCTGTTCTTTGCTTCTGGGGACCAGGTGAGGTGGGCAGGGGCAGGGCCTGGGGCCATCTAATCCTGGGAGGCGTTGACACACAGGTCTTACCGCCTTGATCTAGAATGGCACCAGGGGGGTCTTCGGGGCCTAGGACGCCAGCCCCCTCCAGCCACCCCTGAGCCACCCTTCTGCCCTTCCAAGGTCTTCCAGGTACCCATCCAGGGCCCCGGCTGCCGCCACTTCCTCACCTGCTGGCGTTGCCTGCGGGCGCAGCGTTTCATGGGCTGTGGCTGGTGTGGGGGCGTCTGTGGCCGGCAGAAGGACTGTCCTGGCTCCTGGCAACAGGACCATTGTCCCCCAGAGCTCACTGAGGTACGGCTTGCCTGGCTGGGCACAGGTGAGGGTGACACAGGCTGGGCCCGGGGCGGGGAGTGATCTTCCTCAGGCCTGCGACGCCCTCCAGGAAGGCATCCTTGGCAGAGGAGATGGCCCATGCAAAGCTTTGGAGGCAGGAGAGTGCCTGAGTGAGCACAAGCACGTGACCTAGAATGAACGGAGTGTGGGGCAGGCAAGGGGGGCGGCAGAAAAGTTTGGGGGGAGCAGACGGGGCTGAGAGTCCCGGCTCACACAGGCTGTCTGCTGCCCTTCCAGTTCTACCCTCGCAGTGGACCCCGGAGGGGCAGCACGAGGCTGACCTTGTGCGGCTCCAACTTCTACCTGCACCCTGCGGGCCCGGTGCCTGAGGGCACGCGTCAGGTCACTGTGGGCCAGAGTCCCTGCCGCCTGCTGCCCAAGGACAGCTCACACCTCAGGTACAACCATTCCCTGTCCTTCCCGTCCCCGGTGGGGGCAGCCAAACGGTTCCGTCCCCGTGGGACTCTGTCCTCTGCTTATTGGGGGCAAGGAGAGGTGAGGCCAGCTGCAGTGGCTCCGGCTGCTTCGTGTATGCAGCCACATCTCAGTCCCTTCTGCAGCCTGCATATGCCTGACCTGTCCCTTGAGTCACGGACCGGGCAAGGCTAGCAAGGCCCTGCCCTGCCGGAGCCTGCCCGCCCTGGAGGCCACCCAGGAGAGAGGCCACCTGCAGGCTCAGGAGAGACCCGTGCTTTGTGGCGGGCATGCAACGAGGCCTGGGTGACCCCTGGCTGACCTTGAGTTCCCGGGTGCTCTAGCCCAGTGCCCCGGAAGGGCTTCACAGAAGAGCTGGAGTGTGAACTGGAACCCTTGGGCACACAGTCAGCTGGGACTGCCAACATTAGCCTCACCGTCACCAACATGCCACTGGGCAAGCACTTCCGGATAGACGGCACCTCCGTGCTGCAAGGCTTCTCCTTCGTGGTGAGACCACCTCGTCTTGTCTGCGCCCTTGGCCAGCCGGGTGACATGGGGAGGGAAGGGCTTTGGAGTGGAGGGTGTTCCATGCTGAGCTAAGCCACCTCCATACTCTCTTAGGAGCCAGAGCTGAAAGAAGTACAGCCCCTCTTCGGCCCACGGGCAGGGGGCACCCGCCTCACCCTGACAGGCCGGGGCCTGTCCACAGGCACCAGCCGGGCTGTGCTGGTCAACGGGACGGAGTGTCTTCTGGAGTGGTGAGCACTGGCCGGCAAGGGGATGGGAGGTCAGAGGGCCCCAGCAGGGGAGCCCTCGCCAGCTGGGACTTGGGTGCTGCCAGAGCAGAGGGGGGAGCGCTCAGTCGCATGGCTGGGCCCAGGAAGAAGGGTCTGTTGTCCCCGCCAGTCCTGACGTGGTGTGGGAATGGCAGGAGAGACCGCCAAAACCCACTGGCTTCCCGCAGCCAAGGTTGTGGGGAATCCATCTCCTCCCTGCCTTCCTGGGGGGTCTTCCCGGGACCAGCCTGTCCTGACACAGACCTGTGGAGGGTGGGCGGCTGGGGAGACGACCAACAGAGGAACCAGGAGAGGTCGGCGGACCCCTGGGGGAAGTGGGCCTCGGCACCCCCGGAAGGTGACCCTGAACCTAGTCTCCCTGCTCCACAGGGTCGGCGAGGGGCAGCTTTCCTGCACCACGCCGCCCGGTGCTGCTCTGGGGAGCGTTCCCATTCGCCTGCAGGTGGGGGGCGCCGGGGTGCCTGGCTCCTGGACCTTCGACTACCGGGAGAACCCCATCGTGCTGGGCATCAGCCCCCACTGTGGCTACAGGTGCGTGCCACCTCCTTCCCCACCCTGTTCTCCCAGGAGCGAGGGAGCCGTCCTCAGAGGGCCCCCTCAGCTCACCACCGCCCCGCTCTCCTTCACAGCGGCTCCCACGTCACCGTCCGCGGCCAGCACCTGACTTCCGTGTGGCGCCTGGCGCTGTCGTTCCACGATGGGCTCAAGGCGGTGGAGACCAGGGTGAGTGGGCCCTGGCAGCCGCCAGGTGGGCACCGGCCGGGAGGGAGGGAGAGAGGGAGGGAGGCCGGGCCAGTCCCCCGAGTTCCTGCCCCACCCTGTCCTGGGCCGAGGAGCCGGGGGAGCCAGGCTAAGCACTCTCCATGGTCCCCAGCAGTGCGAGGGGCAGCTGCCGGAGAAGCATCGGTGCCGCCTGCCCGAGTACGTGGTCCGAGGCCCCCAGGAGTGGGTGGCAGGGAACCTGAGCGCCTGGGGGGATGGAGCTGCCGGCTTCACCCTGCCTGGCTTTCGCTTCCTGCCCCCGCCCCGCCCACCCAGCCCTGACCTGGCCCCACTGAAGCCCGAGGAGCACACCGTCAAGTTCGAGGTAAGTGGGGGGATGGAGGGCGGGGGCCGCAGAGGGTCAGAGCTGAGGCCTGCCCGGAGGTGCCAGGGGCACCGGCCAGTCCTCGTGACTGTCTCCGCAGTACATTGGGCTGGGAGCCGTGGCCGACTGTGTGGACGTGAACGTGACCGTGGGTGGTAAGCGCTGCCAGCACGAGCTCCGAGGGGATGTGGTCGTTTGTCCCCTGCCCCCCTCCCTGCCCCTGGGCAAGGACGGCACCCCGCTGCAGGTAAGCAGCTCGACTGGCTCTTCGCAGGAGGCGCGGGTGGGGGTCCGCAGGCCGGGCCTGAGCTGCCGCCTGCCCCCAGGTCTGCGTGGACGGTGAATGTCACACCCTGGGCAGAGTGGTGCGGCCGGGCTCGGAAGGCATCCCACGGAGAACGGTCCTCGGCATCCTGCTGGCCCTGGCCCTGCTCGTGGTTGTGCTGGCCACCGCGCTCGTCTTCAACTACCGGCGGAGGAAGCAGCTGGGTGAGCGCTCCACGCCCGCCCTGCCCTGACTCGGCCTCTGCCCCCCTGCAGTGGCGTCTCCAGGCCCCTACATCCTCTTTCTGCCCCTGCCCTGGGGGCCCGGCCCACACCTTCCGGGTGGAGGTCCGCCTCCAGGAGCTTGGAGAGGCTGTCTACCAGGGGCCTTCTTCCCACAGTCCTGTCTCCGAGCCTGCGGCACCCGGCGTCCTCGGACCAGATCGCCGGAGCCACACCTCTGTCCCCGCTCCAGTCCGGCTCCTGTTGCCGATACAGCCCCGGTGAGCGGGAGGTGCCGGCCGCTGAAGCCCCGCTCTCCACTCCGCAAGGCACTCACCCTCTCTCCTCCGCAGCAGCTCCTTCCGCGGGGGGTCTGGATCCCACCACTCGGGTCCACGGAGAGTTCTTCTCAGACAGTGGGGATGGGTCCCGAGTCCCTCTGCTTCGGACGAAGTCCATCCAGCTCGGGGACCTGGACTCTGCGCTCCTGGCCGAGGTCAAGGACGTGCTGATTCCCCACGAGCGGGTGGTCACCCACAGTGACCGAGTCATCGGCAAAGGTGAGGGGACCCGGCCAGGCGGGGCTGGGGCGGAGATGGGGTCCCAGGCTCACGGGGCAGCTAGGCAGGAGCGTCACCAACCCTCCGACTCTGGCCCTGTCACCCACGTGTGTGGCCTTGGGCGTCCCAAGGAACCTCTCTGAGCCTCCAGCTGCTCGTCCAGGAAGTGGGGGGTCGTTCTGTCTTCTGTGGGCTCGGGTGCAGATCAGGTGGGCCTGGGGGACCGCAGCCTCCGCTATCACGGAGCTCCTGCTTGTTGTTAACGTTGGGTCGGCCCGTCGGTGCCCCGGGGGTCTGGTGGTCACAGCAGAGCATGTGGTCCGAGCCCTGGGCGCCAGGGGGGCCCCCTCACCCTCTCCCCTCGCCAGGCCACTTCGGGGTCGTCTACCACGGAGAGTACACAGACGAGGCCCAGACGCGAGCTCACTGCGCCGTCAAGTCCCTGAGCCGTGAGTGGGGCGGAGGGCTGGGCGGGGCCTCCTCCCTGCTGGCCGCCGTCTCGCTGGGTGACCCCGAGCCGGAGACCCTGCTTCTCCGTTCCCCCGTCTGACCCCTGGGAAGGGCCGCCTGCCCCCGGCCTGACTCGTCGCGCTGCCCCGCCCGCAGGCATCACGGAGCTGCAGGAGGTGGAGGCCTTCCTGCGCGAGGGGCTGCTCATGCGCGGTCTGCACCACCCCAACGTGCTGGCCCTCATCGGAATCACGCTGCCGCCCGAGGGGCTGCCCCGGGTGCTGCTGCCCTACATGCGCCACGGGGACCTGCTCCGGTTCGTCCGCTCGCCCCAGCGGGTCAGTGCTCCGCGGGGCCCCGGGTCGGGAGGCTCGGGCAGCCGCTGGGGGTGGAGCTGCTCCGCCCTTGCCTACTGACCCCCCCGCGTGCCCCCAGAACCCCACGGTGAAGGACCTCATCAGCTTCGGACTGCAAGTAGCCCGCGGCATGGAGTACCTGGCGGAGCAGAAGTTCGTCCACAGGGACCTGGCTGCTCGGAACTGCATGTGAGGGGCTGGCGCGGGGGGGGGGGGGGGGCGGCGTCGGGGTGAAGGGAGGGGGCAGGGTCCCTGCCAGGGTCTCTAGCTGCCCTCAAGGCACCTCAGGGGAGACTCCCCGCTCCAGCCCTGGCCGCACAGCCCTGGCTGTGTCCTCCCCTCTCTGGCCTCAGTTTTCCTGCCTGCCCAGGTCAGGCTTACGGGGGACTCCGTGGCTCTGAGACCCTGTGAAGACCCGGGACGGGTGGGCTCAGGGCCTGCTGGGGGCCAGTCCTGAGTGGGACCCCCCTCTCCCAGGCTGGATGAGTCGTTCACAGTCAAGGTGGCCGACTTCGGCCTGGCCCGAGGCGTCCTGGACAAGGAGTACTACAGCGTCCAGCAGCACCGCCATGCTCGCCTGCCCGTCAAGTGGATGGCGCTGGAGAGTCTGCAGACCTACAGGTTCACCAGCAAGTCGGACGTGGTGAGACCCCACCCGCCCCAGCGTCCACGTGGCCTCGGTGTCCTCGGAGAGCCCTTGGCCTTGCCCCTTCGGCTCCAGATGAGGAGCCACACCCAGGGGTTCCCCGAGCTGGGCAGCCCCCACAGCCCAATCACCCACCTCTTGGGCAGGAGGAGGCTGTGCACTCACTGGCTCCTCAACACGGCAGGCCCTGCCCAGCCCCAGCTCTGGACCGGTGCGGGCGGTGGGAGGAGGCCCAGGGAAGATGCCCGTGAGGTGTTGAGGACCAGGCTGCGATTGGGGGTGGAGCCCCCATTTCCGGCGAGAGGGGTCTGGGAGGTAGAAGGCCTGGGAGGCCCACCTGCCCCCCAAGTTCGGGGTGGCAGTTGAGTGCCCTCGCCCTTCCCCTCCCCCAGTGGTCATTTGGGGTGCTGCTGTGGGAGCTGCTGACTCGAGGGGCGCCACCGTACCCTCACATCGACGCTTTTGACCTCACGCACTTCCTGGCCCAGGGTCGGCGCCTGCCCCAGCCGGAGTACTGCCCCGATTCTCTGTGAGTGCACACAGGCGCGGGTGCGGGGTGGGGGCCGGGCCCCGGAGACCAGGAGGGGTGGGAGGCCGAGTTCTTGCCTCGAGCTCTGTCTGACCGGCCCTGTGGTTGACCTGGCAAAGGACCCTCTCTGGGCCTTGGTTTCCTCATCTGCGGATCGGTGTTGCCCCTATTCAGGGCTGGGTGCTGGGAGGATAGGCTGGTCACCATGGTAACAGCATTCCCATCTCAGAGTCTGGGTTGAGGCCAGTGATTTGATTTCTCAGCAGTCCTCTCCCCCTCCCCTGCCAAGGGGGGCTGTTTTCCATCTTTTCCACTCACTTAGTCTCAAGGAAAGCTTCCATTAGCTCCCACACTAGCCCCCTCCGCGTCTCCAGATCAGATGTTTTTTTTCAAGGGATCTAGTTTCAGATTTCCCAGTCTTGGAGGCATGGCGACAGCTGTGTTGTCCTCGCTGCCTGGGGTGGTGGGGGGGGGGGCGGGTTTGGTGCGAGGTTCATCTTCTTGAGCGGCGAGTGCCTCCGCGGTGCCCAGGCGTCCGCGGTTAGGACGGAAGAGCCAGGTCACGGTCGTGTCTCCTGCTGCGCTCCAGCGGGGGACGCATAGCCCTCCCGCACGGCCCCGCCTGCCCCGAGCCTGCTCTCCGTTCCTCACGACGCCGATGCCTCTGGTGGGCAGGGAGGGACGTGAACTTCACTGCCCGTCTGCCCCCAGGCGGGCTTCCGGAACAGACTCCGAGGCGGAGATTCACGTGGGTGCTGGGTCCCTGGGAAGCAGGACTGGGCCCAGGCGGAGAGGCTGGGCGGCGAGGCAGGTGCAACAGAGGCTGCAGCCCGCCCCACGGGGTGGGGGTGGGGCGCTGGAGGCGATGGCCCTTTGCAGTTTCATGGAGCTAAGGTCCAGGGGCCCGGTCTTTGTCCCTGATGTGAAGCAGCCCTGGTGGTCACAGCTGTCCCCAAAGCAGGCGTGACCTTGGGAGAGGCCGCTCTTTCCCGCCTGGGGCCGTTCCTAGAGAGGACCTCAGCCCGGAGCTGGGCCATCAGCGGGGTCGGGGGAATGAGGGGCGGATCTGGGGTGGGTAGCACCCCACTGTCCCAGGGTAAGTCCCACCACCCCTCTGTGCCCCTTTCCTCCTCGGAGAAGTTGGGGTGCTCACAGGACCGCCCTCAGAGCGTCTGAGAGTTATGTGAGGTGCTGTCTGTAGGGGACTTAGAGGACCACTGAAGGCAGGGGTGACGTTCCCAAGCCAAAGGGACAAGCATCAGGTGCCACCAGGCGGCCCAGGGAAACTCCGCCTGGGAATGGGGGCACAGGGGGCACTGCCCCACATGTCCTTGTCTCCTGGCTCTGCGGCGTCCCCACGTCGCCGGACCTGGGCGTCTTGCCCACCAGGTGTGTGATGACGACCGAGGTGGCTTGTGGGCTGGGCCCTTCACGGGCCTCCTGTCACCTTGTGCCCCAGCGGCTGCAGGATCCAGGATCGGAGGAGGGTCCAGGGCCGCAGGGCGGTTAACAAACTTGCCCCCAATCAGCCCGAGGCACGAGGGCACGGGGCCCAAGCTCTTACCCCCTAAGGCACTTCGACCTGCGCCAGGTGGGGAGGCAGGACTGGAGCAGCCATGACAGTGAAGAGAAGAGCTGTCCCCGGCCGGGCGACGCTAGGCGTTAGGTCCTGGCCCCTGTCCTCCTGCCTGTGTGGCCTGCCAGGGGGCTCACCGCTGGGCAGCCCAGAATCCCTGGGCTGGGCTCCGACCTGCCGCTGACCTTGCCCTCCCCCGCCGCAGGTACGCGGTGATGCTGCGCTGCTGGGCGGCAGACCCTGCCGAGAGACCCACCTTCGGGACGCTGGCGAGGGAAGTCGAGCAACTGGCGGCGGCTCTGTGTGGGGACCACTACGTGCAGCTGTCCGTGGCCTACGTGAACCTGGGCCTGGATGCCCCCAAGGACGCCACTGTGCCCCCAGAACAGTCACTGTCCCCACCTGTGCCCAGGAGCCCCGGGCAGCCTCGGCCCCTCTCAGAGCCACCGAGGCCCACGTGACCTCAGCCCTAGGCAGGCCCCGAGGGGCTGGGCCTGCAGAGCCACTCCTGGGAGTTAACCTCTGGGCTGTGCCGCGCCAAGGGGGGGCCCGACCCGCACTCTGCCCTGTCCCTTACCCTCACCCGCCAGGCTGTAGGGGGGGAGCAAGGCACACTGACCCCTCACGCCACAGAGGGAGCCAGGGAGGGTGACCCTGGATGTAGTGAGTACTTACGGAGCCGTTGTGTGTCTGGCCTGCTGGGCACAGGGACCAGCCACCGGCCCACGAGCCAGTAAATAAACAGGTGACTATTTAAGCACAGACTGTGGTAAGTGCTATGAACGTAAAAAGATCTTTAGGAGAATGGGGGGCAGCGTTGGGCAGAAAGGTGAATACAGAGGTGAGGGAAGCGCCCCAAGAGGGGACGTTTTCTGCTGAGACCCTGTCAGGTGGGAGCCGTGCCAGCAGCAGAGTTGGAAGAGAGACCCTGAGGCTGGAAGGGTTTGGGGTCAGCGAGAAGGCCCCAGGGGGCAGGAAGGCAGGTGAGCCCCAGGCGTAAGTTTCGGGGCCCTGGGACTTTGGGACAGAACCAAGAGGGCTGCTGGGCACCCAGGACTGCAGCGGTCAGGGTGGCTTCTCCTGTCGCCCAGTCTGCTGTCCCCTTCCCTGGGCTCTTGTCCTTCTCCAGGGCTCCCTGCTCTGCCTGCAGCCCCCACCCCACCGCAGGCACACTGCCAGGGCAGGGACACTCCCCGCCCCACACACACACACCTGCCAGCATTGTCCCTGCAGCCTTGAGAGCTGTGAGCCAGCAGCAAGGCCTCAGCGCCACACTCTCCGGTACCAGCGTCGAGGTGCCGACTGCCCAGGCTGTTCATACTCGTCAAGGCCACTCCACACGAGCCTCCCGAAGGCCAGGCCCCACCGGAGGGGGAGAGCAGCTTCTCTTTGCACTAGCCCTTGCCACACCCTCGGTGCTGCGGGGGTGGCCGGGCCCAGGACATGCGGGTACATCACGGTGGTTCTGCTCTCTTGCTCAGGGCCCCTGTAGTCCCCATCCTGCCAGTTTGGGGCGCCCCAGTTCACCCTAAAGGGAGCATATTCCCTCTCCTGTGAGTCCCCAGCTCTGCCCCGTCTCATGGGACCCAGGTAAGCAGAGTGGGGGTCTCCTTGGGACTGGAGTTGCCCAGTGTTCTCCACACGTACTGCTGTCCGCTCGACCACCTCGGGCCAGTGGGAGGCCCAGCCCGGGAGGCTAAGGACCTACCTGAGGACAGGCAGACAAAGCTTAACAGGGGACTCTTCTGCTCGAGTGCCGGGGCCCAAAGATCAGGGGCCCGCGAGCTGGCGAGGGGTAGAGGCGGACGGACATTCTGCCCGTTCACCGCTGCACCTGTGCTGCCCACTCGGCGCAGGTGCGGAAGGGCTCGTGGCCTCCCTCCCTGGCTCGGCCAGAGACCCCGGTCCCCGTGACGGGTGGGGACGCAGCTGCGTCGTTGCCCCTGAGGCTGGGAGAGAGGCGAGTGGAATGTCTCAGGGAGCAGCCTCCCAGCCGTGGTCCCCATCCATACCTGTCTCGAAGGACTGTCTCAGTCCCTCTGACCTCCCACCCTCGTGCCCTGACCTTGTCCCGGGGATCTGAGGGTCACGCAGGGCTCGGGGAGAGATAGGAGCAGGCCCCGGGGCTTCTCTGGAGCTGGACGGAGGCTTCTTTCCCTCCGAACCTCTGCAGCTTGTGGACCGCTGGCTCATGTGCTCATCAGAGAGGGACTCAGAGGGACCCCACACTGGCCGGGAGGGGCCCTGGCGAGGAGAGACGTCCCAGAAAAGGGAAATGGAAGGGAGCTGGGGGGGGCAAGTTTCCAGGGTCAGGCTGCTCAGGGAGGGGCCCCAGGGAGGCCAGTGCTGGGGCTCCTGCATCGGGGCACAGCTGTGTCCCCTCCGAGTGCCCCTGGAGTGAGAGGAGCTGGAGCTGCTTCAGGGCTTTGAATCCCTGCCTGTGCCACCAGGCCGGTGAGGAAGGGTTAGGGTTGTTCCCGGGCCCCCAGGTGGGCCGGGAGACTCTGCGGGACTTCCAGGCTTCATGGAGGCTGCACTGCCTTCCCGTCGGGTGGTCTCAGGCACGATGGGTGGCCCGTGCGAGGGGGAGCTTGCTGGCGGCCACGGTGGGTGGCACGGGCAGAGCGTTCTCCCAGGGCCTCGGGAGACCGCCACTAGCTGTGGACAGAGACCCCGCTCAGCCAGCTCCTCCGCCTCCGTGGGGCTGGGGACGGGCAGGTGTCGGTAAAGGCCAGAGGGAGGCCAGGGTGCGAGCTGGGGCCCAGGGAGCGGCAGATGACTCACGGCCTCCTGAGCTCTCCCTGGTGGCCGCGGTGTCTGGCACCTGGAGGCATGCCGGCAGCACCCTGATCTGCTTTCACGGGGCACCACGAGCCTGGCCTGAAACCCTCCCCCCACCCCCACGTATGCCTCGGCCCCAGACCCTCAGGGAATTTCCCCAGGGATGCACATCCTTTTGTGGGGGGGGGGGTCCCACCGGAAGGCTCCAGATATGGTCCCACGTCAGGCCCCGGGACCTTCCTGGACAAGGGCTTCATCAGTGACTCCCTCATGCAGCCCGTGAGGTCCCGGGTCTGAGCCTGGTTAATCCCGTGAACTCAGTCCCTTCCCCTGTAGGAGGGAGCAGCACTCTCCGGTGCGGGGGTCAGGGGGCGGGCGCTGCTGCCGTGAGGGCCTGAGTGAGACTCACGGAGGCCTGGGCCGCAGCTCTGGCACGCGCTGCCTCTGCCTGGGGCCAGGCAGCCCCGGAATCGGTAGCGGAGCACGGAGCCTCCACCCCCAGGCCCTGGTGAAAAACGTGCTGTGCCCCGCGAGCCCAGAGGTGGGGCTGCACCTGTCTGCAGGAGCGGGAACGACTCGGTGGGGCACCCCCAGAGCCCCCCAGCCGGCACAGTGGGGCCCACTGAGCCCCAGTCTTTCGGGGTCTGTTCCCGTGGGCATTGTGCAGAGATGCCAGGAGAGCCCGGGCAGCTGCCACGTTTGCCTCTGGCTGTCATGGCCCCTGGGTGGGCTCTTCATGTCTGAGATGGTGACCGGGAGCATGGCCTGCAGACTGGTCCTGTCTTGACAGGAGCCCTTGGCCCAAAGGTAGGCAGCAGATGTCCAGCGGGTGGCAGAGCCTGCCTGACCCCGCTCAGTCCGGAGGTGTGGCACCTGAATCCCAGCCAGCCCCTACCGACACCCTCGGACGCTCTCAGAAATGACTGTTTCTCCTAGCCCTAGTTGGCGTAGCTCAGTGGATTGAGCGCAGGCTGCAAACCAAAGTGTTGCAGGTTCGATTCCCAGTCAGGGTACATACCTAGGTTGCAGGCCACAGCCCCCAGCAACCGCACATTGATGTTCCTCTCTCTCTATCTCCCTCCCTTCCCTCTCTAAAAATAAATAGGTAAAATTAAAAAAAAAAAGAAATGACTGTTTCTCCTGAACCCCGTCCCCGTCCGTCTGTCCCACACGGAGACTCACAGCCCCAGCCTCTACGTGGAAGCGTGGCTCCGCTCCTGAGCTTCCCCGTGGCCTCTGCATCTTGCTCTCTATTCGTTCGGCACCCCGGGCGTCCTCTGCCCGGGTCGCAGGATGTCCATCCCAGGCCTGGCCAGCACTGTTGGGCCGCCCTGGAAACAGAGGCCGCAAGAGCGAGCTTTCCCCTCACTTGGCAGGATGAGGAGCCCGGGGCCGTCTTCTGTCCTCTAGGCGCCCCGAGCCCCCTCCTCCACCCATCTGGCAGCCCTGGCTTTGGAAGGGAAGCAGAGGCACCAAGGGGCCTGGCAGCCCGCCCTGTGCTGGGAAGAGGGCAGGAGGCCTTCGCATGGGCGTCACCCATCCGTCGCATTGTTTCTCCGCAGGAGCTCAGGGGTCAGGCTGGAGCTCAGCAGCGGGGGAGCCGGAGGAAGTTGCCGAATCCCTAGGGCTGAGCCTGGGCAGTGGCAGAGGGGGCCCACGAGGCTTCTGACGCCAGGGCATCCTCTGCTTCCCTCCTTTTTGCTGACTGTCACGTTCGTTGAGCCACCTGCACCCTTGTGGTCAGCCTTGGACTGGGCACTTGGGGTCTGGGAATGCATCAGGGGAGGCAGGGACTGAAAGTGGCTGGTGGGCCAGATCACAGAATTCTGTCAGCTGCGAAGCCGGCACCTTCCCTCATGCCACAGGTGCACCTGTGCAGCCCGGACCGTGGACCCTTAGTGTCAGCCAAGCAGTCAGCTCCACCCCTGGGCTCCGTGGTAGTGACGGCTTCAGGCAGGCGTTAGTCCTGCTCACATGATCCCCCAAGCTGGGGGTGCCCCTCTTCAAAGGGGTAAAGGGAGGCTTTGGGCAGCCCCAGCCACCCTGCCCTCATGGGCTCCTGCTTGGGGACCCCGAGGGAGGGCAGCTCCGCCCACATCCCCTCCACAGGCAGGGTTGGAGGTCTCTTCTCAGCCGTCACGAGGCCACGTGTGCTTCTGACAGCCCTGGCTCTGCCGCGCCTCTGCTGGCTTCTGGGCAAGGACGGCTCCCTGGGAGGGTGCGGAGCCCACCCGGCCCCTACGGCGGCCGCGGCAGCAGGGAGGGCGCCTGTGCGGTTGCCCTCCCCGCGGGCTGGTGCGGCTGGCCAGCTTTCACGCAGAGTTACGTAAGCCTGAGTCAATTGGAGCTCCGAGCGGTTCATTGTGGGCTATTTTTAAGCTGTAACACATCGCAGCAGAGGGGTCACTGCACCGAGGCTTGCAGGGAAGATTGTTTAAACATCTGTTATTTAAATTCCTCTATGCCTTAGAGCTTAAAAGCTGCATCCTCTTGGCACTCTTGGGTTCCGCCTTCCACAGCCCAGATCAGGAGCGGGTTACCGCCCCTCACCCCACCATCGGTTCCCTGAGGGCTGGGGTTTCTCTGCACCTTGGCCGTCTCCCTTTAGGGTCAGGCGGGGGCCTGAGAGGAGGAGATGCCAGTTCCTTGAACATTGGCATGGGGGCGCCCTGGCCAGGAGACTTCAGGGGAGCAAGGGGTCCGGGCTCACAGGTCCCGCGAGGCCCCAGGGAGGAGGGTCGGGAGACGGAGACACAGACAGCGCTCGGTGTGGAGCTGGGAGACCGAGCATGCTTCCTCCCCCCTGGGGGCCTTGGCTTCCCATCAGCGCCCAGAAAGGGCTGGCACAAATGATCCTTTCGGGTCTTTTCAGAAGCCAGCCTTTGCCCGGGCTGTGTTCCTTCCCGGAGTGCGGCCCCTGCCCCCAGATCTAAATCGAGATCTAAGTGCTGCCCATCTGCAGTCTCTGGTGTCTGAGCCCCGGGCGGTGGACAGGGGCGAACCTCTGGGGAGCAGGCCTGCTGCTTGCTGCATTAGCAAGTGGCTGGCTGCGCCGGGAGCCCCTTCAGCCTCCTTCTGGGTTCTTTAAAAAAGATTTATTTATCTTTAGAGAGAGGGGAAGTGAGGGAGAAAGAGAGGAGAGAAACATCGGTGTGCAAGAGATAGGTCCATTGGTTGCCTCCTGCACGCCCCCACCCGGGGACCTGACCTGCAACCCAGGCGTGCGCCCTGACTGGCGTTCGAACCAGCAGGCCGGCACTCAGTCCACTGAGCCACACCAGCCGGGGCTCTGTTTCATATTTGTTGTTTTTTCTTTGTTCCCTTTTAAGCTCCTCCCGATCCTGGAGTTTTGGAGATGTGCAGAGGCTTCCCGGGGCGCAGGAGGAGCGGGCAGGTGGGCCGGAGGAGTGCGGGTCTGGGGACCCGACAGAGCTGTCTCCCGGGGCCGCAGAGGAGCCCGAGTCCGTCCGCGCTGGAGCAGCAGGCGCGGGAGACTTGGCTGGTCAGGGGGCTCCCAGCCCAGTGGAGCTTTCTGCACCCCTTCCCTTGATGGCGTCCTGCCCGCCGCCCTCGGGCCCTCCTGGGTGGGGGGGGCTCTGGCGTGATCCACAGGAAGGAAGAGTCCCTCGGAGTGGCCGACTCTCCCCACCTCGGGAAGTCTCCCCCTCTCCACAGAGGCTGGGGGCCTGCCCGCAAACCTGACAGGTGGGAGGCAGGTGAGGCATGAGAGGAGGCAGTGCGGGGACCTGCCCTCACAGGGGGCACCCTGGGTGGCCGTGCCCTGAGACTGAGCTCCTTGGAGTTCCTTCTCGGCCCCTCCACGCCAGAGAGCCCTCAGCCTGGGGAATGGGCTTGGCCTGGGGGAGGGGCTCTCAGGTTGCCATGGCAACATGTTGGCCCTCCTCACTTTCTAGAATCAGAAATAGAATTGGATGCCCTTCTTCCTGGTGAGAGACTATTTAAAAACATGTTGGGGGGGTACAGGGGGCAATGTTCCTGCTTGATTCCTGGGGGCTGGGCAAAAGGGCCCCCCTGCCTGGGGGCCTCTCTAGCTGCCCTGCTGCCCCTCCCCTCAGAGGGACTTAATGGAACGGGCTTTGGCCGGCCAAGAGTTCTGCGTACAAAGGACTCAGCCTGGTCCCTCAGGCCCCTACTCAGCACCGCCCGGTTGACTGCGCCAACAGGGAAAATGCCCCTTCCCAGGCCTGGGCCGCCTGCTGAGCTACAGGGGGGAGGAGCAGCCATGGGGTCACCCCCCCGGGTGGGGCTGCAGCTCTCGGAGGAGGAGTGTGTTGGCTTCCCTCCAGCAGGGTCCGTGCCACGTGGCCCTGGGCACGGCACCCGCGGTAGCACCGTAGATTCAGCAGTGTCGGTCCAACGCCCGGTGGCCTGGCTTCAGATTCTGCCTCTACGGCTGCTCACTAGAGCCGAGAGCTCTGGGAAGTCGCTCTCCTCTCCGGGCCTTGATGTCCTCGTCTGTAAAACAAGGACGACAGTGGCAGGCTCACGGAGCTGCCGTGGGGCTGGGCTCCGCGTGCTCAGCGCTGCCCTGCGCAGAGGGAGACCGCAGTCACTCACACGGTCGTTCCTGTTGCTGGAGGGGTGTCTGCTTCCCTGGGGGGAAGACCCTTCTCCTCGCTCCAGATGGCCCTCTTTGGCCTTGCTTCCTGGGCTACACCCTCCGGCTGGCTCCGCTCCCTCCCCCAGGACTCCTCAGGCCACTTGTTCACAGAAGCCCGGTCCCGAAAGGGGGACTGTGGCCCTCTTCTGCAGGAGGTCGGGGATGGCTCACCAGTTAGCCAGTCGGGGGGCTCCCAGGGCCTCCCACCATGCCGACCCAGCCCTCCCGGGCGCAGCCCAGCCCAAGGGCTGCACAGGATCTAGCGTCTCCATTGTGTGTGTGGGGGGGGGGGCAACACCCCAAAGGCAGTTCTTGGGGCCAGAGATCCGTGAAGCCAATGGTGTTTGGTGTGTGTGTGTGTGTGTGATGTGCGTTCAGCCCCCAGACCCCCGGCTCTGCCGCCTCCCTGGGCCATGGCGTGTGGTGAGCAGCCAGGAGCAGAGACCTCTGGCTGCATTTGTGCCTGAGGCAGCATCTGGGGAAGGGGAGGGGCCCCGAGGGCCCGAGGCCTGGCTGAGTCAGGCTGCGCCCAGCACCGCGTCGGGAAGGTGCAGACGCAGCACAGCGCTAGCCTGGGCCCCAGGTCACACCGCTTCACACCCCACGGCCAACTGTAAGCACTATTTTTAACCTCTGTGAAAACACGCAGCTTCAGAGGACGCGCCTACAGCTGCCCTCTCCACAGACCTGTTTCCTGGGCAGCAAGACTGAGGCCTGAAAGGACTGGCCTGGAGGGCAGAGGGAGGGGGCCCCGAGCTCACAGCTCCGGGAGGGGGCGGAGGAGGGCCCGACCCGCTGCCAGGCCGGGACCTCCAGGCCCAGGCCCAGGCCTTTGGCGGTGAGCGATGCCCCGGACGGCCGCCCAGGCCTGTCCTCTGTGGTTTCGGGGCAGGTCTGGGCCCGGGCTGGTGGTCTAGGCAGGCCCCACCCCTCTCTGCCCCTCTGCCTGTCTGAGAGGAAATGGGGAGTGGAACTGTCCACCTGGCCTAGAGCTTGCATTTCCTGGAAGTCCACCCAATGTCCAGTCCTTCGCCTGACTGGCCGTCATCGTATGTGCGGCCGTGCCCACTGTGTGTCTGGGCCGGCACCCGCTGTGCCCCACTGTGTACCAGCCCTGGAGCCACTATGTCCCTCTGTGCCCCAACTTGTAATTGTCACTTGGCTGGCCCTGGGTTCCCCGTGGCCCAGCCCTATACCCAGTGTTCTAGCCCCCTTCTGGCCACCATGTGACAAGAGCTGGAACACTCTGACTTGAGAATTCTGAGCCGAGGCCCTGCCCCCCCACCCCCTGCGGTCCCCATCCCCACCTTTGCGGGACACCAGTCCCAGGTTTCAAGGACATGTGGCTCTGGGGAGGGGGCTCTGCGAGGCGCAGGCAGAGGAGAACCATCTGGAGCCGAAAGACTGCCAAGGAGCTTCTGTCCCTGGAGCGGGAGCCGGAGAGCCTGGGGGAGGGGAGCCTGGGTCTGAGCCTGGGCCCCTCCCCCTCCTCCACCCCCGGGACTGAGTGGGGAAGGGGCTTTGGCCCCACAGTGGGCCTCCTGTCACATACTCGGAACCGCCTCCATGGGTCGGGGCCTCGTATCAAGTTGCCACACGGCTAAGGAGGAGAAAGAGCCACACGTGACACGTGAGGCGGACTGGGCACCCGGGGGCGTCCTCGGCACCTCCCCGTCCACCTTCCTCTCTCGGCCTTCCGCCGCCCACCCTCCCGGCTCCCAGAGTGCCGCCTCACTTTAGGGCTGGGCCGAGCAGGGCAGTCGGTCACCTGGCTGGCAAGGGGACGGGTGGCCGGCCCGGGACTGGCAGGCTCTACTGGGCTGACCGGGCCTTTCTGTCTCCCCAGCTTCCCTGGGTGGGGCCCCTGGGTCTCCACACCCTGTCGCCCCCACCCAGGTCACTGGGGGCTGTGATGTGTGGGGTCGTCATGGTAATGCAGTGGGGGCAGGGCCCCTAGGGCATGGAGCAGGACTATGGAGGTCACCAAGAAGGCGGGGGACCCTGAGACATTGGGCCCCTGGGACTACCCCTCAGACAGAAGCCAGCGGCTGGGGAGTAGCCTCAGAGGGCCCCAGGGACTATGGGCAAACTCAGGGTCCATATACCTGAGGCCGGGGTCGTCACTGCCCACTGAGGCCGTCCCTGAGGGGGCCTACAGCCCAGCCCTCCAGGTCTATGTCCCTGAGTCCATCTACCAGCTACTCCTGGACCCTGCTGAGGCTGGTGCACAGGCTGGCTACGAGCAGGCCTCCCCCGATGCCACGAGGGCCTCCTCCGCTAGCCTGTTGCCAAGCCCCATCGTGGGAGCCCAGTTGCATCTCATCATGGAGGATGGGACCCTGGCCCTACCCTTGAACATGCACAGTGACAGCACCAGTGACGTGGTCCAGCACGGACTCGGCTGCCCCTGGTTTCAGGTGCAGGGCACGAGGGAGGGCAAGGCTCCAGCTAAAGTCCTGGTGGGCTGGGGCAAAGGGCCCTGCAGCGCCGACCAGAGAGCTCCCTTGGGCGTTAGGACGAGCCAGTGGCTCCCCTCTTCCCTTCCAGGGGAGGATGGCTCGGCTCTAGCCCCGGGTCCTCTTCTGGCTGCAGCCCAAGGTCAGGACCAGGGTGAGTGCCGGTGCCTGGCTCACGCTCCTCCGCCTTCACCTCTGGCAAATGCTCCAGCTCTGGGGGCACCCCCAAAGCCAGCAGCAGTCGAACCTTACACCTGCAGCCCCGACCACCTGACTGGCAGCACCACCGTCGCCAAGGGCTTGTCCCGAGACCCCCTGCTCAGGAAGTGTGGCAACCAACTGTCAGTCCTCTTGGAGCCTTCCGGCGTGGCCACATCTTGCCAGGACAGAGTGAATTTCGGTTCTCAGGGGAAGCATCCCACCCCGGGACCCATTCAGAAAGAGCTCCCCGGCCATGCCCACGAGCTCCAGGTTGCCGGAAGGCAGGTGTTACTCCAGCAGCCTGAGAAGCCGCTGGCCTATGCCTCCAGGCCAGACAGCTCAACATCGGTCTCAGGAAGGCCGGGCACCCCCAAGTTCTGCTGGAGGAGCAGCCAGCAGACCTGCGGCCCCCAGTCAGCCAGGCAGCCCCTCACAGTTGGCAACACCACCTGCTTCAGTGTGCCCCTCTATGCCTGCCAAGCCACCCACCACGAGCCGTGCCCAGTCCAGCCTCTGGAAGAAGCCATGCAGACCGCCCTCTCCACTGCTCCTGCCTGCTATCTCTGGGACGCCCAGGAAGACCGTGTGCTGGTGTTTGATGTGGCCACGGGCGACACCAGGATAGGACAGCTGTGCCATGACCCCATGGGCTCACGAGCAGTGCTGGTGGGCCTCACGCCCAGACACTCGGCCGTTTATGCCCCTGAAAATACGCCGTCCCCCTGGCCAGCGGCCGTGCCCGTCGCCTCTCCTGACAGCAACCACCCCGGCTTCTGGCCCGTCTCGTCGGTGCTGTCTAGCCCTGTGCCCTCCAGCATCTCTCCTGGCAGCTACCGAGAGGTGGCCCTGGTCCCCAAGGAGGCCAGGCTCCACCTGGACACCCCTGGGACTGAGACACCCGTCAGGGTGGGGATGCTTACTGGGCCTGTGCAGTTGGGGATGCCCCTCCAATTTGGTGCGAGGACGTTGAACCAGGTCCATGGTCTTGGCTACTCCGAACCTAACGCTGAAAAAACTGAATCCAGTCACACCATCTGGACGCGGGATGCTGCCGGGGCGCAGGATGCATCCATGGCCCAGGCCAGGAAACTGCAGCAGGTGGACGCAGGGTCAGCCCCAGAGCCTGCTCCTTCAGCTGCACCGCAGGAGGCGCCCCGATCCCTGCTCCTGGAGGACAGGGGCGCACACGGCCGGAAAGAGGTCCACGCCACTCACCCCAACAGACCCCAGGCTGAAGGCGCTAGGCAGGACCCGCGCGGTGGTTGGCCCCCACCAGCTGAGCAGCGCCCCCTCTCTGGACAGCCCCCTCCAACGAGCCCGCCTGCCTCTGCTGAGCAGCCCCCCTCGACCAAGCATCCCCCTCTTCCTGACCAGCCCCCTCTCACTGAGGGACCACCCTTCCCAGGCAGCCTCCCTTTCCCCAAGAACTCCCCGCCTCCACAGAGCCCGTCCTCCCAGGAGGCCCCCCGTCCCGCAGGGAGGCTGGCCAGGCTTCCGTGCTGCACCAGGAGCGGGAGGCCTTGGGTCTGCCCACCCACGTGGGGGTGCTTCGGGTGCCCCTGGCCCCTGAAAAGACCCACGGTGTCCACGTGGGCAGAGAAAAGGCCGGCATCGGTGCCACTCCAAGCTCCGGCACACGGCGGCGCTCACCCTGGCCACCGGGCGGCTCTCTCGGCGCCCCGGAGGAGCAGCTCTCCCTGACCACGCCCACCACACCCGGCCCTGGCTGCAGGGTCTTGCCCATGGCCACGGGGGGCACTGAGCCCCAGGGTCCCCAGCCCAAGCTGGCGGCTGAGGACAGTACGGACTCTGCAGTGGTCACAAAACCTGGCCCGCTCCGTGGGGCCTACTCCGAGCCGGCGTCCCCCACAGACTTTCTGCTGGTACGGTCCCCAGCTCCCTGCTGCCACTCCCTGGGCCCTTATCAGGACCTGGCAGCTGTAGTGATCGACACAGGAACGGGCTTCACCAAGTACGGACTGACCGGAGAGGACCACGTCCTCGGCGTGGTGCCCTCATGCGTGCAGGCGCTGCAGCCGCCCGACCAGCACCAGCCCGGGTGCACGCTGCCCAAGGACGGAGAAGGCCCCCGCACGATGCTGAATCGCGGGGTGGTCTCCGACTGGGACGCGCTGGAGGCACTGTGGCAGCACCTGTTCTTCTGCAGGCTGGGCGTGCAGCCCGAGGAGCTGGCCGTCCTCGTAGCCGACTCGCCCATCTCGCCGCGCACCAACCGCGAGAAGGTGGCCGAAATTCTCTTCGAGCATTTCCACGTGCCAGCCATGCAGACGGCGCACCAGGCCCTGCTGGCGCTCTACGCTTGCGGGCGCACCACTGGGCTGGTGCTGGGCAGTGGGCACGGCACCTCCTACGTGGCGCCCATCCTCACGGGCGATCTGGCCCCGCTTGACACCTACCGCCTGGACGTGGCCGGTGTGGACCTCACTGAATACCTGGATCAGCTGTTGCGGGCTGGCGGCCACCCGCCACCCGAGAAAGGGCTGGTCAACCAGCTTAAAGAGGCCTGCTGCTACGTGGCGTTGGACGTGAAAGCCGAGATGGCCCGCACCCAGGCCCAGGCCCGGGTGGACTTCACACTTCCGGACAAGCAGGTCTTCACGCTGGGCTCCGAGCGCTTCTGCTGCCCCGAGGCCCTCTTCCAGCCCGATCTGCTGGGCCTCGACCAGCCGGGCCTCCCACAGCTAGCCCTCCTAAGCATCAGCCGGCTGGAGGCCAAGCAGCAGGAGCAGCTGCTGGCCAACGTGGTGCTGGAGGGCGGCAGCACCATGCTGGCTGGCTTTCCTGAGCGCCTGAGACAGGACCTGGGTCCTCGGGCAACCGTGCTGAGCTCTCCCCACCGCGCAGTTGCCGCCTGGCTCGGGGGCTCCATCATGGCATCCCGGGACTCCTTCCAGAGCCTGTGGCTCAGCCGCCGTGAGTACGAGGAGGAGGGCCCATGGGCCATCTACAAGTACCACCTGTGAGCACATAAAAGTTCTGGTTCTCCTTACTTGGAGCACTGTGGCATGTTTTAGGCCCAGGGCGCTGTGGGCAGGGCAGGGGCCTCGGTATGGGGTCAGGGACGCGGTCCGTGGCACACCGAGGGCACACCCAGCCTCTGCACGCTGGAGCTCCGCAGGTCCCGGCAATCCCATCCTTTGTAGAGGGTGTGCCAAGGGCCCCTTGGCATTGACCCGTGTCTAACCTGACCTTTACTGCACCCCAAGGGCAAACACAGAGAGTGGCTGCTGTGGGTTTTGCCCCGTTGCCCTGGCGACAAGTGCAATTACATTTGATTGCCAGCTGGTTGCCATGGCAATTTCAAACATAATGTAATAACCCACACAGCCTGGAGTGAGTCATGATGGGGGGCAGCCCCCTCCCCTAGCTGCTCAGGAGAAGACTATTTGCCCTCCCCCACCCTGGGCTCTCTACAGGGGGCTGAGGCCAGCAACAGAGACGACAGCCAAATAGTTCCAAAGATGGCTGGGGACCTGGAGCATTTGTTGCCCCCAAGGGACAGTACCTGCCAGAGTCTGGGCTCCATGGGGTAGATAGCTTGTAATGCAGTTACCTCCTAAAGTCTGAACTTCAGCTGGAGCTCTCTGCTGGGCAGGCAGGGGCTCCCGTCCACCGGACGGAATGTGAGGGTGCGGGAGTGCTGGCCTTCAGTTCTCCGGGGCAGGAAGTTGGGGCGGTGGGGCAGATAAGTCCTGGCGCCCGGACAGGAGCGGGGAAGCACCCCTGAGCAGGGGGTGGGACTCTGGCCCGGTCTGCAGGCTCACACTGGATCCTGCCTCTCTGACATCCAGCCCGGGTGAGAGGTGGAACAGCCAGCTTCGGACTCTCTTCTGCTGCTCAGCCGCCCAGTGCCAACAGCCCTTGCTCACAGGGTGGCCGGGGGACACGCCACCTCAGGAGAGCCTCCTCGAGGCTACCAGGCAATGCTGACGCCAAGGCCAACCACCCCTGCTCGGGTCCCAAACTCTATCCTGTGCTGGGGCCTCTCGCCATCCCTCTGGCCAGGGGATTGGCCAGAAGCCATGGCTCCTGACCTTGTCTGGCTCTGAAAGTGGGAGTAGAAACAAAGGCCTGTGGTCCCAGCCCGTGGTCCGATAAAGCTGGAAGGGTGGCATTCAGCTGGTGGTATTACTTCCTGCCCCGAGGGCACCTGAAGACCAAAGCCTTACTTTACCCTGCTTGTGCCGCTCGGGCTGGAGGCTTGAGGGATAAACTATGGCCCAACCTCAACCCTGGGATCTGCCTTTAGGTTGCCCTCTCCAGAAAAGACAAAGACCTGGTTACACCTTCCCACCACAGGCGTGCACACACACACACCCCTGCAAATGAGGGGCTGCCCTAAGTGCAGAGACTAGAAACAGCCAATAACATAGGGTCATCCCAGCCCCTGCGCACCCCCAAGCACGGTCCAGCCTCTTTCCATGTCCCGTCCTCACACCCTAGTTCAGTCTCCACAACCCTCAGGCTCGTGTCGCGCCGGAAGGGCCCCAGTGTCTCCCGGGACGAGCTGCTGCATCCGCGAGCACGTGCGAGCAAGCACGCCTGGGTGCACACAGAACGCAGACACACGTGCCCCTGGGCACCACTGCACACACAGTGCTGCTGCCTTCTCCTTTAGCAGAAGAGCACACACACACACACACACACACTCACACGTGTGCACACACACCCTGCCACGTGCTCTCACCCACAGGCACATGGAGTGTGCACAGGACCAAGAAGAGGTGGAGCCCTGCCAGCGGCAGGCAGGGCTCTCGCAAGCCACCTCTTCCCCTGCCTCCAAACCCCCCGTCGCAGCCCCTCCATAGCTCAGCTTCTCCGAGCCTGGACATGCGCGACCTTCGGGAAAGACAGAGAACGTGTGTGACGTGGGGGCTCAGCCGGCCGTGGCCCAGCTGCACCACGTCGCTCGGAGAGCCACGGGGTCAGGGACAGTGGGCAGACAGCGGGCAGCACGGAGTGCCAGGGTGCTCATTCACGCTGCAGGCGGGCGCTGAGCGTGCGGCGGGGAGACGCAGGCTGTGCGCTGCACGTGCCCAGCTTGCCCGGAGATGCCTCCTCAGGGGTGGGGTCGGTGCCGGGACTGAGACCACCCAGACGTGACATCAGTCTGGCCCGGAAGCGGGGACCCAAGGCCAGGGAGGGATGTGAAGGGCTCCCAACACCACCCCTCCCCAGGAAGATATTGAGGGGCCTTGTTTGAGCAGTCACTGCCCGGGCTAGCCTTCCACCCCAGCCCATCTCCCACATTTGGGGAGTCGCTCCGGTCAGCAGCCACGAGGAGCCATGCAGGGAAGACTTAACACAGCCAAGGGGTGGGGGGGGACCCCTCCTAGGCTGGGGTCAGAAGGCTCGCTGGGAAGGCTGGGTCTGAGTCTGTCCCTCAGAGACCGGCCTCAGGGCCTGTGAGGGAAAAGGGGTGAGCACCAGGTCCATGCACCTCCCTGACAAGGGACGGAGAAATGGCCAAAGCCTTCCTCTGGAGCTTCTGCCTGGTGGTCCTCAGCCTCCCCCAGCGAGGGGCTGGCTCTGGCCGGCCCCCGGCCAGAGAAACAGAGGCAGTGTAGGGCTTCCTCGTCCTGGCTTCCGTGTCCAGCTGCCCTCTGGGTCTGCGGCCCCGTATCCCAGCCCAGGGCACCTACCGATGGCGACTCTGCTCATGAAGTGCTTGGGGGGAGGGGCGGGGGTGTTGGTAAAACTGGGAAGAAAGCGGGTTCCACACCATGCCATAGGAGGTGACTTTTACACTGTGGGAAATTCAGTGCGACACAGGGAGGGCTGGCGGGGCCAGCCAACCTGGCCCAGACTTGAAGCTGGCCAAGGCTTTGGCCTTGCAGGAGTGGGGTTTGGGGCGGGAAGGAGATTCTGCCGGCGGTGGTCTGGAGCCCTCACCAGCCAGTTGCGCGCGCGCACGCGCGCACTCACGCCCCCCGTTTGTTTACTACTCCTAGCTAGGGGATGCTAGCCTGTAGCGGTGCCGCTCGCCTGAGCGACTGCCCACTTGGTGCTTCCAAGCGCGTTCCAGCCCTCGGGTCCTGTGCGGCTCCGGGACTCAGGCGTTCCGCACACCTCCTAGTCCCCAGCTCTGCAGTGGGCATAGGGAGGCCCCTGCGACCCCTGGTGCCCGGTCGGTTCGAGGGCCTAAGGGCGCCTAAGGGGTGGCAGACCTGAGCCACCCCTGTCCGCTCGCCTTCGAGTGGGGTTCGGGCCACAGGCTTCGCCAGGGGCGGGGCGGAGCCAGCTGAGGGAAGCCCCGCCCCCAGCCCGCCCCCGGCCCGGGGTGCGAATCTGATGCGGGCGAGCGGCGGGAGATGCTGGAGGTTCGCGAGCCGGAGCGGCTGCAGCTGGCGCCGCGTCTGCCCCGCGTGCTCGGAGCAGATTCTGCCCGCCGCCCCTGGAGCCTTCGGTGCCCCCGCTGAACCTGCGATCGCATCCTCCTTGTGATCGACCGGCGCTGCAGGTGCGGAACGGGCCGGGCGGGGGGCGCCCCCCCCCCCCGCCCAGAGAATGCACGTTGTGGTCTTGGGGGATTGGGTCTCTGGTTCGAGGTTCGGGTCGCCGAGTGTGCGGGTCCCCGCGAAGCGTGGGGCTTCGGCGGGGGCAGAGGGCAGAGCACGCGGGCTCTGCGGATCCGGGGGTCGGCGTGCGGGGTTGGGCTAAAGTTCCCGGTCACCTCTGACGGCTGGGTGAGGGGTCTCAGGGGAAGCCTCCGAGCCAGGTGCAGGCGAATCTTCTGCACCTGCCCCCCGCCCCCCCTTGTGTACTCCCCGCCCCCCCCCCCCGCCTCGTTAGGCTCCTAATCGTGAAAGCATTAACCCTCAGACATTCGTGGTGCCCCAACCGGGGTAGGGCCCGCGAGCTGTATGGTCCTTCCTGACTCCCGGCGCCTCCAGCCCTCCCAACGGCCCCCGGCTCGCTCCCTCCCTCCCGCGCAAAGCAGTCACTAATTTCCATGACAACAGAGTTTTTTATGGACGACAACCTGGAGGGGGCTGGGCGGGGCTGCTGGGAGCGGGGAAGGGGCTCCAAGCCCCTGGGGACCAGCAGCCCCCTAGCCGAGACCCAGATCCCGAGCCTGAACGTGGGGCCTAGCGGGGGGTTCCAGGCACCGCCAGCGCTGGGCGGTGCGGGTGGGGGACGCACATGTTTCTGCTGGGAGGTGCGGGGCTTGGCGCTCACACGTGTGCCTCCCGCATGTGTATGGCTGTGCCAGCGGGGGCGAGCCAGCAGCGCTGGGGAAGGGGGCCAGGGTGGCACCGCGGAGGGAAGCAGGGGCCCCGGCGAAGGAGGGGTGAACGGTGAAAGAGGGGGTGTTTTCCTTCCCCAGCCTGTAGCATCTGCAGAGACCCTAGGCCCCCCCCCCAGGGCCCCCCCTCCATGGCTCTGCAAACTGCTTTTGTCCGCACCCCTCAGGCAGAGGCTGCTCCGCCAGCTCCCCTCTGAGGAGCAGGCCCTCCGTCCCTCCCCAAAAGCTCAGTCTGCAGCAGTCCCGTCCCTGCACTGCCGCCCGCCTCCAAGGCACAGGCTTTGAGACCCCCCAGGACCACCTGCGGAGGCCTGGCTGCCCCCCCACCCCCGGCTGGTTCCTGTCAGCTTTAGGCACTTGCTGGGCCCCAGCTTCCTCAGCTGGGGTTCCTGGGTCCCCACTTCTCTCGGTGTCGGCCTGGGCCCTGGGGTGGAGAGGCCTCTCCCCTCTCCCCTCCCCCCTTTTTTAAAGAGCATTTGGTGTGGACTCCAGGTGCCATAGGCTGTCTTTCCCGTACCTGCTGCTGGCCCCCCTCTGCAGCCCACGTCCTGGCCACCACTCACTAGTGGGGATCAGTCCTTGCTCGGGAAGAAGGCCTCCCAGTCTGCGATCCCTATCTAGGGAAACTGAGGCAAGGGGAGGTAGGGCCGTGCAATTGTCATCCTGTTTCTAGGTGGCTTCGGGCGCTCTTTCTGGCTCTCCTGACGGGCTGCACTGTTGGGAGGGGACAGGGGCGGCAGGGAATTAGGCTGAGACGCTGGAGGAGCCCTGGGGACCCGCGGCCGCCCGGAGAGCGGAGCGGAAGGGGAGCGTGCGGCAGGGGAGCTGGGCCGGCTGGGAGGAGGGGCTGGGAAGGGGAGCAGCCAGGTCTCCGAGCTTGTTTCCAGCCCCCTGGTACCTTCCACCTTGCACATACGGGGCCTGCCCGACCTGAGCCCTGAGTCGGGGCGATGATGGCTGGCGGGAGGGGCTGAGGCACTGCTTTGACTTCAGGGATGGCAACAGTTGGCCTCCTCCCCCAGGCTGAGGCTGTGCCTCCCACATCAAGTTCCAGGCACGTCCGGGGGACCCGGGGACCGGGGGCTCGGCTGCAAAGGCCCAGGCTCCAGGGCAGCTCCCGGCGCGGGTGTTCAGGGCTCGTGGCCACGGAGGCCTCGGGGCTCTGCTGGCGCCCACGGGCCCCTTCAGAGCCACCTGCCCGCCTTCCCCTCCTGTATCCTGGTGGCTGCTTCCTTTTTATTCCATTGCCTCTCTGCACCCCTTCCATCATAGGGTGTGCCTTTGTCTCTCTGTGCCTTGCCCTGCTCTCTCTTTTTTATCTCAGTCCCCCCACCTCCCTACCCTCCACAGGAACCAGCGCCACGGAGCCTATGGGGACCCACAGGGAAGGATGCTGGCAGACGCCTCAGGGAATTCTTGCAGAAGGGGTTTGGCCAGCACCTCCCTCCTCCCCTTCCCCTTGTTTTAAAACTTCCATCACCATAGCAACCCCTTGCTCTCTGAGCCTTCCCTTGCATTTCCCCTCCTCCACCCACAAGGAGGCAGGGTCCCCAGTGGATTTTTCCTTCAGGGGTTCAAAGATTGGGACCCCCGGCTCCTGGGGAGGTCAGTTGGCTCTTGGCTCTTGGCTCTGGCTGCATGTTGAGGACTGAACTTTCTAGAAGCAGTGCAGGACTGTGTGCCCACCCCAGAGACCCTCTCTCCATACTCCCTCATCAGATGGGAGCGAGTCCGCAGCAGGGGCTGGGGACAACGGCCTAGCCAGAGGCTGACCCGCAGCCAGCACCACTCCTGGCCCATCCCCTGAAGCAGCTGGACGGTGGGCTAGGAGCTCGGCCCTGCCTCCTGACGCCAGCCCCTGAGCACGAGGTCTCCAGCCCCCCCCGGCCCTCCGGGTGAGGCCTCAGCGGCGGGCCAGGCAGGGCCTGGGCTTAGGTGAGCGTGTCCATTGCATCAGGAGACCCAGCCCCAGTCCCCGAGGGAGGAGAGCAGGGAAAGGGAGCGGGTGCTGCAGGCTGGTGTTCACAGCTGCCACTAAATCGGGAGGTGTTGTCCACAGTTGCCGGGAGGCAGCCGAAGCCTCCTGGCCCCCCAAGCCTTCCTAGGGTTGCTGTGAGCTGTGGAACCCCACACGACAGAGGACAGGGTGGCAGGAAACTCCTGTGTATGCCTAAGGAAAGTGGGGTCAGCACCAGGTTGACCCTACTGGAAAGGAGGGGACAGGCCTCTCCTGTGGGACTTCTGGGCCTCTGGAGCTGGCCTCTGCCCCTCTCGGGTTCCCCCTAGGCCAGGCTGGCCTTAGGCAGCAGTAGGGCGCCTGGGGACCTTTCGCTACCAGGGCACCTGCTGTCTGAGGCTTCCTCGGGGTCGCCCAAGGCAGGATGGCCTGAGCCCAGGGGTCAGAACGAGCAGTGCTCGGCCCTCAGGCTCCCTCAGAGCCGGCAGGAGGACAGTGGCAGTGCCAGGCTCTGCATCCTCCTGGGCACACCGTTCAGTCTCTCTGCAGAGAATGGGAGATGCCACGTGCCTCGCTCGGGAAACGGCCGCCGTGAGGCTCCTGCGCCCTCGCACGTCCCGGCGTGGACCCGAGGCAGAGCCCGGGCTCTGTGTGGCTGAAAGGAGAGCTCCCCGCTGCTGTGTGTTGAGGCTGAGCTGTCTGCGCCATGGGGGTGTGGAATGCGAACCCCTTTCTGCCTGGCCTTTCAGTTCTCGAAGCCATGTCTTGCCTGTTCCTCCGAGCCTTGGGGCAGCCCCCCCACACACACTCCGCCCCGCCACCTTGCTGCAGACAGGTGTCGGGGGCCCTGTGCACCAGCAGCCTCCCAGGCAGCAGCAGTGGGTGGCAGATGGTAGAGGGGTGGGGGTGGAGGGGACCAAGGCGCTAACCGGCGGGGGCCCCTTTCTTTTCTCCTCGTCCTGGGGCCAGGCTGGGGGTGGAGGCAAAGAAGCCGCGGTGGGCTGAGGGCAGGGCGGCCTTGGGGAGGGGGGGCAGGCCCGTCCCTGCTCTGCCCGGGAAGCTTTAGGACGTGACTTTGGGCTGACGTGACCGTGAGCAGAGGGCCGGGTTTCTGTGGTGGGGCCGGACCTCAAGAGCAGCCCTGGATCCCTGTGAGCACAAGTGCAAGTGCATGGCCAAAAGCTGGGCCAAGATCAGGGCCAGGCATATACAAAACCTCCCACGCGGTGCGTCAGAGCAGGGAGCTGTGGAGTGGGGGGGGGGCAGGGGGAAGTTGTGGAAGGTATTTCAGAAGGGCCGTTTGGCGTCTGGAGCATCAGGATTGTTCTAGACAATCTGTTGCACAAACGACCTGATGTCAGGAACTGCAGGGAAAGAAGAGATTTGGCCCTGGTGCCGGCACCTGCCTCAGATGGAGGCCACTCCACACGGAGGCCAGATGGGCAGTACCCACACTTCCTGCCATTGAGTGGACACTGTTGAGCTGGCGAGTCACCTGTTGTTGGATGTTTAGGTAGTTGCTGGGTTTTTTCATGTTATAAATAACTCTGGCGTGACAAATAAGATACTGATGGGAGGCTAGGGGGAAGGGCATTCCTGCCAGAGGGAATGGTCCAGGCAAAGCCACAGAGCTGGGACACAGTCCCTCCTAGCGTGCCTGCGGGACCCAGGACAAGGTCTCAGATCCCATCCAGGGAAGGGGACCGTGGAACACCAGAGGGACCGATGCAGCCCCTCCCCGGACTTAGGGCAGAGAGACGGGTGGCCGCAGGGGTGGGTGGCCGCGCCTCTGCCGTCAGTTGTGAGAGTGGGATCCTAGCCACAGGCTGCTCCCCGGCAGACGCAGGAGCAGGGCTGTGGCCACGGTGGCAAAGACACGCAGTCGGGGACGATCTTCAAAGCTTCTCTCGTTCGCCTCTGCAGCGCCTCACAAGATGGCTTAAGCCCTGCCTTGAATCGCGCTGGTGAAATAAATACGTTTGCAATCCCCAAGCCCCAGACGGCCCAGAAGAGGGGACGGTAGAATTTGGTCCCTGATGCTGAGGGCAAATTTGAGGGAGAACCTCCAGGACTGTGACCCCTGGGAAGTGGGTGGCCTCTGCCTGGGAGGGAGGGAGGGAGGGAGGGAGCGAGCAACAGCCAGGGCTGGCCGTGGGGCTTGTGTGAGCCCTGGGCCTGGATCCCGGCTGGCAAAGTCCCTCCAACCCAAGCCCCTTCCTCTGGTGGTGGCTTCCTCCCTTCTCCACTACCCTGCGGCGGGGAGGGACCCCAGGCAGGGCGGTACCTAGGTCGCCCAGGGCCCTGCCCAGGCCCTGCGAGCAGCAAGTGCTAATCCCTGTGGAGGGACAAGCGCTTGCAGCCAGCGGAGCCAGAGCCGGCTGAGAGCAGCCTCAGGCCGAGCTTGCTGGGGCCCCAGGGGCCTGGCGACCAGGCATTATGGTGACAGACTCTGGGTCAGGTCTGCAAAGGTCCCGACACTGTCTCCAGCTCTCCTCCCGACGTTTGCCTCAGAGCAAGGGCTCTGAGTGCCTTTCCATTGGTCAGGGAGTTGGTCCACCCAGCACCGCAGGTGGCGATGGGGCTGACCCGTGGGACACCGTGCCCCAGGTGCCAGAGTGCCCGGACCCCACTGCAGTCAGCTCTGCGTGTCGTCACCCTTGTGCCTGGAACACCCGCCCCAGCCAGCGGCCTCTCCCCTGGACCCGAGTGCCCAGGTCTCCGGTGGGCGCCAGCAGTGAGGCACTAGGCGGGCTCGTGCTGTCCTTCCGGACCTCTTCCGGGCCATTAGCCCTGCGTGCCTCCTGGCAAATCCTCCCGCAACCCCTCCCGCCCTAAGGTCCAGCCCTGAGCTGCTTCTTCCTCCGTCTGTCCTTGCTTCTCCACCCGGGTGGGGTTTCTGCTTCTGAGGACCCCCGCCCCAAGCACAGTGCCTGAATGCAGTGGTTAGTGAATCTATCCACATGATCATAGTGAAAACCCTAACAGGAAGTTAAATGAAAGGTATAAACCTGTCCCCCCGACACCAACTCTTTGTCACATAGAGAACGCTTCATTTCTTAGTTGTCCTCCCATAACAGGGTTATATAAACTGGCAGGTAAATGTTAAAAAATTTAGCTGAATAGCAGCACCCTTTCTGTCCCTTGCTTTTCCACTTCACGACATATCTCAGAGACTGTCGCAGCAGCTTATTCCAGTCTGCTTTATTTTTTAATGTGTGTATTGATTTTAGAGAGTGCAAGGCGTGGGGGGGGGCGGTGGAGAGAGAGGGAGAGGAACATTGATGTGAGAGAGAAACCGATTGGATGCCTCTCACAAGCGCCCTGACCAGGGATCGAACCCACAACCTTACGGTGCACGGGACGATGCTCCAACCCACTGAGCCACCCCAGCCAGGGCTCAATCTGCTGTATTCTTCTTAATAGCCACCAAGTATTCTTTAGTTTGGGTGACCGTATTTTTATTAACATTTTTTCATGTGAAACATAACCAAAATTTAGGAATGTGCCAAAACTTGTGTGTACATTTTTACAAATGATTGCCAAGCTGTCGAACCCTCACGTGGGTTCAGAAACAGGCCCAACAGAACCCCCCCAGGTGTCCTGACCCCTTTTGTTCTCTTAGAAGGACTCGTGGGGTTCGTTTCCTAGTTTTCTTTGCAGGGTTGCCGGCGTGCTTATGTCCTCAGACAGCACGGGTTAGTGCTGCCTGTCTGGAGTCTGGAGCTTCGAGTCGGTTCTATAACTGATAGCACATCGGTTCCGTCTGGATTACATAATCGCACCCCATACGTATCCGTTTGTGTCTCTTTCCCTCAGCACCCCGAGCTTCACCCTGCGGGTGGGCGTCGCCGTAGCTACGTCACTTCCCCTGTCGTGTGACGTTCCATTGTGGGACCGTGTCCTGACCCACACGCGGCGTCACCAGGTGGACGGACATGCGGATTGTCTCTGGTTTTTGGCAACGGGGAACCTTGCAACCGCGAGCGTCCTCATACGAGTGCCCCGATGCACAGATATATGTATTTCTGTCGGGCGTATATTTAGCAGTGCAATTGCTGATTCATAGGGTATGCTTGACGTCCGAGGTTTCAGCAAACTGCGTTCCCCAGGGGAGGGAGGCTCGCCCCCCCACCCCTGTCCCCCGGCAGTGCTCATGTTCTTCTTGTGGTCTCTGCCAGCACTTGGTTTCTTCAGGCTTTCGGAGGTCGCTGACTGCAGGGCAGGTGGTTACAGCCCCCTTGGTCTGGAAAATAGCTGAAATGTAAAGAAATCATTCAGTCACCCTTGTCAGAGTGTATATTACAAAGTGATTCCCAGCTAGGTCAGTTTAGTACGGTGTTTATAAGCGGGAGGTATTTGGAATTCAGAGGGGTGGTGAGCTCAGTGGCTGGAGGTGCAGCCGGAAAAGCAGGGGTGGGACCTGAGCCTGACCACCCTTGGCCATTCCGGCCCTAGACTCTGCCCCTAGACTCTGCCCTGGCCCGACCTGAGCCAGGCTGGGGTCTCCCAGGGATGGCCTCTGTGTTGCGGGGAGCAGTGGGGAGTGGTATGGCTGAGCCAGCCCCCAACCTGCCCGCAGCTCAGAGCCCGGCAATGCCGTTTGGGTGTGTGACTCTGGGCGACAAGAAGAACTACAACCAGCCGTCGGAGGTGACTGACAGATATGATTTGGGACAGGTCATCAAAACGTGAGTGCCGGTCGGGTGCGCGAGGGTGGGAGGGCAAGGGTTGGGGCGAGGGGAGTGGCCTGCGGCCCGAGCTGAGCCCAGGGCCGTGTGGGTGCCCGTCGCTGCAGTGAGGAGTTTTGTGAGATCTTCCGGGCCAAGGACAAGACGACGGGCAAGCTGCACACCTGCAAGAAGTTCCAGAAGCGGGACGGCCGCAAGGTGCGGAAGGCGGCCAAGAACGAGATAGGCATCCTCAAGATGTAAGTGTGAGGCCTGGGGTGGGGGCCGGGGAGGCCGCAGGGCGGGGTGGGGCTCGGAGGGCCGAGGCCTGGAGCAGGACGAGCCTTCGGCCAGTCAGTCCCTCCAGCCGGCCCATGCGGCGGCGGTGGTGGTGGCACTCTCTCAGGGTTCGCCCACCCTTATCCGCTCTTCTCTCTGCTGCCAGGGTGAAACATCCCAACATCTTGCAGCTGGTGGACGTGTTTGTGACCCGCAAGGAGTACTTCATCTTCCTGGAGCTGTGAGTGTGGGCCTGGGGTCCCAGGATTCCCCCGTCCTCTACAGCCAGGGAAAGCCCCCCCGCCTGGACCCTTGGGGCCCCAGTCCCCGAGCCTTGCCCAGCCAGCCACCCGGTGTGGGCAGCCTGCCCAAGGGCTCCTGCCCCACCCTTGACCCTGCCCACGCCGGGCTCAGGGGCTGGTGTCCCTCAGGGCCACGGGGAGGGAGGTGTTTGACTGGATCCTGGACCAGGGCTACTACTCGGAGCGAGACACGAGCAACGTGGTGCGGCAGGTGCTGGAGGCCGTGGCCTACCTGCACTCACTCAAGATCGTGCACAGGAACCTCAAGGTGAGGCCAGGGGGCTGCTCAGAGGGTCAGCGGGCAGCCGGCCTGGGGCTGGGCTGGGCAGTCCTTTGGGGACTTGGTGCAGCCTCTGAGGTCCTCTCCTCATCGGACCTTTCTCTGCCCACCCACATGCCGTTTCCGGCCGGAGCAGCTGGAGAACCTGGTTTATTACAACAGGCTGAAGAACTCGAAGATTGTCATCAGCGACTTCCACTTGGCCAAGCTAGAGAATGGCCTCATCAAGGAGCCCTGTGGGACCCCCGAGTACCTGGGCAAGCAGAGGAGGGGCAGGGGCAGGGTGGGAAACCGCCTTCAAGGCGTGGCTCTGGGTAGGGGGGAAGGAAGTCTCCAGGGAGTGGGTGTGAGTGGTACCAGGCCTGGCAGGCCCGATAATGACCAGCCGACTGGGACCGTGTTTGCAGCCCCGGAGGTGGTGGGCCGGCAGCGGTATGGCCGCCCTGTGGACTGCTGGGCCATTGGAGTCATCATGTACATCCTGTGAGTGGACGGGCAAGCAGAGGCTTACAGCCAGGTGGCGGGGGGGCCTGTGCCCGTGGCCTTCCTGGGTGACCTTGCCCTTTGGCCCTCATGCAGGCTTTCAGGGAACCCGCCTTTCTATGAGGAGGTGGAGGAAGATGACTACGAGAACCATGACAAGAATCTCTTCCGCAAGATCCTGGCTGGCGACTACGAGTTTGACTCTCCGTACTGGGATGACATCTCACAGGCGGGTGAGGAGGTGCCCAGCATCCGGGGAGAGCGAAGGGTTGGTGTGGGGGGCCTGTTCTCAGCCTCCTCTGCCGGATTCTGCTCCTACCCGCCAGCCCATCCACCACCTCTAGACAGTGAGATGGGGTGCCATGCCTAGCCTCTCCCTGGCTTTGTCCCCAGCCAAAGACCTGGTCACAAGGCTGATGGAGGTGGAGCAAGACCAGCGGATCACGGCGGAGGAGGCCATCTCCCATGAGTGGTGAGCAGCGCCCCAGGAAGACAAGCGGAGAGGCCAGGCCTCTGTCCTCCTCACACCACGCAGGCCCCATCTAGAGGCCTTGGGTGGGGGTTAGGGTGCAGCCCGAGCCCAGACGGGCTGCCTGGTAATCCCTGGATCTTACAAGGAAAGGGCTGGGCAGAGCCTCCATGAAGGCCACGCTTCTGATCCAGACACATTTGCACCCTTTCCAGGATTTCTGGCAATGCCGCTTCTGATAAAAACATCAAGGATGGTGTCTGTGCCCAGATTGAAAAGAACTTTGCCAGGGCTAAGTGGAAGGTAAGGCTTGGATGGCTCTCTTTCCTGGAATGATCCCAAGGGCTCCTTCTGGCACCCACAGTCTCTTGCCTGCACACACACACAGAGGCTTTTCTCCACCCACAGTGTAGCTGTAGCCACTGTCTGAAGTGAGTTCTGCAGTCCTGGGGTGATCAGAGGCAGCCAGGGGCACCATGGGAAGGGCCTGGGCTTGGCCTTTGACGAGGAACGTGTCCGCCGTCTGTAAGCCTGACTCTGGCCTCTCTCGCTGTCCTGCTTGCAGAAAGCTGTCCGAGTGACGACTCTCATGAAGCGGCTCCGGGCGCCGGAGCAGTCCGGCGCCGCCGCAGCCCCGTCCACCCCGGCCACAGACACTGCCGCTCCTGGGGCTGCAGGTGGGGCCGCAGCTGCAAGCGCAGCTGGCCCAGCTCTTGGGGGCGGTGCCACCTCCGTCACAGCGGGTGATGCTGCAAAGAGTGATAATGTAGTCCCTGCAGACCGTAGTGCCACCCCAGCCACCGATGGGAGCGTCACCCCAGCCACCGATGGGAGCGTCACCCCAGCCACTGATGGAAGCGTCACTCCCGCCACCGACGGAAGCGTCACGCCGGCCACTGACAGGAGTGCTACTCCAGCCACTGATGGGAGAGCCACGCCAGCCGCGGAAGAGAGCACTGTGCCCACCAGCCAAAGCAGTGCCACCCCTGAGCCGGCTTTGGCCCAGCCGGACAGCACAGCCCCAGGGGGCGCAACAGGCCAGGCTCTACCCTCCAGTAAAGGGGAAGAGGCTGCTGGCTCTGCCGGGTCTCAGAGGGAGGAGACCAGCTGAGTGGGCAGGCTGGTGGGGGGCGGGGAAGGGCAGGAGGGTGGGAGAGTGGATGAGGGGCTTTTCACTGTATATAGAGTCACTGGCATGATGCCCTCGCTCCCCCCAGCCCCCGCCTCTCAGCGTAGGGCGTGTCTGGGGGCCACAGGAGAGCAGTGTCATCTCTCCTGTGTGTGTGTGTGTGTGCGTGCGTGTGTGAGTGGAGAGCAAGCCAGAGGCAGGACCGGCCCCAGCCCCTGCATGGATTCCTCGTGGCTTTACTGTCTTTTGCTAGCTTCGCCGGTTTTGTTTCTTGTGGGATGCTGCTCTAGGGATACTCAGGAGGTCCCTGCTCCCCTTCCTCTTTTGCCTCACGACCCCCCAGGCAGGCCCTGCAGGTCCCATCCTCTCCCAGGCCCTAAACTTGGGTGGCCTTGCCCTGAGAGCTGGTCCTCCAGCGAGGCCCTGTCAGCGGTCTTAGGCTTCTACACATGGAGGTATGTGCCTGTGGAATGCGGGCTGCTGTAGGAGTGGGCACAGGCTGGAACAGAGAACGCAGAAATCTAGGGCAGTATGCTTTGAGACAAGACTGGTCGTATGGTTGGGGGCATGCTTGGTAGCTGTGGGGGTCCTCAGAAGGGAGAAAGAATGAGGAGGGTAGAAGCTTCCACCTTTGTCCCTGGGAAGCCCCTCCCAAGACCCTTGTGCTGTTTCCTGCCCTCCTGGGTCCTGCAGTGGGTTTCCCTGCGCCCCGAGTCCAGGAGCCTATATATGGGGAAGGAGGAGCAATTAGGACGTGGCAATGAGAACTGGGAGGACGGAGTGCAGGCCCAATACCTAGTGCACCAGCCTAGCTGGGTCCTTCCCATGAGCCAAACAGGAAGGGCTGATATCCCCTGGCTCCTCCTGCCACCTTCCGGAGCAGTTCACAGTCCACCCATCCCGGGGGGCCTGCTGCCGGGCAGTGTCCCGGTCTGATTTGGGGATGTGCCCTTCACGGGCAGATTTTCTCTCTCCCACTTCAACAACACAATAGAGAGAGGAACCCCCTTTATGTCTGACCCTCTTCCTCTTCTATCAGAGCTCAGAGAGAGGCCCAGGTGCCCCTGAGCCACGCTGAGTTCCTTTGCTGGGATGAGGAAGTGGAACAAGGCTCCCCAGTTTCCTGATGGAGGCTCCTGGCAGGTGCCCTGTGTCAGACCCCACCACAGCCTGGGCAGGCAGCCACGCCGGTCCCGACCCTTGCTCGGCACTCTGGTGGCAGTCCTGCCCTTCTCCCTGCATGCCCGTGGGTCTGCTCTGGTGTATGAAGATCGGTGGGCTAACTGTGCCTGCTGAACCTGGCAAATAAATGTCACCCTGCCGAAGCCTCTGGCCACCCTCTTGCCTTTGCTTCCTCTGTCTCACTGGGGAGGGGCCCCTGGAAGGCAGTGGGGAGGGGAGAGGCTGGAAGCAGGTTCACAGATAGTGGCCTGTGCTCGGTGCCACGAGGCTTGCTTGGACTGAGAATGCAGACCACCCTTGCCACGGTGCGTTCCTTGGTGGTGGTGACGGGTGCCTTTGGACTGTAGTAATCCATGTGGATGATGGGCCCTATGATGGACTTGTGCCAAGGAATAACCTCTGGGCGCTGTCCTGACAAGTCCTGTTTAACAAGGAGTCCTTGTCTTAACCTAGGCATAAAACTAGAACCCACCAGAACTCAGCCACCAGAGAGAGAGAGATCTTGCTGATAGCCAAAGTGAGCTTCCCTGGGTTGGGGAGAGGGTGCACCGTGGGCATTGCACAAAGGTTCTATGCGGCCCTCTGTAGAGAATCCTTTCTCCTGGGAACAACACCTGTGATGTCCACACAGGCCCAAAGGATTCACTCTGAGTCTACTTCAGGTGGAACAAACCAGCTCCATATTATGGGACTCTGCATAAGGTTTCTTATGGGGAGAGGGGCGTACGTACCACTGCTAAGAATAGTTGAGGGTGACAACTCAGGAAGACTTGTTTCAGCCCCTACCGGCCCAGGTGAACCCACTTTCTTCCTCAGGGAAGACACAAAGATAACTTCTGTGGTGTGGGAATAAGAAAAAAGGGTTTGGTCTAGGAGACATCTGGGCCTCTAAAATTCCAACCCCACTAAGAGCTTAGCCCTGCCGCCTCCAAACGTGGGGATCGTCCGTCGTGCCTTGCTTGGATAAAGCCAGAGTGAGCCTAGGATGTCCTGAAGGGTTAGGGACCTGTGTCCATCTTTCCAAGATGACAACAGCGGAGGGCTGGGAGGGTGGTCTGTGGGAACTGTGGGCTCCTAGCGTAGGGTCCACCACTGTCCAAGCGCAGGGGACTCGTTCTCCATCCGTATCATAGTCCCTTTTCCCTGCGGCTGCGGTCTTGACTCTCCCGAGGTTCAGAGAATGCTGCCCTGAGAGAACAGGGCCGAGGAGCCGGTGCCGCACTGGCAAGCCTCGCATCAGCTCTGGTTTGCCCCAGAAAGCGTCCTGGCCAGCAGCCTAGCTGCTCCCGCTCCCGATCCTGCGCTGAGCTCTTTCGGTGCGGGTTATCTTCCCCAGAACCTTATGAGCTGTACCTCCGACTGGTTCCGGCCCGCGCTCCACCCCGTGATTCTAATTGGTCGCAGGGCCGTTGAGCCCCGCCCCCGAGGGTTCGTCCAATCCGAACTCAATCTTCAGGTTCCACCTCCACGTTTCGTATAGCCACTTCCGGTCCTACCCCGGAAGTCGAGCTGTAGAGCCAAATTTGAAGGAGCTGAAACGCGGGGGCGCGGCCAAGAAGCTGGATCCTTCGCGGTTTCCTCGGCTGCCTGGGCCTGTTGAGTCCAGTGATCATGCCTATCCGTGCACTATGCACCATCTGCTCTGACTTCTTCGACCACTCGCGCGACGTGGCCGCCATCCACTGCGGCCACACCTTCCACCTGCAGTGGTGAGTGCCCACTGTTTCGGGGCTGGGCGCCTGCTCCAGTACTGCTACAGGATTGGGGGGTGTCGGGCCTCTGGGCTGCCAGCCCCTGGATCCCAGACGGGTGATGAGGATGGCACTAGACGGGGCCCCAGAGGTCTCCGACCTGGGCAGAGGAGGGTCAGGGCAGACTTTCCGCCGGTGGTGACAGCTGAGCTGAGAGACCCGGGGGACCGAGTTAGCTCAGTGAAGAGAGGAAGGAGTAGGGGCATTCGTGATCGGCTTGCAAAGAGATGTGACTTCAAAACTATTAGCCCGGGCGGAGGCGAGCTCTCACCAAACTGACGAGCCCTTTTGATTCTTCGAGGTAGAAACCTGGTAGGCCTCTGGCTACCCGATTTGTTGGGGTTTGCTTGACGGTTTGCAATGCTTCTCTCCAGAGTGATCTCTTGGGTCAGACACCGCAAGCAAAAGTCAGTTAACATCTAAGGACAAGGAGGTGCTCCCTGACCAAGCCGTGCTGCTGACCCTATGGGGCCATTCTACTGAGTACAGACGGTGGGCAAAGATTCCTCTGGCAGCTGCGGGTGGGCTGGTCCAGGGCCCCTTCGCTCCTTTATTTATTGTGGTAAACTGTGCATAACAAACTTTACTATTATTTTCTCTTCGTTTTTTTACTATAACTATTTTTTATTGCAGTAAAGGTATATAACATACAGTTTATCATTTTAACCATTTTTGGACTGTTACAAAGTATTTAACAAAGAAAATTCAATATGAAAAAGTACACAACCCTATTTTAAAATAGACCCTTTGGAGAGGGGTGAACACAGCCATTGTTTATACTCTCCCTGAGGCTTCTAACATGATAGTGGTTCCTCCTTTTGCCACCATTTCGATATAGTTCTGTTGCCCACCAGTGTATTATCTGTCCACATGTTCTCCGGCACAAGAGTCATAAAGGAATCAGATTCCCTCAGTATTCCATGGACATGGTGGCAACCATCTGATTTCAATGATAACTTTTTGTCCACAAGAGTCATAAAGGAATCAGATTCCCTCAGTATTCCATGGACATGGTGGCAACCATCTGATTTCAATGATAACTTTTTGTCCATAATTTTTTCTTTAACTTGGGAGGGTGAACTTTGCACATGGGGTTGACTCGGTGAGCTCAAAGATGCCTTTCATTTGGACCATTTTTAAGTGTACAAATCAGTGGCATTAAGTACGTTAACGATGTTGTGTAACCACTACCATCTATTTCCAGAACTTTTCCATCATTCCAGACAAATAACACTGTACCCCTTCAACAATCGCTCTCCATCCCCCATCCTCAAAGCCCCCAGAAACCTCTATTTTACCTTCTGTCTCCTCGAAGTTTCCTATTCTAGGGGTCTCATAAAAGCGGAATCACACAGTAGGTGTGTTTTTGAGCCTGGAATCATCTTTTCAAGGTTAATCCATATTGTAGCATGTATGAGAATTTTTTCCTTTTTTAAAAAAGAATATTTTTTAATTAAAAAAATTGATGAGAGAGAGAGAGAAGCCATCGATTTGTTGTCCCACACATTTATGTAGTTACTGGTTGATTCCCATAAATGGCCTGACCGGGGATCGAAGCCACAACCTTGGTATCTGGAAACTCTCTAATCACCTGAGCTATCCAGCCAGGGTGAGAGTTTCATCCCCTTTTATGACTAAATAATATTCTGTTACATGGAAATGCCACATTTTGCTTATCCCTTTATCTGTGAATGGACCTTGGTTTGTTTCCATGTTTTGGCTACTATGAATTATGCTATTATAAATATTGGTATACGAGTATATATGTTCGAGTCCCTGCTTTCATTTCTCTTTTTAAAATGTTTTATTCATTTTGTTTTTAGAGAGAGGGAGAGGGAGGAAGAAAGAGAGAAAAGGGAGCACCAGTTGGTTGCGCCATGACCAGGGACTGAACCCTGGCCTGTGCTCCGACCGGGAATTAAACCGACGACCTTTCACTTTGTGGGATGGTGCCTGGCCGACTGAGCCACGTGGGTCAGCTTTCATTCCTTTTGGGCTGTGCCCAGAGGTGGAAGTACTAGGTCATGGGTGATGCGATGAGTAATTTTTTTGAGAAACTGCCTTGCTGTCTTCCGCACCAGCTGCACTAGGGCTCCAGTTTCTCCGCGTCCTTGTCAACACTTGTGACTTTCTGTCTCTGTCTTGTTTTTGTGATGGCCGTCTCTCCAGGTGTCTCCTTTTCTAACGTGTGTGTTTATAGCTATCAGTTTCCCGAGTAGCACTGTATTTGCTGTCTTTCATGAGTCTTGGGTATATTGTGTTTTCATTCATTTAAGATGTTTTCTAATTTCCCTTGTAATCTCTCCTCTACCCATTGATTGTTTAAAAGCGTGTTGTTTAATTTCCTTGTATTTGTGAATTGTCCATTTTTCTTCTGTTACTGATTTTTGGTTTCATTCCATTGTGATCAGAAAAGATACTTTGTATGATTTCAGTCTTTTAAAATTTATTAAGACTTGTTTTGTGGCCCAACATATGGTCTGTCCTGGAGAATGTTCCATGTGCACTTGAGAAAAATAGGTATTCGGCTGTTATTGGGTGGAGTATACATGTCTGTTAGATCTAGTGGCTTTATTTCATTGTTCAGTTCTCTGTGTCTGATTGATTGTTTTGTCCGTGATTGAAAGTGTCGGGTATTGACATCTTCAGTTTTTGTTGTAGAGCTATCGATTTCTCCCTTCGATTCTCTCCAATTTTTTTCATATATTTTGGGGCTCTGTTGTTAGGTGCATATGTGTTTATAATTGTTATTGCTTCTCAGATTGGAACTTTTATCAATATATAAAGTCCTTCTTGTCTCTTATAACCTTTTGATTTTTTGTCTTCCTTAAAGTCTATTTTGTCTGACAGTTAAGTAGGCACCTCAGCTCTCTTTGTTAATATTTTTCTTATCGTGGTTGGGATTCATTAAATTTCTTCAATTTGTGGAATGATCTCTTTAATTAGCTTTGGAAAATTACCAGCAATTATCTCTTCCTGTATTGCCTCTGTTCCATTGTGTCTTCTATATTAGTTTGTCATTTCTGCTGTGACAAATGACCACCGACTTAGTGACTTACAGCAACGCTGACATGTCGTCTTATAGTTCCAGACGTCAGAAGTAGAAAGTGGGTCGTGCTGGGTTAACCTCGAGGTTCGTGGGTGGGGGTTCCCTTTGGCTCACGGCCCCTCTCTCCATCTGCAAAGCCGGCCGTGTTGCCTCTTCAGATCTCTCTGCACGCCTCTGACACTCCTGTCCGCTTGTAGTGTCCTTGTGATCACACGGGGCACACCTGGATGGATAATCCCCTATCTGAAGACCCTTAGTAAACCACCTCTGCAAAACCAGTCTTGTCATAGAAGGTCAGGTACTCACGGGTTTTAGAAATTAGGGGGTAGCCTTCTCGGGCGAGGACATTATCCTCCCTCACGCTCTTTCTGGAACTCCCGATTGCGTGTGAGCGCTGCACTGTCTCACAGAGTCTTCTGTGCGGCTCACATCTCTTTAATTCTCGGTCTTGCCTCCGACCTGCTGTTCCGGGTACTGAGTCTTCAGCTGTGCCCAGACTGCTGTGAAACCCATCCGCTGACTTCTTAACTTTGGCCATTTTTTCAGTTTTAGCACTTCTGCTTGGTCACCTTTTATTTTCGGATCCTCTACCAATATTTGCAGTCTTGGTCTGGTTTATTTCACATGTCGTGTCGTGGCCCGTGTCTGACGTCTCTGAGGGTGTGTCTTCGTTGGCACTTCTAGCGCTTCTTTTCTCGTGCGACTGTTTACTTAAAAAAAAACCTATTTTGTTGAAATATAGCCTGTCACATAAAAGTGCACATACAGTAGAGGTGTGGCTTGCACAGCTGTCACAAGCTGAAGGAGACGGGAAAGAAGACACCAGCGGTCCAGGAACCGCCCGTGCGCCCGTCCGGTTCCCGCTCACCGCTCACCGCTCACGTGCGGGGACCCGCCGTCCTGACTTCCCCCAGCACGGATGAGTCTTGCCTACTGTTCTACTCCATGTAAACGCAGTCGTGCATGGTATACCTTTTGTTAGTATCTGGCGTCTCTTCCTCCGTGTTATGTTTTTGGGATTCATTTATAACATTCTTCTGAGTCGTAGATTCATTCGTTCTCACTGCTGTGTAGTGTTCTGTTGTGTATGGTTAGCTTGGATTATATGTTGTGTGTAGTATCTGAAAAGGCATCTATAGAAGAGAGGCCCAGGACGATGGTGTCATCTTCCAGAAAGCACTGTGTCTCCCTTGTCCCCGGGCGTGGGGGAGTCCGCTCGTAGGGGGCGGCTTTAAAGTTTAAGGCTTGAGGTTTTGTTGGACCAGCCAGACAGATGATGCAAAGCTGGGCTGGGTTTTCCTTTTACCGTTTCTTGCTTTTACTTCTAGTTTTCCCTTTGTTTGAAAATATAGCCTTCTGGAGTCTCAGCTAAAGAGGGGGTGTTATTAGGGTCCCCATCTCGAGGGACCCTGGGTTTTGACTGTCGCTCCCTGTCGAAGCCTAGGAGGTTCACAAGAGAGCAGCTCAGCGGTGGGAAGGGCCAAGCCAGCAGGGCCAGGAAAGGGCCTCGTGGGGTGTGCTGTCACCGCCCGTGGCGCTGTCCCCTGTGTGGGCAGGCGTCGGCCGAGGCAGGGCAGGACAGGCAGGACAGGCCCCTCTGCGGTCAGAGTGCCCACCGGCCCATGTGTCTCCAGCCAAGCCCTGGCTCACCGGTCTGTTCTCCTGCGTCTCATTGCAGCCTCATCCAGTGGTTCGATACAGCGCCCAGTCGGACCTGCCCACAGTGCCGAATCCAGGTGAGGCTGGCGGGGCGGAAACACCTCAGCCTAAGGCATCTCCTCCTTGCCAGCGTGCAGGAAGGAGGAAAGGTCTCTGAAGCCGACACCTTTCTTCGACCCTTTCGGACCCTCATGGTTTGAGGCTGGTCGAAGCTCAGCAGTGCTTCCGAGCGGCTCGGCAGGCCTGCCTGTGCCCACGGGCGGCTGGCAGATGCCTCGCTGCCTGGCTCATTCTCTCCCTGGGCAGATCTGGCCCCCTTCGCTGCCTTTCCCTATTTCCTCAGTGCCCGGTACCTCGAGCTGGGGAGTCTTCTGAGGGGTCCCCATCTGGGTCTGCAGGGACAAGGCGTCAGTAGCCACCAGCCAATCACTGGCTCGGGGCCCCGACAGGGCTACCACCGTCCTCCTTACCCAAGACCCAGCCGTGCGCTCACTCTCTCTCGTTCCCCCTCCAGGTCGGCAAGAGAACCATCATCAATAAGCTCTTCTTTGACCTTGCCCAGGACGAGGAGGGCGTCCTAGATGCCGAATTCCTAAAGGTACCCAGGATGCGTCTCCTGCCCCTGCACCCCCAGCCTCTGAGGGTTCCCTCTGCCCCCACCCAGGGAGAGTGCCCAGAGTGGGGGGCAGATTTGCGGAGGGGAGACTTGGCAGGAAGTTCACGGCAGAGGCAAGGAGAGCAGAGAACAAGGAAAACTGAGGCCCTCAGTGGGGACGTGCCCTGTGAGGCTTCCCTGTGGGACTCCAAAGCAGCTCTGACTCGGGGTCAGAGAGCTGTCTCAAGGCCCCCTCGCCTTGCCAAGGCTCTGCGACCATCCTCCTTGGCCCACTTTGCTGTGCGGACAGTTAGGGACAGATGAGAACACAGTTCTAGTCCTCAGCTGGGGAAGATAGACGGACCCTCTGTTTACAAACCTGGCTGTGTCTCACACTGCCTGGGAGCTGGGCACACACCAGGCGCCTGTGCCTTTCCCGGGCCAGTAGCAGAGGGCGGAGCCCCCGGAAACAGCCCGTGCAGCCGGGGCAGAAGCCCGCACTGCGGACAAGGATGGGTGCGTCCCCTCCTGCACCCCTGCTGCTTTTCCTCTGGGTCTGAGATGCGGCTTCCTTTGCGCGCGAGGGGGCCGGTGGGCAGGAACCTCGAGCAAGTGGGGCTGGGGTTCGCAAGGGAACCCGGGCCCCGAGGGCTAATTTGCGGGACCTCTGTCAGATCAGGGCTCCTTTGGCCCTGGCTCCAGGGTGCCATGGTGTCCTTGAAACCTCCCTGCTTCGGGAACATGGAGCTTTTGTGCTTAAAGCCAGCATGTTCATCGTCATGGTAACTGCTCCCAGTTTTAAGCCGTGTCCTCCCCGTGATACAGGCAACAAAGGCAGCTCCGTTTCGTTCCAGCTTTCAAAGTCAGATCCAGGAGACAGGGGGGCGAGGGCTTGGAACGCACCTGCGTGCGTGTGGCAGGAGCCGGGGGCCCGGGGGAGTTTTCCTTCTTGGGCGGCCCCTGCACGCCCTTCTCGGCCCGCCACTTCCACCTGGAGACGCTCGGCCCGCGCTGACCGGCCCGGCCACCGAACCTACCTGCCCCGGAGTCCTGAGTGGACAGTTTGGCCACATGGGGCTTTTCCACCTACGGGGTCACGCGTGAGGTTCTGAGTCTGTGTTGACCCGGGGAGGATGGTCTGGAGGAGGATCTGTCTGGTTCCATCCGTGCAAGGGTCCTCACGGACCCTTGGCCAAGCCTGCTGCTTCTGCAGAGCCTGCTTTTCCTGCTTGTGGACGAGGCCCCGCCCCCGCTCTCGCCCACAGGGATGTCGAACCCTCTGGGCTCGTGAGCAGGGCCTGGGCTGAGCCTCACCCCAGCCTCTCAGCGGCCCTGCAGCCGTGCTCCGCGGCGCGCACACAGGCCTCAGTGGCTCACACAGCCTGCTTGGGACCTGGCACGCGTGAGGTTTCACCCCGGGGCCCAGAGCTGCCCCGGCTCACCGGCCACACTCCGTCCTGGGCTGGCAGATCTGTGGCGCACAGCCAGCTTAGAGCTTGGAAGAAAGGTGGGCTGAAGCAGGCAGGAGCCCAGGCTGGAGGGCAGGAGTGGTGGCCCAGGGTCCTTGGCCATGGCCACCTTGTGTCCCCGCTGAGGGCAGCTGGTGCCCAGAGACGGTGCGGGCCGGCCCGGGGCCGAGGAAGCAGCGGAAGCCGCCGCCAGGGGACGGAGTGCGCAGGCCCAGCCTCTCATCTCTTACTCCGTTCTGCCTCTTTCCCCTTCTGGGGGTCTTGTCCCTGAGATTGTCTGCCCCCGTCTTGCCCGGTTTTTTAAAAAAAAGTGCACGGAGTCGAAGCAAGGCGTATGTCTGCATGGTGGGCTTAGCCTGGCCCTGGGGGGCAGCAGAGAGCAACAGGCTTCATCCTCCCCGCCCCACCCCCCATGGGCGGCCCACAGCCCCGAGGAGGCCGGGGGAGGCCGGCCATGGTGTCTTGCTGCTGCTGCTCATGGTGGGTGTTGCCTTACAGAATGAACTGGACAACGTCAGGGCCCAGCTGTCCCACAAAGGTGAGTTAGCGAGAGACGAGGGCCTGTGGGCAGCCTTGGACTTGGGAGCTGGCGGGAGCGGCGCTGGGAGGAAAGCTTCCAGCCTGCAGGTGGGGCCGGGCCTCACCCTGCTCTGTGCACCGAGCGTCTTGCCCAAGCCCATGACCCAAAGGGAGAGGCAGGGCTGGTGACCGAAGCCATCCACCTCGCCCAGGACCGGGCTGGGAGGGGCTGCCTGACGCACCAGAGTGTGTGGAGGAGAGGTGTCGGCCACGGAGTTTGGCAGGAACCTGCATGACTTCTGGGCTGATGCAATAACTAGGCCCGTGGGAGTGGGGAGCAGTGGAGTCTTTACCCAGGGGGACCCAAGCCGCAGAAAGAGGGTCTTGTCCCGTGAATGAGGCTCTGGCTCGGCTTCCCTGCTTCGGGGCGTGCCAGAGAGAGAAGCTCGCCACCCGGTTTTCTGGCCTGGGGCTTGCTCGTCACTTGTCTCTGGGGTGGGCTGCAGGGGCCCAGAAGCCCAGGCTGTCGTGCTGACAGGTGGGTGGGTCTGTCCCTGCCCGCCCCCACCCCCGCCCGCTCCAGAGAGGGAGAAACGGGACAGCCAGGACATCATCGACACGCTGCGGGCCACACTGGATGAACGCAACGCCACCGTGGAGTCTCTGCAGAGGGCCCTGGACGAGGCCGAGATGCTGTGCTCCACCCTCAAGGTGCGTCCCCAGGTCCCGCAGGCGCGGTTGATGGGAGATGGGAGACGCAGCCCCAGCCCGGCCCCCCCACGCCAGACGCAGCCAGTCCTGCCTCGGGCAGCGGCTCGGTGCGCGCCGTTGTAACAGGGAGGCGAGTCCCCTGGCCCCCCAGCCCCCCAAACTGTGCCCACCTGGCTCGTAGGAAAAAGGCCACGTGGGCCACACCTATACACTTTGTCCCAAGTAGTTCGGAGAGGGGAGGGCTCCCCCACACTCCGTGGAGGGGCTGCTCAGCCATGACCTTGGTGCGGCTGGGCCGTGTTTCCAGAGCGGCGGGCACTCCACTGACGAAGCTGGCCCGGAGGAGCCGCCGTCCGCACTCGAGTCCCTGGTCGGGCCGCTCTCTGGAGCCAGATCAAACAGACCCCAGGGAGGAGCAGAGGCCTTTGAAGCTGGCTGCGCTGAGCTGGCCGCGCAGATCAAAGCCTGCAGAGCCAGCCGCTCTAGATCCAGATGCATTTGCTATCAGCCTGGGTCGGTGAGCCTCTTGCTCTCCAAGGGGCACGAGGCGATTGATCTGAACCCACAATCGGTGTTCTGGCCCTGTAGCCAGGAGCGGTCGTCGCGGGGTGCCATTCGAAAGGGGAAGGGAGGCGTCCTTGCGAACAGACTGGGCCCCGAGCTGTTCACTGTCCGTGTTCCTGCTTGGTGGCCGGTCCGGACTGTGTGGCCTGGCCAGTGGAGGGGAAGGAGCGGTCAGCACCCGGCTGCAGAGTGGGCGCCTCTGACGGCGTTCCCAGCAGTGGCGTGGTCCTGTGCCGAGGGCAGCCTGGCCGCTGCCCCGGGCTCGGCCCTGCTGTCCTGGCCACTGTCTGTGAGTCTGCACAGCATGTGCCGTGAGGCCGGGGCACGGGAGTGTGGCGGCCCACAAGGGGCCCGGGGTGCTGGCCTTGGGCTGCACCTCTGGTAAGACCTGTCTCGGGGGATGCAAGCAAGGAGGCGGCGCGGCTGCTGGCCCAGGAGCCTTGCCCCCCGAGGGTCGGGGTGCGTGGTTCTCAGCATCTGCAGAAGCAGAGAGTCCCAGGGTGGAGCCACCCTCTGAGCAACAGGTACGCGTGGGTGTGTTTGCTCTGCAGAAGCAGATGAAGTTCCTGGAGCAGCAGCAGGATGAGACCAGACAAGCACGGGAGGAGGCCCGCCGGCTCAGGGGCAAGATGCAGACCATGGAGCGGTGAGCGTGGAGCGGGGGCCGGCCCTGTGCCTTGCTCCCAGCGCCCCCGGGTGGCACAGCCCACAGGACCACGGCGGGAGTTGAGTCACCTCTGTGGCTCTGATCTCCATAGGCCGAGGGGGGACTCGGGCCGGCTGGGTCTCTTTGCTCGGGCTCTGGGCACCGGTTGCCTGTGGCCACACGATCTGGCAGGTCTTTTGCTCCAAGAACCACTCTCCAGGGACTCCTGGCCTTGAGGACCTCTGCCAGACCCCCTCTTCCCCAGAGGCACCCCTGCAGCTGCGCTCAGCTCTGCTGTGGGGCTTCTCTGGGCAGACCCGCCTGCTAAAGCATCCTGGCAGGCCAGGCTGTCGCCATAGCAACAGTAGCAAGGGGAGGCAGAGCTGCACTGGGTACCTACCCATCAGCCTCCAGATTTTAAACGCCGTGGGCTGGGTGTTTTTCAGGATCGAGCACCTACTCAAGAGCCAGCGGCCTGAAGTGGAGGAGATGATCCGAGACATGGGCGTGGGCCAGTCAGCGGTGGAGCAGCTGGCTGTGTACTGCGTGTCCCTCAAGAAGTGCGTCCTCTGGCCCCTCTGCCCGAGCCCGGGAGCTGGGCCGCGGCACCCCGGCCGTGCCCCCACCTGCTGCCCCGCTCTTGCAAGGCAGCGCGGGCGGGGTGAAGGGGCAAGCCCTGGAGCCGTGTTGCCTCGGTTTGAGCCCTGGCCCTCCCTCTCACCGTGTGGCCAGAGCTGTGTTTTAGCCTCTGTGGCCCTCAGCTTACTGAGTGGAGATAGTAATGACTGGCCTCTCAGGGTTGTTGAGAGTGGGGTGATGATAGCAGTATTCCAAGGAGGCCGGCTCAGCTCTGCGAACTGTCAGCCCCATCATGGTACTGGCAGCCTGTTTCCCGTCAGCACTGTTACTGACCCTGCCAGCTTGTGTCGGGACTTCGCTCAGATCCTCCAGTCCTGTGGGCAGGGGTTTGGGGAGACAGCCACTTAGCTGACAGGCACTGCGGATCCCAGATGCCTCCTGTGGGGGCCGGGTGGCACGGGGGGCCTCCTGCGTGAGGCCGGGGCTTCCCGCGCACCCTCTCAAACCACCAGCACCTGCAGGGCGGGCGGAGCATGGCTCTCTCCGCACTGGGTGCGGACCCCCTCAGTGCCAGCCTGCCGAGCTCCGGCGTCAGAGCAGGAAGGAGAGCAGGGGCGGGGCTGGGCTGGGCTTCGTGTCTGGCTGGTGCTCGGTCTGACCAGTCTTTCTTTGGCCCCCGTGTAGAGAGTACGAGAACCTGAAAGAGGCGCGCAAGGCCTCCGGGGAGCTAGCAGAGAAGCTGAAGAAGGACTTGTTTTCTTCCAAAAGCAAGGTACCTTAGTGGGGTGCGGAGGGCGGAGGGAGCGGTGGCTGTTCTTTTCCCAGGCTTGCTCACATCTCCTGAGCGAGGCCACGGGGCCTGGCGGTGCGGCCGAGTCCGTGGGGCTGTCGGAGGACCCACGGAGGCGGGTTACCGGCCTTCACTGGCATTGGCTGTGGCCACGTGGCTTGTCCGCTCAGGCTGGCAGGTCATGTAGGCGCTCTCCTAACACACGCTCCGCCCTGCTCTTCCTGGCTCCTGGGCACCCGTGAGCTGGCAGGAGAGCACAGGTCCCCAGTGCGACAGCTGCAAAGGTCTGCTTTTGTACCAGGCCCAGAGGAGGAGGGCTCTCAGAGCCTGACTCAGTCAGCTCTGCCACGATTATTCCTGGGCCCGGCGCGTCTGTGGCTGCAGGGTATAAGGAACAGCCCTTGCTCCCGGGCGGCTCCAGAAGGACGTTGCTGGACTACAGCCCAGCCCCCCGGAGCTGGGGCTGCCTCACGTGTCCCTATAACCTTCTGGACCCTGGTCTACCACGAGCGCGGGCTGGGTAGCAGCCCATGGGGGCGGGGCACACGGCCGCCCCGTGGCTCACCCTTCACTCCCTGTGCTTCTGTAGTTGCAGACGGTCTACTCGGAGCTGGACCAGACCAAGCTGGAGCTGAGGTCGGCCCAGAAGGATTTGCAGAACGCTGACAAGGAAATCGCGGTGAGGGTCACCCCGGGCCGAAGGGCAGCGAGGGTGGTTTGCGTGCCCTCCGGGAGCGCCGCTGGGCTAGCTGTGCCTGGGACCTGTGCACCAGTCGGCACTGGTGGCTCTGGGCCCCGTGCATCCTCTGGGGTCGGGGCAGGGGGTGGGGACCTTGACCCCGGTCTGGAGCCTGGGCAGACAGCATCGCGGGTCTTCCCTCAAAGTCTGTCTTGTGCCTGCAGCCCCGAGACCAGCAGAGGAGGGGCTTCGCCGCCCCAGCCCCACCGTGGGTTTAAGGCCTGGCTCTGTTCCCAGGGGCCTGGCCTGCTGCGCGCTGGTCGCGCCCTCGGCAGTCCGCCTGCATTCCATGCCTGGCCTTTCCTCCACACTTTTCTCCTTCCTTCCCCAAGAGCCTGAAGAAGAAGCTCACGATGCTGCAGGAAACCCTGAACCTGCCGCCGGTGGACAGTGAGACCGTGAACCGCCTGGTTTTAGAGAGGTGGGTGGACCCCCTGGGCCGGTGCGGGGCCTCGGGCTGGGAGAGCTCCGTGGGAGGGGTCCTCAGTCCCCCTGGCTCTGGTGGGGTGGGTGGTCCACGTGGCCGTGAAGGTGGCCGTGCTCCCGCCCTGGGAGACAGCGAAGGTTTAGCTGGAAAGCAGCTTTGAGGCAGTTCTGGGCTCTGACGAGGAGAGGCCAGGGTGGGCCGGAGAGGGCCTACAGGTGGTCGCAGAAGGGGGAGCAGCGGTGACTGTCCCCGGGCAGCTGTTCATGGGATCGCCCACCAGATGCATCTGTCAGCCCCAGATTCTGAGCCAAGCAGGGAACCACTCACGGAAAGAATTCCCGGCTGGTGCTGGGAGCGTGTGTGTGTGCATGGGAGCTGCCAGCAGAGGGAGCCAAGAGGCAGAGGGATGCGGGCCCCTGCCGGAGCAGACGCCCACCCCCGCCTGCCCCTGAGTGTTCCGTCCTCAGGGCAGTCTGTCACCGGCCGCCTAGCTGAGGCCCAGACAGAGACCCCAGCACCACCCTGGGGACCCAGCCAGCCTCTCACTGAGCCCCTCTCAGTGTCTTTTGGGAAGTCACGCTGTGCCCTCTTCCCGCGTCCAGCCCGAGGCTGGAGCCTGCCCACATCGCTTCTGGGGGCGCCTGCCCCTGCCCCTTGCCGCCACCTCCCCATATGGCCTGTGACCCGCCCTCCCACTCAGCCCATGTGGGCCTGCGGCCCCCCCAGCCGTGCTGCTCTCCCCTAGAACTTCGGGGACGTCTGTGGGCGCTGCTGGTGGTTGCCGGTTCCCTTTGTCGCAGTGGGAAGGTCCTTCACTTCCATCATTTGAGGGTGGCCTCCGGAGGTGACTAGCACCCCCAACCACACAGAGGGTGTTTGGAAGACATCTAGGACCCCCACCAGGCCGTCTCTGATGCTTGGGGGGCTGTTGGCCTGGGCGGCCCCTGTGGTCCTGAGTGACCGGTCCGTCCGCACCTCCAGCCCGGCCCCGGTGGAGATGCTGAGCCTGAAGCTGCGGCGGCCGGCCTTCAGCGACGAGATCGACCTCAACGCCACCTTCGACGTGGATACGCCCCCCGCCCGGCCCGCCGGCGTTCGGCATGGCCACGCCAAGAAGCTCTGCCCAGAGACGGCACAGTAAGTGCAGCAGAGGCCCCAGGCCCTGTCTGCAGCCTGGAGGGGGGGCGGCTGAGGGATCTCTGTGGGCCCCGCCCCAGCGGCTCTGAGCGGCGGATGGGGCGGTGGGGGTCACCCGGCCTTGACCATGGCTTTGGTCCCAGCCGCCTCTCCTCTCCTCTCCTGAGTACGCTCTCCGTCAAAGCCTGTCTCACTGTGTCGTTACCCTTCACCGTCACCCTTCAGACAAGCGTGTTGGGGTGTGAACTGGAGAGAAGGCAGGGGTCCCGGTGGGGGCCAGTACTGGCTAATGGGGTGATGGGTGTGTGCTCGTGGAACGCCTGCCCACCGGGGTCCTGAGCCGGGGACTCCGCACCTCCTCCTCCTCCTCCTCCTCCGCTGTGTGTCTCTCAGCCTCACTCTTGAGGCAGGGCCATCCCACACCGCGGAGCCCAGGCCCCCACCCCCACCTGGGTGGCGGCCTGCAGGGGCAGGCATGGGAGGCTGTGTGGAGCTGCAGTGGGGTGGGTGGGACCCCCACTAGGGGTGCAGGGGCACTGGGGGCGGGGAGGCTTTCTCCTTGGCCACGCAGACCAGGTGTAGTTCAGCACGGGGATGAGAATGACTCTCGTACGTACACGTAGGTACACGCGCTGCTCAGGTAAGGGGGCTCCGGGGCCGAGCAGGCTTCCTCGTAGTCAGAGACCTTGGGCCTGCGAGGAGGCAGTCGAGATGTTGGGCCCTGGAGACGGAGGGGGCCAGGGAGAGGACAGAAGGGACAGCGGGCTGGGTTCCCACCTCCCCCACCTCGGGGCAGAGGCACCTGTGCTGCACGTCGATGAGCAGCGCACCCAGCGCGTGCGGGCGGCAGCCGGGGGCCTTCCGGTGCCTGGTCCGCACTCGGGCCTCCTCGGGTGGCCTTTACTCCTGCGTAAAGCTGGAAAGTGGGGACCCGGGACCTACAGGTTGTCGGGCCTTCTAGAGACATTTCTACCGTGTGTAGGGCCTGCAGGGCACGTGGGGGAGTTTGGGATGCCCCCAGCTTGGATCAGCCTCCGCAGACTCGGAATTGCAGCAAATGAGGGGTCTTCCCATGGTCTTCATGTGGCCCCACCACAGCTCTGGGGACGGGAGCACAGGGTCCAGAGTCAGCAGGCCCTGCCCCTGCCCCTGTGCTCGTGGCTTTGAGAAGCCACAGGGTCAGCTGTATGTCACCACCCTCCCGCCCACCTAGGAGAATACCGGGGAGAGGGTATCCATGGAAACGCTGCATCCTGCTCTGGGGCTGAGAGTGGGAGGCCAGGGCCTGGGGCTGCGCTCTGTTCTGCCCCGGGCCCCGCCTACACAGGGTATCTAGATTATCCAGGGAGGTGGCCTGGCCCTGTGTTCTGAGTGCTTCACGGGCTACTGACCTCACCGAGGGTCTCCTGGAGTGTTAGCCCCTCTCTGGGCAGACAGGATGAGGCCTGAGCTTGTTAGGTGTGTCTGCCCAGACCGGGGCACAGCTGGGTCAGTGGGGCTGTCCTGCCCCACAAGGAGCCTGGGACGCGGTGAGGTGCCTGCCCTGAGTGGCAGCCACGAGACCGGGACACGGTCCACTCTCCGCTGCCCCCACCACGCCGGCAGCCGTGCCTGTCCGGCGACTCGCAGACCCGCACCTGCGGAGAGGGCCGCCGAGGGGCCTCGCCCAGCACCACAGCAGCCGTGCCACACGGTGGCTCTGCTGGGGGTGTGTGCTGAGCCCGGCCACCCTGTCCCTGTGCTCGCTCACCTGCCTCTGCCCTTGTGTCTCACAGCTCTCCCACGCAGGACGCTCCCAAGAAGGTGCCCAAAGGCTGCAGGCAGGTAAGGCCCCCGTCCGCCGCCATCCGGTCCTGGCCCGGACTGAGCACTGAGCGTGAAGCCGGGCTCACGCGGGGGAGGGCCCTCTCAGCCCTGGCCCGGGGCCGACGCCCTTCGGAGCCGCCCTTGGGACCCTGTGCATGGTGCTCCCTGCCCCCCGGTGAGGCATCGGGGGTCCCGATCCTGTCCCGCCACCAGCTCGTCAAGTCTGGCCCTGGCCTGTCCCCTGCAGGAGACGCAGCTCTCGCTGGGCGGCCAGCGCTGCGCGGGAGAGCCTGACGAGGAGCTGGCCGGCGCCTTCCCGCTCTTCATCCGGAACGCCGTCCTGGGCCTGAAGCAGCAGCCCAAGAGGGCCCGGGCAGAGCCCTGCCGCGGCACGGACGCGGTGCGTGTGGCTCCCCACGGGGGCGGGTGCCGGCCCTCGGGGGGGGGGGGGGCGCGGTGGCCAGCCGCCGCCCCCGCCCCCCGGCTCATTAGCCTGGTCCACTCCTCTCTTCTTTGCCTTTAGGTCCGGACGGGCTTCGACGGTCTCGGAGGCCGGACAAAATTCATCCAGCCCGTATCCTTGTTCTGTGGCTCTGGGCGAGCCGAGCTGTCCAGCCCACGCCATCCCTTACCGGCGCCCCCAGGCCCCAGCCTGCCGGGGGCTGCAGCCTCGCGTTTGCAGAGCCAGGCCTCGCTGCGTGCCGCAGGGTGGCCCACCCCCCAGCCTCGGCCTTCCTGCCCTGCTGCGCCCCAACCCCCTCTTTCGGCCTTTTCCTTGACATCTCCTTCAGACGGACACAACTGTGATCCGCCCGCTGCCCGTGAAGCCCAAGGCCAAGGCGAAGCGGAAAGCGGGGGCCAGGAAAGGGCTCCCTCCCTCCCAGGCCAAGCTGGACACTTTCCTGTGGTAGAGAGGACAGTGCGTCTGACCGATGGCCACATGGGTGCTTCTGACTTGTACGTCCAAGACTGGCTCAGCGGGGGTTTGCGGGGCAGGGCCCCCCCTCCCACCAGTCCAGGACCAGCCCCGAAGGCAGTGGTGGACAGGAGGGTGGGGCCGGGGGCAAGGCCCGGAGGGTGTGCCTTCCCGCAGCGCGCCCTGGCCCACCCCGCCACGCTGGGCCTAGCGGTCACTGCCGCCGCCGGCAGGGCTTGCTCCTTGCTGTGGGCCCCTATTTATTGCCCGGCCCACCTGGCAGGCTGCTTCGGGTCGCCCAGACCGGTCGGCGGTGCGGACCAAGGTGCTCAAGGCTGCCAGGCAGCTTCGGCCTGCCCGGGCTTCCGCCTGCTCCGGCTTCTCGCTGGGCAGGGCCTGGGCTGAGCAGAATGGGGAGTGGGCGGAGGGGGGGGGTTGGCAGGGAGAGGATGGGGCGAGGCTTCTGTGTTGAAAATAAAAAAAGATAGACTCTTTTCTTCCTGGGTCTGGGAGCGTGAACTTGCACTTTGGAAGCCGTTCGGCATGACTTCCTGAAGCAGGACCTTCCCCTGGGCTCGGACCCTTAGGCACGCAGCCTCTGAGAGGGCACGAGAGACCCGAGCAGGAATGTGGCCACTGTGGCCTCGTCCGGAGACTGTCCCCTGGGCGCAGCCCAGAGCCCACAGGCGTCTGGTGGGGACCTGGTGGTGGCCTCTGTCGGGGGGCCTAAAGGGACCGCCCAGTGCCCAGTGCCTTTCTGCTGCCTTAGCCAGAACGCCTTTGTCGGGCCCTCAGCAGACGGCAGAGGCAGGGGGGCAGGAGCTTCAGGGGCGCACACAGGGAACGCGGCTGCTGGCTGCAGCCCTCGGGGGGCAGCACTGGGCAGTCCCCGAGGTGTGGGAGAACTCGGGCTCCCAGTCACCGTAACACGCTACTCAGAAGCTAGTTCTCCACCAAACACGGCAAAGCATATAAATAAACGGGAGAGGATGGCTCATTCACGGGAAAAGGAGAATTCCATAGAAACGCTTGCTGACAAATGTTGGAACTGAAAACTATAATAACTGAGGTGAAAGATTCACTATTGCTGGAGTCACAGAACTCGATTGCTTTCTTATATATCATTAGTGAACAATTGAAATTAAAAATACACTAGCATTTACATTAGTACCAAGAAGGAGGAGAAAAAAATATTTAAATATAAATCTAACAAAATATATATAAGATCTTTATGAGGAAGACATTAAAACTTTAATGAAAGGAATTTTTTAAAAGGCTAAAAACATGGAGACATATTCCAGGATTTTTTCCAACTTGATCTACAGAATCAGTGAAATTCCCATAAAAACCCCAGCAGGTTATTTTGTTTTCAACAAACCGATTCAGAAGTTTATATGGAAAAGCAAAGGACAAGTAGCCAACACAACACTGAAGAAGGACAAGGTCAAGGACTGACATTCCCCAACTCCGAGATGTGTTGTAAAGCTACACTAATCAAGACAGTGTAGTATTGCCAAGTAAAGAGAAAAACAGAGCAACAGAACAGAATAGAGAGCCCAGAAATAGACACATATAAATACGGTCAGCTGATCTTTGACAAAGGAGCAAAGGCAATTCAATGGGAAAAGGGCCATCTTTTCAACAATGGTGCTGGGACAACTGGACATTCACATGAGAAAAAAAAAATCTAGACAGTACTTACACCTTCACAGAAATTAACTCGAAATGGATCACAGAGTCAACTGTGAAACACTGAACAATAAAACTAGATGACAGTAACAGGAGGAAACCTAGGTGACCTTGTATTTGGTGATGACTTCTTAAACAATACTAAAAGCATAATCCATGAAAGAAAAATGTGTATAACTTGGACCTCAATAAAATTTAAAATTGATGGCCCTGGCCGAGTGGCTCAGTTGGTTGGGGCGTCATCCCAATATGCTGGGATTGAGGGTCGATTCCCGGTTAGGACACATATAGGAATCAACTGGTGAACGCATCAATAGGTGGAACAACAGATCCCTCTCCCCCAAAATAAGTAAGTAAGTAAGTAAGTAAATACAACTTCGGCTCTGCGAAAGATGCTGTTAAGAGAATGAAAAGCCAAGCCACGGATTGGGAGAAAATCTTTGCAAAAACATCTGACAAAGGACTGGATCCAAAATATAGAAACAACTCTTACAATTTAACAACAAGAAACAGCTCCGTTCAAAAATGGGCAAAAGTCTGAACACACCTCACCAAAGGTGACAAACATGGCAGATAAGCATGTGAAAAGACACTCAGCATCACCTAATCGGAGGGATGAGAATTAAAACAAGGAGATACCACTACGCGCCTATTTGAATGGCGGAAACCCCGCACACTGACAGCACCACATGCTGGTGAGGGTGCAGAGGAATGAGAGCTCATTTGCTGCTGGTGGGGGTGCTAAGTGGCACACTGTGGCAATTTCTCCCAAAAGCTAAGCGTCATCCAGCAATCACGCCCCTAGGTATTTACCCAATACTGACTTAAATGCGTATGGCCACACAAAACTCGTCTCACAAACACTTGTAGTAGTTTTATTCATAATTTTTTTTTAAAAAGCCCTGGCTGGTATAGCTCAGTGGATTGAATGCTGGCCTGCCAACCAAATGGTTGCCGGTTCAATTCCCAGTCAGGACACATGCCTGGGTTGCTGGTTCTGTCTGATCCCTGGTTGGCGGTGAGCGCGAGAAACACCCAGTTGATGTTTCTCCCTTCACATCGATGTTTTCTCCCTCTCTTTCTCCCTTCTTTCCCCTTTCTAAAAATAAATGAATAAAATCTTTTAAAAAATATCAATGGGTCTAAGAAGAAATCAATCACAGGGAAATGAGAAAATACCTTAAGGTAACTGAAAATAAAAACAACATCAAAATGTATGAGTTGCAGCAAAAATTGTACTGAGAGGGAAATTTATAGCTATAAACACCTACGTGTAAGAAAAGAAATATCTAAAACCAATAATCTCACTGTACTTTTTAATTCTTTTTAGTTTACTGATTGTAGAGAGACAGGACGAGAGAGAGATTTGTTGTCACACTTATTTATGCATCCACTGGTTGTTTATTGCACGTGCCCCGGCCGGGGTTGGAACCCGGAACCCTGGCGTACTGGGATGGTGCTCCAACCAACTGAGCTGCTTACCTAGGTCCTCACTGTACACCTTGAGGAACGAGAAAAAGAAGAACATCTAACCTCAAGCTAGCAGAAGGAAGGAAATAATAAAGATTAGATATAAATGAAATAGAAAAATGAGATATTGTGAATTATGTATAATAAGTATGTGCAGAATTTGGTCTTTGTCCTGGCACAGAGTCGCTAAAACCCTTGGGCTTCCCTGAGATGAAACTGAGAAAGGTCTTTTGTTGTGGTAAGAAGTGACCTTTGGAAAGCACCTAAGGACGGGGGCTGGTTGCTGGTGGAGCAAACCCCATGATTAGGGGGGTGGGACTTTCCGTCTCACCCCCGACACACACACACACACACACACACACACACACACACACACACACGCCTCCTGGGAGGGGAGAGGGACTGGAGACTGAATTCAATCACACCAACAGCCGAAGATTTCATCAATCACACCTGTACAATGAAGCCTCCATAATAACCCAAAACGATGGGGTTTGGAGAGTGTCCAGTTTGGTGAACCCATGGAGGCGCTGGGAGGGTGGCAAGCCGGACAGGGCACGCCCCCTCCCCTGGCCCTTTCCACCCACCTCTGCCATCTGGCCAGCCCTGCGTCATGTACCCTCGTGATAAACGGGCAAAGTAGTAAGCAAACGATTTCCCTGAGTTGTGTGGACTAGACCTGAGCAGGGGGTTACGGGAACCTCCAGCCTGTAGCCAGCCGGTCAGCAGCCCGGGTGAAAGCCTGGACTTGTGGCTGACACCTGCCGTTGGGGCAGGAGGGCAGTCTCACCGGACAGAGTCCCTGCCCTGTGGGAGCTATGCTGTCGCCAGGCAGAGGGTGTCAGAACCCACCTGCGCCGTAGGACATGCAGCTGGTGATGGGCGGCCTGGCGGTGTGGAGTCACACTCGTTAGAACTGGTGTCCGGACCCCACAAACAACAGAAGATCAACAAAACCCAAGGCGGGTTCTTTGAAAACATCAACAAAATTGACAACCTTTTAAATAAACTGACTAAGACAAAGAGTGGAGGACTCAAAGGCTCAAAACCAGAAATGAAACGTGGGGGCATTTCCACCGATTTCACAGAAGTAAAAAGAACTATAAGGGAGTATGATGACCAGCGGCGGTACACCAACACTTGGAATAACCTAATGGAAATGGACAAATTTCTAGAAACACAAACTAGCAAAAGTGACTCAAGAAGAAATACAAAACCCGAATACATTTATAACTAGTAAGGGGATTAAGTAAGTATTCAGTGAACCCCCCCCCCACACACAGAAAAGCCCGGAGCTAGCTTCACTGGCGATTCCACTGTAACGGAATGCAGGTCCGGCTGCCCGAGAGGCAGGTGCTGATGAAAGAAGGGAAGGTGGTTTTATTCAGATGCCGGCCACCTGGAAGAGGGGGGACTCACATCTCAAGGCCCGTCTCCGCCTCTCAGCGGAAGCAGAGGTTTCTAGAAGAGGGGGAGGAGAACAGGACAAAGGTATCTCGAGGGAGGGGATTGCAAATTCCTCTACATGCACACGAGCACGGTCCGTTCCAACGAGGCAAGTGTTGGATGCTCCGGTGTGCGTCATCCTGGTTAGTCATCCCGGCTTCTCGGCTTCCTGGCCCCGTGGCTGAAGGTCAGCAGACCTGCCGAGCTGGGAGGCCCGAAGGTCGGAGTCAGATCTTCTGAAGTTAGTTCCTAGGATTCCTCCGCAAACGCACTGTTCCTGCGCAAGCCGCTTATGAGTCAGAGTCCGCATGCACAGACACAAGGTCACAGGAACGGCGAGGTGGGTTACCATTCCCCACTGTTACAACTTTCCACTGTTACACTACCAAACATTTGAAAAAATGCTGACATCACAAAGACACTGCCCACATAGTGGGAAGGCCACCCACAGGATGGGAGGAAGTATTTGCAAATCATGTACCTGGTAAGGGATAGTATCCAGAATATGCAGGCAACTTCTAAAATTCAACGACACAAAAACAACCCAATTCAAAGATGAATAGATATTTCTCCAGGGAATATGGCCAATAAGCACATAAACTGCATCCAAACGACTGATAAGCGCGTAAAGAGACACTCAGGGTCACCGATCGCTAGGGAAATGCACATCGAAACGACCGTGAGACGTCGCCGCTTCACACCCGGGGAGACGGCTGCTGCCAGAACAGCCACAGAAAACAGGCGTGAGAAAGGATTTGGACAAACCAGAAGCCTTGTGCCCTGTTGGTGGGAATGTAAAATGTTACAGCTGCTGTGGAAAACAGCAGGGCAGTTCTTTTTTTTTTTTTTAAGATTTTATTTATTTATTTTTAGAGAGAGAATGGAGTGAGAGAGAGAGAAACATCAATGTGCGGTTGCTGGGGGTCATGGCCTGCAACCCAGGCATGTACCCTGACTGGGAATTGAACCTGCGACACTTTGGTTTGCAACCCGCGCTCAATCCACTGAGCTACGCCAGCCAGGGATAGCAGGGCAGTTCTTCAAAAAAAAATTGAAAATAGAATGACTGTATCTAGCCATTTCACTTCTGGGTATGTATCCAAAAGACTGGAAGCAGAATCTCAAAAAGAGACTTGCCCACCCGTGCTCACAGCCGCCGCCGAAACACGGCAGCAGTCCGTCTCCATCGACAGGTGAGTGGGCGAGCAGCACGTGGGACGTACGTATACGATGCACTGTTACCTGGCCTTAAAAGGAAGGACGCTTTGTAATATGCTACAACATGAATGAACTTGAGAGCATTTGCCAAGGGAAATAGCTAGTCACAAAGAGACAGTCTGGCCCCGGTCTCTGCAACTAGTGCATGGGACACATCTAGTAAATGCCGATTGAGTGAAAACACGCACACAAATACACCTACAAGCCCTGGCTGGCTGGTGTAGCTCAGTGGATTGAGCGCGGGCTGCGAACCAAAGCATCACAGGTTCGATTCCCAGTCAGGGCACATGCCTGGGTTGCAGGCCATGACCCCCAGCAACCGCACATTGATGTTTCTCTCTCTCTCTCTCTCTTTCTCCCTCCCTTCCCTCTGTAAAAATAAATAAATAAAATCTTTAAAAAAAAATCACCCACAGCTTTACATCCATCGGGATGGGTATAATTTGTTCTTGGAAAAGAAAAGGGAGTGTTGGCCGCAATGTTGGAAAACAGGAATTTTGTACACAGCTGGTGTAACACATTTTGCTGGTCCCTCGAAAAATTAAACATAGAATCACCACGTGACCCAGCGACTTTACTCCTGTGCATATGCTCCAAAGAACCGAAAACGGGGGCTCGGGCGCACGTTTGAGGGCGGTCATGGCGGCGCTCCGGAAGGAAGAAACAACTCAGAGGTCCGCCGATAGGTGGCGCGCAAACCAAGCGCGAGGTGTGTCTGCGGTGGAGTATTACTCGGCCATGAAAAGGAGCGACACGCTCACACACGCTGCGATTTGAATGAACCTCAGACACATTTTGCTAAGTGAACAAAGGCAGACACCGAAGGTCACGTTTTGTTTGATTCCTTTTTAAAAAACATTGTGTTTATTTTTTTCAAGAGACAGGACGGGAGGGAGAAAAACATCGGCGTGTGGACCGGTTGCCTCTCGCCCGCCGCCAAAGGAGGCCCCGGCCTGCAGTCCAGGTGCGGCGCTCTTCGGTGGGCTACGGAAGTTTTGAGAGGGGTGGTGCCGGCGTTGTGAATGCACTGAACTCCACTGGATTGTACCTTTTCAAGGGTTATTTTCACGTTATATGGATTTCACCTCCATGTTTAAAAGAAGTCACGACAGCGCATGGTTTAGTTATTGGGAAGTTTGGTGGGAGCTGTGGTCCATCTTCAGAGCACTGGCCCGGAGCTCCCAAGAAGGCAAATCAACACATCCGTGGGTGAAAGTTACCCAGGACCTGTCTGTACTATTTTTGCTACTTCCTCTAAGTCGATAATCATTTCAAAATAAAAGATTAAAGGGAAAATGAGGACACGTGACCCTGGCGGCCCCGTGCCTCCCGCTCTCAGGTCCAGCACGCAGAGTCCAGGGCCTCATCCCCAGCCGGCCACCTGGGATGCCATCCCTCTGTCCATTCTGGTCTGGCAGCTGTGGGCAGGGAGGGGTCCTCACACTCTGAGGAGAGAATGCAAGGCCCAGCATGCACCCCCTCCTCGAGAGCAGGCTCCACCCAGACCCGAGGCTTGGGCCCTGGGAGTGGGGTGACATACCCTCCTGAGCTCCCACAGCCCCTAGGCCAGGACCTGCCTGACCCCCGGGGTCTCTAAGTGTCTGCGTGGTGGATGGCAGGCCCGGGAGTCCTCAGGATGGGGATTCCCATGAGCATTCTGTGCGCAGGAAGCCCGTCCAGGCAGCGGCACCTGAGGGGAGCGGGGCCTAGGGTTTGGGACCTGCAGGGAGCCACAGGAAGTGACCGCATCCAGCCCCGTGGGTCCCTCCCACAGCCTGGCCCCTCCCTGCTCTCCCAGTGACCGAACAGGCTGACGTCTGTCCCACCTTGCGTGCGCCCTGGGGCTGCCAGCCTCACCTTGGCCGGCCCAGGCTGTTCAGCACGGGCCAGAGGCAGGACAAGGAACCAGGTCAGAGTCTAGTTTCACTTTCATTTTTGCTTTCCCTGAAATGACAGAGGAGCCGAGAAGAAAGCTGTGACCAGCCGTGTCTTTCACTCCCTCAGCCTCAGTGCCTGTTTGCACTGAGCTACAGCTGGGCACCTGCCTCTGCCGGCCCCGCCTCCCCCAGAGACCCCCCCTGTCCTGGCTGCAGCCAGGTGTCGGGGCCCAGGCCTCGGGATGGGCGTCCAGGACACCTCCAAGTCGCTGGATGAGGAGCTGTACTCTCGGCAGCTGTGAGGCCAGAGGTGGGATGGGGCGTGGGGTGGCCCGCTGCCCTCTGTCTCCCATTGCCTGCCCTCCTGCTCTCCATCCGCAGGTGTGTGCTGGGCTTGCCGGCCACGCAGAGGCTTCAGGAGGGTAAGGTCCTGCTGTCAGGCCTCCAGGGCCTGGGGGCTGAGGTGGCCAAGAACCTGGTCCTGATGGGCGTGGGCAGCCTCACTCTGCACGACCCCCACCCTGCCTGCTGGTCCGACCTGGCTGCCCAGGTGAGGGCCCTGGGTGTCTGGGGGTTCTCGGACCAGAGTCGGGGTAGGGCCCAGGAGGTAGCTCCTGGCTCAGCCTGGACTGGGTCTCTCTCTCTCTAGCTTTTCCTCTCGGAGCAGGACTTGGGAAGGAGCAGGGCTGAAGCGACTCAGGAACTTGTGGCCAAGCTCAACGGAGCCGTCCAGGTCCGCGTCCACACAGGCGACATCACGGAGGAGCTGCTGCAGGACATCCAGGTCCCCTCCCAGCCCCACTCCCCAGGCTGGCGCAGTCCCCTCCTCCAGCCCTTGGCCGCGGGGTGGGCGGGACAGTGGCTCTGGCCTGCTGACCCTGCCGTCCGCCCAGGTGGTGGTGCTGACCACCTCCAGCCTGGAGGAGCAGCTGAAGGTGGGCACCTTGTGCCGCAAGCGCGGAGTCTGCTTTCTGGCGGCTGACACCCGGGGCCTCGTGGGGTGAGTGTGGCTGCCGGCCTGGCCTGCCTCATCCTGGACGGCAGCGTCTGGTCCCAGAGCTGTCCCTCGTTCCGGGCTTGCCCGAGTGCCCCGCACCCGGCCCCAGGCCTACCTCAGCACCCCCCTCGATTCTGGTCCCCAGCCCCACCCCTCGGCTTCCTCCACCCCAGCCCCCAGACGTGCCCCTGGTAACTCCAGCTCCCAAGCCCCTCCCAGCATGCCTTCCTGACTCTGTCTCCCTCGTGTCACCCGCCCTTTGCCCCTGAGCCCCTACCACCTCCCCCCCACCGCAGGCAGCTGTTCTGTGACTTTGGTGAGGACTTCACCGTCCAGGACCTTACAGAGGAAGAGCCCCAGGCAGCCGCCATCCAGCACATCTCTAAGGTGGGCGCCGGGGTGTGGACGTGGGCGGGGGGCAGGTGCCGGAGCCCGTGGAAGGCAGGTGCGAGTGGCTCTGAGCCAAGCCACCTCTTATCCAATCCAGGGCTCCCCTGGCGTTGTCACTCTGAGAGAAGATGCCCACAACTTCCGTGCCGGGGACTTGGTGACTTTCTCCGGCATCGAGGGCATGGTCGAGCTCAACGGCTGTGCTTCCAGGCTCCTCCGCGTGCAGGGTGAGCCGGCCCCACTCCAGTTCCCGGCTCCGCGCCCCGGCCCCCACTGGGGGCAGACGCAGCCTGGTCCTTGGGGATGGCTTCTCCCCCTGCCTTCCTCGGGATGGGCCACCTCCAGGACACAGACACAGACGGGACGGGGCGTGGGGAACCACTCGGGTTCAGAGGTCCCGCTAACTGGGCTGGGTCTGCCCCAGAGGGCGGGACCTTGGAGATCGGGGACACGACAACCTTCTCCGCTTACTTGCGTGGTGGAGCTGTCACTGAGGTGAAGACACCCAAGACAGTGAGGCATGTGAGTGCAAGGCGGGGGGGGACTTGGGAGAGTTAGGGGGCCCCCGGTGTTCTGGACCTGCCCCCGAGCCTGGTGCCCCCTGCAGGAGCCCCTGTATGCAGCCCTGCTCCAGCCTCGCGTGGTGGCCCAGAGTCCCCGGGAAGCTCACCGCGCCCGCTGCCTGCACCAGGCCTTCCGTGCCCTGCACGAGTTCCGGCGCCTCAGCGGCCGCCCACCCCAGCCCTGGGACCCTGTGAGTGTGTCCTCCCCCTTTGCCCCTCTGTCTTAGCGGGGTCTCAGCTGCTGGGAGGCAGCAAAGACCATCTCACAGATCCAAGTTTGAACCCCTGAGGGGCCTTCCCACTCACTTAAAGGAGTGCCGGGCCTGACGACAGCCCGGGGACCCTTGCTGCCTGCTGATCCCTCGGAGCTGGGCCCGGGGCTGCCCCCAGGTTGGCGAAGCCTCCAGGGCTGTTGTCTGGCACTGGGTGTCCTCTGATGGGGCTGCACCGCCTGCCTGCCGGGCCCCTGTCTGCCTTCCCACTCAGGTTTCTGCTTACTTCTCTGTGGAACAGGGCGGCTGCCTGAAGGGTTGGAGTGGGGAGCAGTGGCGCTCCGGCCGGGGCGCTGTGCCTACTGAGCTCTACCCCACAGGCTGATGCAGAAAGGGTGGTGGGCCTGGCCCGGGACCTGCAACCACTGAGGGGGCCGGCGGGAGAGCCTTTGGAAGAGCCCCTGGACGAGGCTCTGGTGAGGGCCGTCGCCCTGAGCAGCGGCGGTGTGCTGAGCCCCATGGCAGCCACGCTGGGCGCCGTGGCCGCCCAGGAAGTGCTGAAGGTGGGTGCAGGCACAGGCAGGGTGAGGCTGGGAGGGGCGCAGAGCTCACTGTGGGTGCCAGAGGGTGCCCGACACCAGACAGTGGCCCTGGCGGCTTCACCACCTTGGGTGCAGCCCCCCAGACCGGATCTGAGGGGCTAGCAGGTGGCAGCAGCCCCTAAGGTCCTGGCCTCCAGGCGGTCTCCAGGAAGTTCCTGCCCCTGGACCAGTGGCTGTATTTCGACGCCCTCGACTGCCTCCCGGATGACGAGCAGCTGCTTCCCAAGCCCGAGGACTGCGCACCGGTGAGAACCTGGGGCGTGTGCACGCCTTCTCCAGACTCAGGGCCGGGGGAGGAGCAGGAGGAACGGTCCCGGGGTCCTGACCTGGAAAACCCGGGGTGAGGGGGACACGCAGCCCGGGCCGGCAGCCATCGCCGACCTGTGCCCGGTGTCCCCTAGAGAAGCTGCCGCTACGACGGGCAAATCGCGGTGTTTGGGGCCGGTTTCCAGGAGAAGCTGAGCCGCCAGTGCTACCTCCTGGTGAGCTGCATGGCGAGGCTGGGAGCACGTACGGGAGGGCCGGGCCTGGTTCTCTGGCTCAGGCTGCTCCTGCCGGCAGGTGGGCGCTGGTGCCATCGGCTGCGAGCTGCTCAAAGGCTTTGCCCTCGTGGGCCTGGGGCTCCGGGGCCGAGGGGCCGTGACCGTGGCCGACATGGACCACGTGGAGCGCTCCAACCTCAGCCGTCAGTTCCTCTTCAGGCCCCGGGACGTTGGTGTGAGTGCCTGCGCCTTCCAGCACCCCTCTCCTGGACCGCCCTCCCCCAGTGCACCCGCCCCTCCACCCAGCGTCTTCTGCTCTCTTCCCAGAGGCCCAAGGCAGAAGCGGCTGCCGAGGCCGCCCGCCGCTTGAACCCAGACCTGCAGGTGGACCCGCGCACCCACCCTCTGGATCCCTCTACAGAGCGTATCTATGGAGACGACTTCTTCTCCCGCGTGGACGGTGTGGCTGCCGCCCTGGACAGCTTCCAGGCCCGTGAGTGCTCAGCCTTGGAACTCAGACCCTTGTCCAAGGCCGTGCCAGCCCCCCTTCTAACCCTCCGCCCCCTCGCCAGGGCACTATGTGGCTGCTCGCTGCACCCACTATCTGAAGCCACTGCTGGAGGCAGGCACGCAGGGCACCCGGGGCAGCGCCTCGGTGTTCGTGCCGCTGGTGACCGAGGGCTACAGAGGGCCGGCCTCGGAGGCCGCGGCTTCTGAGGACGCGCCCGACCCCATCTGCAGCGTGCGGCACTTCCCCAGCACAGCCAGGCACACCTTGCAGGTGGGAGGCCCCCCGAGACCCCTGTGCCACACGGCTCAGTTCTCAGCTGCAGACCTGGGCCCCACCTGACGCCTTATGGCTGCCTTCTCCCCAACAGTGGGCCCGGGATGAGTTTGAGGGGCTCTTCTGTCGCTCTGCCGAGGCCATCAACTGCCACCAACAGTAAGGCCCCCAGCAGTAACGGGGGTGGGTGGGAGTCCAGGGCCCCCGGCAGCGGGGTCTTCAGGGCTCAGCCTCAAACTCCCTCCCCTCTCCGCAGGGCACTCACCTCCCTGGCAGACGGGGGACCGCCGCTGCTGCCCCTGCTGCGGGTGGTGGTGGGTGTCCTGAGACAGCGTCCACGGAACTGGCGAGACTGCGTGCTGTGGGCCCTCGGCCACTGGCAGCTGTGCTTCCGTCACAGCATCAAGCGGCTGCTCAGGCACCACCCACCTGACGAAGTGCGTGGCTAGGGGTCCGAGGCTGAGGGCTCAGCGGGACCAGACTAAGTCCAGCGGCCCTCATTTCCTAGGTGCTTGAGGATGGAACACGTTTCTGGTCGCGTCCCAGACAGTGTCCTCAGCCCTTGGAGTTTGACGCCAGTCAAGTGAGTGAGGTCCCGCGGGAGCCCCGGGAGGGCCGTGTGGCCCCTGAGGGCACAAGTGGGCACCTCTGTCTCCTGCACAGATGCTGAGGGACAGAGGCACCTTTGGGCGCGGGGCAGGGGGTGGTGTCCACAGGTGAGGCAGAGGCGGGCACTCGCACGCATCCACAGTGGGCGGAGCCCACACCCCGCACGCCCGTGCACGCTCACTCACCCGTACGCCGGCCCTGCCCTTGCTTGGTCTGACTCAGGACACGCAACTCCTCTACGTGCTGGCGGCGGCCAACCTGTACGCCCGGATGCACGGGCTGCCTGGCTCCCGGGACCCGCCGCGGCTCAGGGAAATGCTGCAGTCCCTGCTGCTGCTGCCTGCTCCCCAGCACCTGGACCCCGTCTTCCCTGATGACCTGGCTTCCACGGAGCCTGGTAAGGCCCCGGCCCTGCTCGCCCCCATGCTGCTGCCCAAAAGCTCGACCCCGCCCTCAGCCTGGGTAGAAGAACAAGGGGCCTGGGGGCCCTGCAGCCAGCTCACTGCCTCTCAGGCCCTCCGGCCCTGCTTCTGCTTCTTGCTCATCCTCTGCGCCCCCTTTCCCTGCTGCCTCCCCCACCCCCACCCCACCCCCATTCCCTTGCCAGGTGTTGAGCAAAACAAGCACAAACCCTGGCGCTCCCAGGCGGGGACAGAGTCACATAGCACGCACACATGCATGCAGACACACACACACACGTGCACAGATACCCACAAACACGGGGGACGGGGGGCTAGGGCTGCTGAGCAGGAGACTAGCATCAGTCGGGGGGATTCCTGAAAGGGGCAGAGGCCTTGGGCTGAGCAGAGACCAAGGAGGGGCCCCCGGGTCCAGGACAGCGGCGGAGATGGGGGCTGAGGGCTGTCCCCATGCCCCTTCCCTGACAGACCCTGGGCAGGCGGAGAGGCTGCGCGACGCCCTGCGAGACTGGAGCTCGGGCCCCTCGCTGGAGCCCCTGAGGTTTGAGAAGGTGGGAGCCGGAGCGCAGCGTGGGGCCGAAGGGCGGGGCCAGGGAGGTTGTCGGGGAAGGTCCAGAGCTGAGAAGGCAGCCCTGGAGCCCCCGGGCCGGCCTGGCGCTCCTCGCAGTGGGGACCCCAGAAGCAGCTGGCCTCCCCTTCCCCGATAAGGGGGGAGGTGTGAGTGTCCACCAGACCAGCCGTGGGAAGAGCTGCGCACGCGGGCGGCCACGGCGAGGGGCGCGGGGTGCTGGGCGGTGTTAACACTCGCTCGCGGGGCTCGAACCTCCTAGGACGATGACAGCAACTTCCACGTGGGCTTCGTGATGGCGGCAGCCAGCCTTCGAGCTCAGAACTACGGGATCCCACCGGCCAGCCGCACCCAGGTGACCCTGCCTCCTGGGACTCCAGTGTGGAGGTGGGGGTCAGACCCCGCCCCCCCCCCCCCGCCCCCTGCCCCGGTCCCACACCCGGCCTCCCGTCCTTGGCAGAGCAAGCGGATCGTGGGCCGGATCATCCCAGCCATCGCCACCACCACGGCGGCCGTGGCGGGCTTGGTGGGCCTGGAACTGTTCAAGGTGGTGGGCGGGCCGAGGCCCCTCCGTGCCTTTCGCCACAGCTATCTGCGCCTGGCTGAAAACTCCTTCAGCCGCTTTGTGCCCGGGGCCCCGGCCGCCCAGGAGGTGAGCCCTGGCCCTCACCCACACCCAGCGCAGGTTTCCCTGTGCCTTCCCGCACAGGCCCTACTCTGGCTTCCGGCCTGCACCAAGACCCAGACTCTGGGGGCGTCCTTAAGACTCGCGTCGCCCCCTCCCCGCAGCTGCGAGGCCAGGCCGGGGCCTGTCAGACACAGGAAGCAGCCATCAGCCGCCCCTACCGCCCAGCCCTCTGCGGCCGGGGGTCTGGGGAAGCTGCAGCTTTAACTTATTACCGAGCCAGACATCCCCCACGGCCTCCTCCTTCCCAGGAGTGCCCCTGGAGAGGGGCTGAAGGGGCCCGGGGTGGCGGGGGGGGGGGCGGGCCTCAGGCCCCAGCCCCACACCGAGCCTAACACCGCCTGCCTGCCTGTGTGGCGTGGGCACTGGGCCTGCCCTATCAAAACCCTGAATTAAGGGGTGCCGTGCTCCCTGTTGCCTCCGGGGTGGCGTCTGCACCCCTGTGTGTGTGGGGGGGGTGTTTGTGTCACAGGTGTGAGTGTGCCGGGGGTCTGGGCATCCCTGGCCACCTCCAGCTCTGTGCTGTGTGGGCACAGAGGGGGCATGCTTGCACATCTGGGCACCAGATGGGAGCACAGGGCTCGTCTTCACTGTGGGGTCTCATGGGCGTGTGTGTGAGCACACGTGCGATGTCCCTGGGCTTGTGCGCGTGAGTTCCCTCTAGCGCAGGGCTGCGGATGGCCCTGGCAGCGTGCCCGGCTCCACAGCAGTTAGCCTTTCCTTGGGGCACAGGAGGGTGGAAAGAATGTCCTCACCAGGGGAGGAGGGAGAGGTCATGGGCTAGCACTGGGCTTTCGCTGAGTAGCCCTGGGGTCCCCCAGGGCACAGCATACAGAGCCCCTTTGTGAGGGGCCCCGCCCCTAGTTCGCACATAGGCTGCCTTTGTCCATGGTGGAGGGGGCGGGGGACGCCCCTCCCCCCATTGCACCTCTGATCTCATCTCAGCTTGACCCCTCTGTATGTTCTGGGAAGGTCAGCAGGGCCTCATGTCTTGGCCCCTGGCTGCCTGCCACCCTTCTGCCCTCAGTTCTGGGCACCAGAACCCCAAGGCTTTTGACACAGGGAAGGAAAGAAGGGATAGGAAGAGGAGGCCTCTGGGGACCGTGCCCCTACTGGGGTCTCCAGGCCAGTGAGTTCCCAGCGGTCACTGTGTCCCTTGCCCCTTTGTGCCCACGGGCAGTCAAGGCCCTGGCGGTACAGGATGAGGGGGCAGGATGCACCCCTCCTTTCCCGGCTCCCAGCCTTGCATTTGAGGAATAAGCTGCTGCCCTGGAGACTTTAGCTCAGGGGCCCTGCTCCCGCTTCCTCAGGAAGCGCCGCCCTCCCCCCCAACCTGCACACAACCAGCCTGTGTGATGGATTGCCTGCTTCCCCGTGTGGGGGCCCCCTAGCCCCATTTCCTGTGCTGGCCCCGGCATGGGCGGGGAGGGTGCCGGGGCTCTGGGCCCAGATCCCACCTTCCATCCCCACCCCCTGGCTCCGGCTTCCTGCCTTTGGTCCAGCTCCTCCTCTAGGGAAGGGGCCGTCAGCTGCTGGTGACAGGGGTAGGGGGAGGGTACGCGTGGGAAGCTTCCCACTCCTTCTCACCACCCCCAGTTCCATCACCTGAGCTGGACCTGTTGGGACCGCCTGAAGGTGGCTGCTGGGCAGCCGGAGAGGACCCTGAAGTCACTCCTGGACCATCTCCAGGTGTGCCTTGCTGCGCCCGCCGCCCCCCCCCCCCGGCCCCCGCCCGCCGCCAGGCCTGGCCCAGCCTGGCCCAGCCTGGCCCAGCCGGCGTCTGACCCGTCTCTCTCTAGGAACAACATGGGCTGAGGGTGAGGATGCTGCTGCGAGGCGAAGCCGTGCTCTACTCGGCAGGATGGCCCCCCGAGCAGCAGGCCCAGTGCCTGCCCCTCCGGTGAGCCCGCCTCTGGCTCCGGCCGGGCCGCGTTCTGTCACTGGAGGTCGGAGGTGGGGGACAAGGAGCCTTTCCTCTTCCAGCCCCATTTGGGCCCCTCACACCTTCCCGGGGCTTCCTTTTGCCAAATGGAGTCAGCAAATGGGCTGGGGGCGGGGTGAGGGCCCGGAGCCCGAGGAGGGGCCTCCAGCTCGGCCTGCTCCGTGCCCCCCCCCTCCCTAGCCCACTCCCAGGGGACCAGCAGCTTCCTGCCTCTTGCCTGCCCAGCCAGCCGCTCTGAAAATAGTTTCAGATGTTTCCTGTCTTGAGTTGCTCCCGCTCCTGCTCCTGGCTCGGGCTCCTCATGGCCCATCAGCACCCCCTCGTCCACGGTCACTCCATATCTGCCCCTGCTCAACTCCCCAATCTCCCCTCCCCTGACCCCGCACGCCACCAGGGTGACAGAATGGGTGGAGCGGAAGACAGGCTGGGTGCCCACGCCTTGGCAGCGGGTGCTGGTCCTGGAACTCAGCTGTGAGGGCGAGGAGGACGACACCGCCTTCCCGCCCCTGCACTACGAGCTGTGACAAAGCGGCAGCCCCACCACCACCTCTACGGAGCTCTGCGTCCCAGGCCCACAGCAGGCGCTCAATAAATGCTTGTTGAAGGAAGGCGTGAATGGAGAGGCTGGATGGTGGAACGCTGGGTAGTAACACACACGGGATGTGACCAGGGCACACAGGGACCCCTGGGGGGAGGGAAGAGGCTCTTCGGATTTGCCCACCTGGGCTGTGCCTCCCGGGGCTGGGGCTGCCTGCCTCCCAGAGACCCAGGCGTAGGGAACCAGTCCAGAGAAAGGCCTTTATTGTCCCGGGCCGGAGGGCAGGGTCAGAGGTAGCTGACGACGTCGTTACAGATGATGGGCTGGCGGCTGCGGCAGCTCATGAGGGCTGCGAAGCGCGAGGCGTCCGCAGGCAGTTCGGGCTCTGCTCGCGGTGGGCACGACAGTCGCTTTCCCGCCATGGCCGCCCTGCGGGCCCTGGCCAGCTGGCGCCGCAGCTGCTCAGAGAGGCCGAGCAGGAACTGGGGGGGCCGAGCACGGGCACGCGGCGCGCCCCCGTTGTCCCCCTCGCCTGCTGCCTCGGGCAGCTCCATCCAGTTGTGCACCAAGTCAGCGAAGCAGTTGTCCCCCAGCACCAGGGGCTGGCGGCTTCGCCCTCTGCTCAGCAGGGCTGCTGTCCAGTCCTCGGCTTCCAAGCCCCGCCAATGCTCCAGGCAGGCATCTGGGGTGGACTTGGGCCGGGGTCGGTGGGCAGGTGGCGCCCTAGCCACAGGGGCTCCGCTGGACAAGGGGATGCCACTGGCTGAGGCGCGCTGTCTGTGGGGGCGCCATGCTGGGGGTGCTGGAGGCACAGGCAGCTCTTCCTCTCTCCACGTGCTGCCTGACACCTCGGAAAAGCCGGAGTCCCAGTCCAAGGTGTGCTCCCTGGGGCCCTCCAAGGCTACACCTCTGTCGCCTGTCACCACACCTTCCTCCTCCTCTTCCTCCACACAGCAGACGGAGTCCTCTTCCAAGGCATCTGAGGCCCTGAGCCGGTGGTGGGCACCTGGGCCGCGTTTGGGGGGTGGCGGAAGGGGACCAGGCATTGGGGGTGAGCCTGTGTCCCGGCCACAGGGCTGCGGAGGAAGAGAGGGCAGAAGTCAGAGGGCCAGTGCTCGTCACTCCTGCCTGCCCGGCCAGGCCAGTCCCAGAAGAGGAGGCTCGGGAGGGCTGGACAGGCCTGCAGGCCTGGGCAGCGGGGCCTCTGGTGAGCTCAGGCGATGGGGGCGCTGGCACACGAAGCTCGTGTGGCTCCCCGTAAGCCGACCTGGTGGCAGTCCGGCAGGCTGCAGCACGCAGGATTGGGCAAGTCGGCACCCGCCACCAAGGCCCAGGGCTGGAGGCAGGGTTGCCGGCCTGAATCGGGAAGTAGGTCCTGCTCGGGGCTGGGGGTGGGGGTGGGGGTGGACCATCCCGTGCTTTTTGAGGGGTTCAGCTCCCCAAACCCCACCTTGTCTTTCCTCTTTCAGAGAAGGATAGGGCACTTGCCAGGTGGAGGGTAGAGGAAGGAGTTTCAGGCCAACCTGGCATAAGGGGCATCCACAGCAGCGCCAGCAACTCTTTAGTCCCTGGAAGACCACTGTTACACCCCAAAAGAAGTTTCTCCCATCCCCTCTCTCCCCTTTCCCTCCGCAGGCCTGCGCAGCAAGGCCAGCTGGGCGGCTGTTACTTGATGCCCGGCGCAGCTCCCAACCGTCCGAAACCCGACGCGGGCCATCTGGGCCATCTGGGCCGCTCCACCCCCATCCCGCCTAGGATGAGCACTCGGGACAGCCCCCTACCCCAGTGCCTTTCGGCCGATGGCAGCCGAGCACCCCACACTCGTCCTTAAGAGTCAACACCGATCCCAAGCCTCACCAATTCCCAGCGGAGCTGGCCCAGGAAGCTGTCAAGCCGAGTGCTGTGCATGCCCCTGCCGGAGCCCCCGCCAGGCCTGCCAGTTCCAATGAAAACTCCGGCGGGAGCGGCGCGGAGAGGGCCGGGCGGCCCGGCCAGCGGCGCCTTCACCCTGTGCCCAGCGCCGCGACTCCTCGCGCTCCGTAGCTCCCGCAGCCGCCCCAACATCTGGCAGCCGCGCCCCGCCCCTGGCGCCGCAGCCAATGGGCGGGGCGGGGCTGAAGTGGCCCCGCCTCTCGGGCCCGGCCAGGGGCGAGCCCCACGCCCACTCCCCACTTGGTTCCAGCTCTGTGGAGCGGGGCGGGTTTGCTGCTACAAGGCCGGGCCGGCCCGGACTGCCCGACGCCCCAGCGGTTGAGTCGACTCCAGTTTGCTTCGTGACCCAGAACGAGTCGCTTCCTCACAGTAGCCCCGATTTCCCCATTTTTATCAGGACAGAGCTGCGGTCCCTCCTTCAGGGGCCCCTTGAGCACGCGGCTGCCCCGGCGGCGGCCCCCTTGTGCGGGCAGTGCGCCCCTAGTCTCCGGGCCTCAGGGCCCAGCCCACTGGACCCGCTCCTGGAGTGGGCCGTGACAATCCCTGGAAGTGGTGGGAGGGCCCGGCCCCCTCGGCGGACTGCGGGAACGCGGGACGTCTAACCTCCACCCAGCCTCTCCATCCCGCGTCTGGGCCCAGCTACGCCGGGCCGCCCTCTAGTGGGGAGCCGCGGCTTGTCACGGCGATTCCTGCGGTGACATCTGCATCCTCTCGCCGGCCGGCCGCAGGCCACCTGCAGAATGAGAGCGAATGCAGGGGAGTGAGTTAGGGCGCGCGCTCTCCAGCGGGAAGGGTCAGAGCGTGTTCCGTCCCCAAGCGCTCCGTGAGTGCAGGCCGAGTTCAAGGATGCCGTCTACCTGGAGACAGAGCAGTCAGTAGACAGAAAAATACCGGTGATGAGTGCGAGGCTAGCTCGGAAGGGGGGACTCGCCCAGGAAGTGGCATTCTGTATGGGATCTGGATGAGCCACCACGGAGAGATCGAGAGGCGAATTCTAGGTAGAGGAATCAGCCAGTTAAAGGCCCTGAGAGGACAGGAGGTGGACAGGGCTTTACATAATGGAGGCCCGAGTTGCCTCGGGCCGGAGTGGCCCGGTGGGTTGGAGCATCATCTCTGGGTGACGGAAAGGTTACAGGTTCCATTCCTACGCTTCTTTCTCTCATGGAGGTTTCTCTCTCCCTTCCTCTCTGAAAGCAATGAAAAAAGAAATGTCCTTTGATGAGGAAATAAAAAAGGCCCAAGATATCCATGACGGTGGCAGTTGGGGGAGTGAAGAGTTCTACAAAACCAGGCTCCTAGCAGCCTGAGAAACACGAGGTCTTGGCTGTTCTTGGTGTGGCGGGGACGCTGAGGGCTTTTGAGCAGGAAGGACCGGGGCTGGCTCCTGCCTACGGAACCCCAGCTGCTCTGGGAGGGGCGCTCTGTACTCTGAACGTAGACTCCTGACCTCGTCCAGCCCAGGAGGGGAGGGCCTGGGCCCCGGTGCGGCTGATGCACAAAAGGGGGCCACTTTGGGGTATGTTTTGGAGCTAAAATCAAGCCTTGCCGATGCATGAACATGAGCAGGGAAGGAGCGTCGAGCATGACTCCTGGGTTTCTTGCCTGAACATCTGGTCGGATGGGACTGTCGTGAATGGATCCAGGAAAGACTGGAGAAGAGAGGGTTTGGGGTTGGACAAATCAAATGACGATTTGTGGACATGTGGCCTTTGAGATGTCTGTTAGACATCCAAGGGACAATGCGGGGCGGGGGGGGTGGGGGGCGGTCAGCCCCTGAGTGTGTGGCTCTGGAGTTTGGGAGAGAAATCAGCGCTGAATGCTTGGACCTGGGAGGCAGAGCCAGTGGGTGGTACTTGAGGCCGTGTGCCCGGATGTGATGGCAAAGGTGAGTTCCGCAGTCAGGACTGAGCCCTGGGACACCCCACCCAGTGGAGTCAGGGAAGATGAAACAGAACCGGCAAAGGAGGCAAGCAGGGACAGCCAGGGAGGGGGCAGGAAACAGAGAGTGGGCGCTTAGGAGCTCTGAGGAGCAAGCACCAGAGGCAGCCAAGGAGGTGAGACTGGAGAAGGAACTATGAGGACCCCAACTAGGGCAACACCGTGGACAGAGGGGTGAGCCTGACTTAGAGAGCAGGAGAGAGTGAGAGGTCAGGAACCGGAGAGAGCAGCTGTACACAACTTTTCCAAAAAGACTTTATTTCTTTTCAGAGAGAGGGGAAGGGAGGGAGAAAGAGAAGGAGAGAAACATCAATGTGTGGTTGCCTCTCACACACCCCCAACTAGGGACTTGGTGCACAACCCTGGCGTGTGCGCTGATGGGGAATCAAACCGACACCCTTCAGATCACGGACCGGTGCTCAATCCACTGAGCCACACCAGCCAGGGCTAGACAGCTTTTTAAATACAACAAGTGGACAACTCTCAAAGGTACAGCTCAAAAAACATGAAAATCTGTAGACACTGGTGCAACTGTCGCCCAGATGAAGATACAGAATATCCCCGGCCACTCCCAGAGGCCACTTTGATGTCCCCGAAGATAACCACTCTTCTGTGTGATTTCTGTCACCATGGGCTCCCTGCGCTTGATGCAGGCAAACAACTTCCGGAGATTTTGTTGGCCGCGGGGCTCAGATTAGTGGGCAGATAACGTTCAGACGGGGCCGGCGGTCGGCGCTCAGACCCCGTGGGCGAGCAGGTTTCCTGGGCACTGTCTTCACTTGATCTCAGCCAAAAGGCCGAGAAGCGATCCCGGGCACTGTCTTGCTTTGTCTCCGAGGACGGCATGACCACGACTTCCCTGAGTCTGTTTCCCCATCTGAAGCTCAACCCTTGTCCCCTCCCATCTACCTACTTCGGGCCGTAGGAATGAGAGGGGGAACTCACTGCGAGCAGTGAAGACCTGGGGTTTCACAGGTCTCTGGAGGCCTGTGTGGAGTCTACAGCTCGGTCGCCGGGAACGGGCGGGGCTGCAGGCTGGGAGGCCCGGGAGGCCCGCCCACCCGTGTGTTTGAGCAGCTCACCTGGCAACAGGTGGGCCTGACAGTCTGCTTTTCCAGAGTCTCCTCTGCCATCCGTATCTTTAGGGCACACGATGGTGCTGTTCAGGCCGCTGGCACTGCTCCTTGCTCTGGTTGTCTCTGGTGAGGAGCTGGTGGGTGGGGGAACCCCCGTTCTCCCCACCACCTCCGCCCCCGAACTCCGTAGTGGAGTGGAGACCTGATTTTTCTCAGATAAGCTATCACGGAGGGCAGGGGCTGGGGGAGAGGCAGGAAGCCCTGACCCTCGTTCCTGTCTTGGCTTCTTCCTCAGTGGAGTCCTCGCTCTCAGTCTGTGAAATGAGCCAGCTTATGGCTGGATATGGGGGGGAAAGGGGGGGGCCCTGTGGCAGGCGGCCGGAACCACCCTCAGGCATGTGGTTCCCTGTGCACGGGCCCCCAGCCTGATCGTGTCTTCCTCACAGACCGCCACTGCCTGCCCTGGTCCGTGAGTATCTCTGAGACACAGGGGCCTGGTGCCGCCTTTCAGTCCCTCTCCTTGAACTGCTCTTCACACGTGCCCACCTTGAAGCTGCTGCGCGTGCGGCCACCCACTACCTTCTTCGATGCACTCAACCTCAGCGTAACCATGTGGCAGGGGATCTATATGGGAAAGGTGGGGACATGGGCACAGCTGGGGAGCAGGGGGTGCAAGGGCAGACCCTGAATTGACAAAGCCACAGGGGGTGCAGGGGGAAGGAGAGCCTAGGCCCCATATGGCACTGCCCCTTGCCACAGCTGACCTTGAACAACACGGCCCGGCTGGACACCCTGGCCGTGAGCCACTACGAGCTACAGCTGCAGGTCACGTGTGGCACCCTTGTGATGGAAGGGCCACTCTCTGTTGATGTGCAGCGGGACCCTGACCATATCCAATGTGCGGGCCGATTCATCAGCCCAGGTGAGACCAGGGGCGGCAGGTGGGGTGGGCAGGAATGGCCCGAACAGAGCCTCCCTGACCTCCCCTTTGGCCGTCTGGGGAAGTCATCCAGGTGCCGGAAACTGTCACACCTGGAGCCAGACTGTACACTTTGCTGCTCCCAGACCTAAGGCTCCAGGGAGCCCAGGTGAGCCCAGCACACGGGCAGTGCTGGGGCGGGGCGAGGGGGGCGCAGAATGCAGGAGGTGTGGGGAGATCAAGCCCAGGCCCTGCCTGGCCAGGTACACCCTGCAGAGGGACCCTTTAGTGCACAGCTGAGCCTCTGTGTGACACCTGTTTTTGGAGAGAGCCGCTGAGGTCCCCCACCCTTAAGTGGCATGGCTGTTCCCACAGGAACCTCTCTGAGTTCTTTCAAGTTCTCCTGCATGTTGTGAATTCTCCATGACAATCCCGTGTCACTTTTACAATGCAAAAACAAAATGCAGTTTTAAAAAAAAGCAAACGGTTTAAAAGCAGAAAGGATTAAGGATCAGGGCCAAGGGCAAGGGCTTGCCCTGGCTAGGGTAAGTGTCAGAGTCGGGGTTGGGAGCGTTGGGTGTGGGCAGGCACCTGCGGGGTGGTTGGGGACTTTGACAGGGATGCTCGGGGCACTGGGGCCGGGGATGGGTCCTCAAGCATCTCTGTTCTGTCAGATAAACATCACCAGTGCCCAGGACCCTCCACACTTCCCTGGGCCTTTCTCCATCGACGGGCAGGGCTGGCTGCAGGCGCCGGCCCAGGGCCTCAGCGGCCAGGCTCCCAAGGTGAGTATGACTCGGGACCTGGGGGTACCCATGGATCGGGCATACAGCGGGTGGAGCCGCCGCCTCCCGGAGTTTGCTTGTTCCTGGCCTCCCGGGTCCTCTCCGTGATGCTGCCTGTCCCAGACGCCACGCACACCTGCATCTCCTGCCCCGTGCCGGTGCAGCGCTGGGCTCTGAGTCCAGAAAGAAGAGAGGTCCTTGGCTCTGGGGGCTCATGGTGCCTGGAACAGAAAGGAGAGCGTTCAGAGCAGTCCCACAGGAAGGCAAAGTCCTGAGTGAAGTGGCTAGTGCAGTCTGAAGGAGGCTAGAGAAGTTCGTTCTCTGAAAATTCCACATCTTGGCCCTGGCTAGTGTGGCTCAGTGGATTGAGCACGGGCTGCAAACCAAAGTGTCACAGGTTCGATTCCCAGTCAGGGTACATGCCTGGGTTGCAGGCCATGACCCCCAGCAACCGCACATTGATGTTTCTCTCTGTCTCTCTTTCTCCCTCCCCCCCTTCCCTTCCCTCTCTAAAAATAAATAAATAAAATCTTAAAAAAAAATTCCACATCTTAGCCCTGGCTAGTGTGGCTCAGTGGACTGAGTGCTGACCTGTGAACCAAGAGGCCTGTGAACCGAAAGGTCGCTGGTTCAATCCCCAGTCAAGGCACATGCCTGGGTTTCGGGCCAAGTCCCCAGTTGCAGGGCGCACAAGAGGCAACCACATATTAGTGTATCTCTCCGTCTCTTTCTCCCTTCCTTCCCCGCTCTCTAAAACTAAATAAAAAAAATCTTTTAAAAATTAAAAAAAAATTCCACATCTTAGTGACTGGCTCCTAGCAACTCTAAGGTGGTAAGTCACATACCGAATGACTCACGTATGACTCCTCTGGGGCTGTTTGCATCCTAATGGAAGGATTCATGGCCCCAGAGCGGGCCTCAGAGGAGTACGTGACAGCAGGATGACACATCTGGGCGGGGCAGGGGGGGGCGTGAATGCTGGAGCTCTCTGTGGAGGTCCCAGAGGGGGTCTGCCTCTTTGAAGAGAAGGCTGGGCGCAGACAGACCTGTGCAGGCCCCCCATGGCTCCCTTCCTGTCCTGTGTGCACCCAGACCTTCCGGCTGCACGTCCTGGTGACCTGGGGAGCAGGCCGGAGCTGCGGAGGGACGCTCACAGTGCGAGTTCTGTCTGCCCCTTCCGGCCGGGTCTCCTTCCCGTAAGGCTCCCCTGCCCTGGGACGGCGGGGGCGGCGGGGTCTAGCCCCAGGGAAAAGCAGGAGTGGGTTCCAGTGCGCTGCAGGAGGGTCCCAGCCAGCTCAGGGGTGAGGGAAGTCCCAGAGGAGGGGCCTGCGGACCGCGATGGGCCTGGGGGAGCAGGGCCCCCGCAGCTGGTGCCCCTTCTGGTTTAGGGAGCGGAACCGGAACATCACCATCCCCGAGGACCTGGTGCCTGGGAGTGAGGTGGTTCAGGTGCAGGCCCGGGGCTTGGACGTGCGCTACGAAATCCTCTCTCCGGCGCCCTGCCCGCTCTTCTCCATCGGACCCGGTGAGGGGGGCGCGGCGAGGGGCGTGGAGGGGGTAGGGGTGCCTCTGCGCATGGTGCGGAGGTTATTCGCGCTAACCTCTCGCGCCTCCCTGGGAAAAGAGGCTGGAGCTGAGGCAGAAACTGGGGTGAGGTTGCGTCTGGTGGCCCGGCCGTGGCCCCGCCTTGGACGGGGCGACTCTGGTGGCCAGACATAGTGCCCTTCCGGCCCAGGGAATGAGGTGGGAGGTTGGGACTGCGCCCCCCCCGCCCCCCCCCCACTGAGCTTGGGGCCAGGCCTAACTCTGCATCCCTGCCTCCCACCCCGCCCAGCGGATGGCGTGATCCGGACCACTGGGCCCCTAGACTTGGCACTGGCCCCAGGCGCCGCGGTCACTGTACTGCAGGTGAAGGCCTTCGAGCGGCTCCTGCCGTGGGCCAGCGTCCAGCTGGAGCTCACCGTGAACGTGACTCCGGTCAACCGTTGGCCCCCGCGCTGCCACCCAGCGCTTCTGGTGTGAGTACAGCCCCGAGCCTCACCGTGGCCATGGGGATGCCATGCCAGCCACGGCTTCCCCCCCGGCCCTGACTCCCACCCCCCTCTGCTCCCAGGACTCAAGTCCCCGAGACCGTGCCCGTGGGCACCGTGCTGAGAACCTTCACGTGTGCTGACCGGGACTCCCCTGCCTCCACCCTCGACTACCAGCTGCGGTTTCACGGCCCTCCTGGGCTGCCCAGCCTCTGCCTTAGCGGCAGGGATCTGAAGGTGCCCAGGGCCGGGTCCCACGCCCGCGTGCAGGGTGCTTGCAGCGGGAGGTGGCCAGGGTGAGAGCCGGACCGGGCGGGCGGAGGAGATGGTGGCAGAGCCTGCCCGCTTTGCAGCCTGGAAAGCACGGGGCGGGGGGCGTCTCTCCGTGGAGGCCCTGGCCTGGGGCAGCCCAGTGTGGCTCGAGGCTCTCCAAGGCCAGGGCTAGGCCTCACTCTCTGGCCCGCCGGCCAGGTCAACGCCACACTGGACTGCGACGCTCCTGGGGCCTGTTTTCAGCTGGCAGCCTCCGTCCTGGTGTTGGATGGCGGTCAGCCCCCGATGACCAGTGAGTGACCGTATCCGGGCCTGGACAATCTCAACAGGGCTGTTCTGTCCCCCTCTCCCCATTCTTGGGACAGGGTCATCTCTCCTCCCTCCAAAACCAGTAGGGCTGTTTGTGTCCATGTTGGACCCCTAGGGCGGGGCGCGTCACTCCGACCAGACCCTCTCCCCTCCCACCAGACCTTGTCCCTCCTTAGACCCCCAGGGCCGGGTCCTGTCTCCCTCCTCAGCCCCCTGGGGCAGGGCTGGGCACCCCAGGCCGGTTCTTAACTGCCTAACGGCTTGCAGCCGAGGTGCCAGTGCTGGTGACGGTGACACCCGTCAATGAGTTCTCCCCAGCTTGCGCTCCAAGCGTGTTCCGGGTCCGAGAGGACGCGAGGCCCCGCACCCTGCTGGGCTCTGTGGCGGGCACGGACATGGATTACCCGCACGACCGCATAGAGTACTCCAGCCCCGGCGGGTCTGACACCTTCGCTGTGGACCGCCTCAGTGGTACTTCCTCCCCGGGGCTGGGGCGCAGGGGTGGAGCCAGAGCGCCTCTGCGGGCTGGGGCCACCACGGTTCCCGCTTCTAGGGGAGGTTCGCCTCCTGGGGCCTCTGGACTACGAGCAGCAGAGGCTGCACAGGCTCACCGTCCTGGTGACCGACCAGCGCGGAGACCGGGACTCCGCCCACCGCCGCTCCGGCTCCTGCACCGTGACCATCGAGGTCGAGGTGATGGAGCCCCGAGGCCTTGGGGAGAATCAGAAAGGGTTCAGATCTCCCTCTCACATTCTGATTTTTCCCTCTGTGCCTCAGTTTCTTCCGTCGGTTGGCTGGAGGGGGTGGGGCCTCGGGTGGGAAGCTCTGGGCCTGTTGCCTGACTCCTGGGCTCCAGCTGTGGTGGGAGGGGGCCTGGGGACCGCCTGGGGATGCGGGGACCGGGCGACCTGGCGACCTTCCTGCAGGACGTGAACGACCATGCTCCCGAGTGCGAGCCCCCGTTTCAGGAGCTCACCATCCACACCTCCCCGGGCCGTAGCTCGGAGGTGACCAAGGTGTCGTGTCGGGTCCCTCAGGAGCCACAGCGCCTGGCCTTCTCCTACAGCATCGTGGGAGGTGAGCCCGGGGGGCCCAGCGGGCTGTGGGAGAGGAGCGGGCAAGGCCGGCCACGGCCCCCTTCTCCTGCCGCTGTGCTTTCAGGGGACAGTCAGAGCCGGTTCAGCCTGCGCGGGGCCGCGCTGGTGCACAGCGACGTGGCGTCGGGGCCCCCCCTGCCGGAGCAGCCCCGCACTTACGAACTGCTGATCCGTGTGGCCGACGCAGGCCCCTCCGCCCCCCACCTCAGCACCACAGCTACCGTCATCGTGCACGTGGTCCCCTGGAGGGCCAGCACAGCGGCCACCAGCACCCACAGAGCCACAGTGAGGGGGCTCCTTGGGCCCTTGGGCGGTGGGGAGAGAGGGTCTCGGAGGGTGAGGAGACCCAGTTTTCCATGGGGACGGTGGGGGGAGGCTCTCCGGAGGGAACTGCTGAGTGCAGAGAGCAACACAGGAGAACAAGTCTGGGGCGGGGTGGGGGGGGGCGCCGAGCCCTTGGTGGGGGGCTGCAGGCCGGATGATCAGGGCGCTTTGGCAGGGCAGTGGCGAGGCTGCGGCCCCCGTTTCAGGTGCCTTCCGCAGGGACGCCGCTGCTGGTGACGGACACAGAGACCTTCTGGCAGCCAGAGGCCTGGTTCGTGGCGGCGCTGACGGTGACCGGTGCCCTTCTCCTCTGGACTCTGGGCTGGCTCCTCCGCGGGCTCCTCCGAGGGTAGGGCACCCGCCCCGCGTGCCCCGCCTCCCCCGGCCCCTCGTGGGCCGCTCCCGTGAGCGGCGGTTTCAGCCCCGATTTGGTAACAGTGCTCACGGCGATGAGCGGACAACCTGATATCAGACAGCGCTGCCCTCCCCCCGGAGGTTGTCCGGCGGAGGCAGAGGGACGCCCGAGGACCCTGTCTCCGCCGTGGGCAGAGCCCAGTCTTGGAAAGGGGAGGGTGTGGGCGAGGCCCAGGGCTTCACACGGGGCGTGTCACACAGTGGGCGTGTCACACAGTGGGCGTTGACCCTCTTTCTTTCCCTGGCCCTCCACTGGAAACCTGACCTAACCCGGAGACCTTGAGCTTCCTGTGGACACAGGGCCCAACGCAGGGGTGGTGGGGTGGCAGCGTGGACTCTGTAGACGCACGCTGGCTCTCTCCAATACAAAGGGGCAGGTGAATGGCGCGGGGCCCTGGAGCCAGCGGGGGTGCTGCCCTCATGCCTGGCCCCTCCTCCTGGTGTTTTAGGTCGGCCTGGGGGCTACAGACACCCAGCAAACCAGCCCAGGCTCTGCGACTGAGCAGGTCGGCCTCCTTTGTGTGCCTCTGCGCTGGGAAGCCCATTCCTCAAACTCAGGCTGGGGCCCAGAGCCTCATCCTGCACCCCTGCTCCTGCTTTGCTCCAGCATCCGGGGAGCGGAGGGGTTCAAGGAGGGGTCCACGGAGGGGTCCACGGAGGGGTCCACGGAGGGGTCCACGGAGGCACCGAAGACGGAGACACGGCAGGCACCCAGCAGCATCACGGGCCTCGTATGTCCACCCCCTGCCCCGTGTGGGGGGGCACTGAGGCTGCTCTAGAGCACTCCCCTGCCAAACCCAGCCCCTCCCTACCGAGGGCCACCCCTAGGGGAGCGCCCACCCCAATACTGGGAGGACACAGGGGCAAGTGCGCTCCTGACCCCATGGACGGGGTTCACCCCATTGTGCCCTCTCATTTTCCCCTCAGCAGCATTTCGATGGCAGAGCACAGGACTCCCGTGAGTCCCCCTCCTCCCAAACCACTCCCCACCTGGACCCACTGTCCCTCCTTCCCCCGTCTCAGTGTCTCCTAACACCAAGCACCCACGATCTGATCTACTCTTTCCCTGACTGGGGTCCGTTCTCGCTCCCACTCACCTTCCAGCCCATGTTTGTCGAACACCTGCGGGGCCAGGAAATGACTCAGAGCCGGTCTGGTTCCTGCCCTCGGGAGCAGGGGGGGCGGTGGTGAGGGCGAGGCCCCCAGATACTCCATTGTCACCAATGAATTAAGGCAGAGTAACCTGGCTCTGGGTTTAGGGGAGCTGGTGTCCAGTTTTGCACAACCAAGATTATGATTTCTCTGCCTTTGAGCCGGACCTCACGGGATTTTCTGAGAAAGGAGGGAGGGGACAGGTTGGATTAAGCAGAAGGAGGGTCACACCCAGGGTCCTGGGACATCTCCTACCCTTGGGGGAGGGAGGCAGCTCTGCTGAGGCCCCAGCAACCCCAGCAGCGCCCCTCTCCCTCCTGCCCATCCATCCGAGCTCAGGCACAGGCAGAGGCTACCTGTTCAGCACACGCACAGGAGCCCGGCGCTGGCTCTGAGGCCAGGAAGCTTCTTGGCCGCGTGGGAATTTCCCCTTCACGTCGTCCTGGGCTGTGCTTTCAAGTTGATTCAATAATAAACAAAATTACAAGCAGGAAAGTCCCAGCCTCGCAACCCGCATGTGGGAGAAGCTCTGAGATCTGTGCGTCCTTGTTCTCCCTGGGAGAACTCCCTACCTTGTGGGAACACTCTAGGGAGTAGCATGGTTATTTTTTTTTAAAGATTTTATTTATTTATCTTTAGAGAGAAGGAAAGGGAGGGAGAAAGAGGAGGAGAGAAACTTCGAGGTGGGAGACAAACATCATGGGTTGCCTCTTGCACGCCCTTAACTGGGGACCTGGTCCGAAACCCAGGCATGTGCCCCGACTGGCGACCTTTCAGTTTTCAGGGGGACGCCCAACCCACTGAACCGTACCAGTCAGGGCGGGGAAGGTTATTTTTAAGAAGGCACCGTGCGGTGCTCTGACTGACAGTGATTAATGCTCTGCAGAGGTAAGGACCTGTTAGCTTTGTCAGGACTGCGGGGGTCTGTCCCCTCAGAGGCCACCTGTTACGGCCGGTGAGAGGGCCTTGGAGCTTCTTTTTTCCACCGAGAAGAGGACATCGTTGCGGCGGTTTGCCCACTGTGTGTGGAGGTTTTCCTAGGCAGGGTCTGGAGTTTTGCACTGAGGGGTGGGTTGGTGCGGACTTCAGAATGCCGTGGCACAGGTGGTCACGGAGGCGTTGGTGGTGGCCCTCTTCTGAGGGGCTGTTCCTATGTCTTCCTGGTATTTCTTCTGGTTCCTTGGCTCTCAGCCCTCCCTGGCTGCACGGAGCTGCTGCACACAGCCAGGTGGGCAGCTGCCGCTGAGTGCCGCGCCAGCCTCCTTTCCCTGCCCATCAGGTCGCAGGGTACTGCCGCCCGTCCAAGAGGAACTGCTGTCTGGTGCAGGCTCTCTTATTATTCTTTAAATTTATTGATTTTAGGGAGAGAGGAAGGGAGGGAGAGAGAGAGACCTCGAATTATTGTGCCACCTGTTGATACTTTCATTGGATGATTTTTGCGTGTTCCCTCACCCGGGATCGAACCTGAAACCTTGGTGTATCAGGACGTTGCTCTAACCAACTCAGCACGCAGCCGGGGCTGGTGGAGGCTCTCTTTCCCGTGGTATCCCCAAGTTCTCTCAGTCTTCTCCCCTCTGCCAAGTCTGTGGGCCTGAAACCTGTCAGGGGGCTGGAAGAATCTCCTTTCTGGAGCCAGCCAGGAAGTCCCAGGTCCGGGAAGAAGCTGAGTGGGCACCTTCTGGGGAAAAACAAACCTCTAGGTGCTTGCACTAAAGTGAGGGTGTTAGAGCCGGCTGCTGTTGGAGGCGGTGGTAGGTGAACTTTTCCTGAGCATGCACTCTGCTCTAAGGGTTCATAAAATCTTCATCTCTAAAGAGCCAGACTGCAAGGCTCAAAAGTCACAGTGCTGGCTAGTCCTGACCCTTGATGTGGGTGCAGTCTGTGTGACTGCCTCTGGCCTCCTAAGCCTGAAGCCAAGCCCCGTGTCAGCACTCTGAATGGCGGACCCCGGATAACCGCCTTTCCAGGACTCATGGTCGCCCTCAGAGACCCATCGTGACAGTCCAGGGCAAAATATATTGTCAGAGGAAGCCGAGACAAGCCACTTTAGGATGGTAAAAGAGGGTGCCCGCTGTGTGCCAGCGGGGTTGTGCTGGGAACTGAACTGGAGACAAAAGGACAAACGTGGGCCACTCGGGACCGCACGGAGGGCCGCACTTCTGGACGGATGAGGGGCAACGCTGGGAAAGCCGCTGGAAAGACGGCATTCAACCCCGAAGCCAGCAGGAGGAGGTACGCGATCAGGTGCCTCCACTTCCAGAGGTGGCGTGACCTTGGTCCTGCTTCCCCCTCTGCGCCTCAGTTTCCTCGCCAGTGAACTGGGGACAGCAACCCCTCCCTTCCCGGGTGGGGAACGAAAATCAAAAAGCAAACAGAACACAGCAGGCACTCCCTAAGTGTGCGCACGAGTGGGTAGGGAGACGCTGCTGGGATCGCACCGGAGTCGCGTACACCGAGAGGCCAAGGGCGCTCCGGCCTCGGAGTCACCCGCAAAAGCTCTGCCGCCAGCAGCTCTGCGAACCACACGCATGCGCCAAACCCGTGCCGTCACAGTCACGTGCCAAAGCGCTCGGCCCCGGCCTTCGGAGGTTGGCTTTGATTGACAGGCACATCGACCTGTCATCGAAAAGCACTCCCCGGGCGTCAGGCAAAGAGGTTGTTAATTGGAGACAGTCCCGTTCGGGGGCGGTTCTTCGCCGCCCTGGTTACTATGACGCCCGGCCCCCGCCCCCTCGGCTAGCCGCCATCTTGTTGTTGATCCTACCCAGTGGGCAGCGCCAGGAGCTGGACCGAGCGGCCGGTGCGGGGTCGCTGCTGCGGGGCTCATCCACCTGCCCTGCCTGCCAGGGGCGGGCCGAATCCTGGAGGCCCAGGGGGCCCAGCTCCCTTGGGGAGCCGTGGGCGCCCGCTGCCCGGGCCGGGCCGGTGAGTGACAGCACCCGGGCAGATGGACCGGCCTGACGGCCGCGGGGCGGGCGGCGGCGGGTGCCGGGTTGGAGCTGGTGCGCGCAGGGCCGGGATATCCCTAGAGCATCACTTGAACATCGCTCGAGTGTCCTGATCGGCCGCCCGTGGAGCCTCCCGGATGCTGGCGCCCGAGCCGCGGGGACGGCGCTGGGGTGGAGGGCTGAGAGTCCCGCGCCCGAGGGACAGCCCGCTGGGTAGCGGGAAAGTAGTTTCTCCTACCGAAGCCCTGGGCTCCGCTCGTCCGCAGCACTGATCCATGTCCAGTCCCAACCTGATGCTCTCCGGGCCGTTGTGTTGCTCTCGGGTGAGAAATACCTGGACCTCTTTATTAGATGTCGCTCCTGCGAGTGATTTTCAGACGGCCTGAGACTGAGACTAGACGAAACGGGGAAAAGCCGCGCGAGCCAGGCATGCCGCGGTGATTCTGGGAGGGCGAAGGCCCTCCGGCGCCTGCCCCCTGCTCCTCGGAGCTCACCGTTGGCTCCTTCCTTAATGTAGGCCTGGTTACATGTCCATGGTGCCTGAGTTACATTGTGGGATATCACTTCTTTCGTTCTCTACCACCACTTTTTGGAGTTGTGCTAAGGTCCTCCTCTTTTTGCTCTAGGAGTGAGAATTGTGGCGATGACTTGGTTGATTTTATCTATGAAAGAGGTATTCTCCTACTATAATGAGACAAAGGAAGTGTAGAAATGTATAAGAATCAGAAAAAGAGATGAAACTTTTTTCTTGGTCACTGTGGATGGTATGGAACTGCCAAATTAAGTTTTAACAAGCTGCGTGTGTCTTGCCCAGTGAACACGGACCCTCTCAGGCCCTCTCCCTGCCAGGCTCAGAGGGTGAGAGACCCTAGCCTAGGTGTGCAGCAGAGCTCTGAGCGCCCCAGGACACCTTGCTCTTCCCCTGTGGGCCCTGGGCTTCTCCGCACGGGCTCCTTGACGTTGGTCGTGTAGAAAGCCTGCGCGAGACCACTAAGCAACGAGACTTCCTGCACTTGGGTCAGGATCTTGTCAACTTCAGAATGTTCAATTTTGAAAGAAACCAGCCCCTTGGGTCAGGAGATCCTTTTGGAGAACAGAGGCTGAAACCAGAGAAGGCCGCCGGCCTGTTGCTTGCCGGTTGCCTTACTTGTGAGAAGAGAGAGAAGTTGAGTCGTCCGGGTGTATATTTCACTGCCTGCCCGCTGGCCATTTTCTTTGAATCTTGAATGAATTTTTTTTAAAGATTTTATTTATTTATTTTTAGAGAGGGGAGGGAGGGAGAAAGAGAGAGAGAGAAACATCAATGGGTGGTTGCTGGGGGCCGTGGCCTGCAACCCAGGCATGTGCCCTGGCTGGGAATTGAACCTGCGATACTTAGGTTCACAGCCCGTGCTCAATCCACTGAGCTATGCCAGCCAGGGCTTGAATCTTGAATGAATTTTGACCTTGGTAAGACCAGTTTCTTGGCCAGTTCTTGGTAAGAAAGGAAGGGAATACTAAAATATTAGAATCTTCTCAAAATGGTCCCAAGCAAACCAACTCCCCCCATCCTGTAAGACCCCCTTTGGGAGTGTAAGGTGGCCACAGGGTTGAATTCTTGCTGGTTTCCGTTAAAATAGCCCCAGGGTAGGCCCCTAGCCTGTGTAGGATGTTCTCTTCGTTCAAAGCACCAACTTTTGCTGCCCCAAGGACACTATAGAATATGCAAGAGCTTTTGTTGCCTTTGTGTAATCCTTTCACAACCTCATGAGTACTATTTATGAGTGGTAGATTAGTAGATGATGCTTGATTCCGCCATGGTATTACCCCAAAGTAGCTCATAGCAGTACTTCCGTGTTGGGCATTTCTAAGTGCAAGTAAGTAAGAATCTTGTTATGATAGCGGATCCTCCGTGTGCTTAAACTTCTTTGTCTTTATGTGATTCAACGGTGAATGTCAGCACTCGTAACTCTTCTGAGCAACAGACACCCTTCACAGACTGTGGAGAGCCTGCACTGAAGCCAGAAACTGCGACAGGTTTGTGGGATGAGATCTGGTGTTCTGATGCGGCGGTCAAGGTGCTGCTGGCCAGCTGGCCTCAGCCCACCCCTCCAGGGCTTACCGTAATCCCCGCTGGCCAAGTGGTTTACTAAGCATCCCACACATGTTAGTTATTTCCCTACACAAACCACTTGCCGGCCGCCTCCCGTGGTTTTCGTCCCCTTCGGAGCACCCGTGTCCTCCCCCTCCGCTTCCTCCAGAGCCCGGCAGGGGCCTGCCCGCCGTCGCGGCACACCCCGGCCGGCCCCGGGATGCTCGGCTCCCTCGGAACCACGGTGGCACTGCCACCCTCATGCAGCAGCAAAATAGTGTTCGCTCTTTCAGAAGTCATGTTTTGTTTCCTCTGATACACCTTGACCCCTTTTCTACAGAGGCTGTACTTTCGTGTCTTCACACACCTGCATACG